AGCTCCTTCAACATCTCTCTCCACTTTATGTTATTCATACAATCTCTTTAATTTATACTTCTTTATATTGGCTCTAACTTTATGGCCCCATTGAAGTTTTGGCCTTCCTCTTTTACGTTTGCCCATCACTTCCAAACTCTTAACCTTTTTTACTATGTAGTTCATATGCCTTCTCATTGTGTGCCCATACCACCTAAGTCTGTTTACCATTAACTTAGTCTTAATGGGCACACCTTTAAACTACTTAGTATTCTTGTACTGCGCACTTTATCCTTTCTTGTTACCCTAGCAATCATCCTTAGCATTCTCATCTCCATAGTTTGTAGACTTCTCTCGTCTTATTCTTTGGTTGGCCATGTTTCCGAACTATATAGAATAGTTGGTTGTACTATTAACTGTAAATTTTTCCTTTTAATTTGTGTGGGATTCTTTTGTCAAATAGCATTCCAGATAAAGATCTCCACTTTAACCACCCTTGATTAATTTTACTCTTTATCTCTTTTTCTATTGTGCCGTTTGTTTGTATAGTGGAGCCCAAATATTTGCAGCTTTCGCCGAATCTCTGTTTAATCTCCTCCAATCACCATATACTCTATCTTTTCTCTATTTACTTTATAATTTATATATATTTAAAAGTAATATGATTCTTCCACTAATATCAGAACCAGAAAAATTTTAAAGTTCATAATCATATTCATAACAAACTTTTTATTTAAATATTATCTTGGGGTATTTATTTAAATTAAAGCATCTTTTAAACGGATTATCCAATTTTTTTTTGCTCTGGGGGAACCATATCTTCGATAATATATAATAAATATATTTTTTAAATGCATCAATAATATGTTATTATAATTTAGTAGATTATTACTATCCATAATAATTTCAATAGTAATATAATATATACTTACACAAACATCAAAACCAGAAAAATATAAATATTCATGATATTTATTTGATATAAAGTCACTTTTTAGTCTTTTGAACGTATAATCTAAAAAAAATTGCTCTGGGGGGGGTCTAAACCCGACCCCCCTCTGTAGCTACACTACTGGGCTGAATGGTAAATATTTTTAGAAGCATTGAGCGAAATGGTTTATTTTTTTTTCAAAACAATGGGTGAGCGGGTGGGCTGGTTAAAAAATTTTAAATAATGTGGGGGCAGTTAGCTAAAATTCCCCTAATGCGGGTAAACTGCCATCATCTAAATTGAGTTATTTTCTTTTTAACAAATAAAAAGGCGAGGAGGATAAATACTACTATTTTTTAGTTTTTAACCTTTGTATAATTGATTATATACACAGTAGGGTAAATGTGCCACGAATGGCCATGTTTTTGCTTTTTGAAAAAAAGGTATCAAAATTTCCAAACAAATTTTATATCAATGTGTAGCCTAAATATTAATCTTTAAAATAAAATTTGAATCAAAGCTCTAAATATAATACTTTATGAGCTAAATGAGATTATGTGAAAGTTGTTTTTCTGGCCAGTTATTACATACTATGTATTGTATTGACTGGCCATATACTATGTGTTAACTGGTCTGGTCATAATATATTATTTAAGAATTTTATTATAAATATGAAATAATACAATATGAAATTTGTAAAAGACCTATGTTAATGTTTTTACATTTTTTAGTTATATAAAATTATTAATTATATACTAATTTAATTAATATTAAAATCTCAATTTATTACCACATCTATTTAATGATAATATTATAAATTAATATCTTAATTATCATTTTACTAAATATTCTTAAGCTTGTTCATCATTCTATTTCACCAAATGTTGTTTTGCAAAAGCTTTTCATTTTAATATGAATATGTGAATGTGCGAATTGTGGCCAATCAATACATGGCCAGACAATCCTCACCTCACCTCTCTATTATTATTTAGCGCCTTTATATGTCTATTAAATAAAGCTTTTAAAGTCTATTTTTTGTGTGAATAATGCTAAATGTCTAAGGAATATTTATATAAAATATCAGTAATCTAAATTAGTAATTTAACCAAACAAAAAAATGTGTAAAGTGATTTTTCCAGAAAGATTTACTAAAAACAGTTTATTTGAAATATTTTTTTATTGAATTGTTCTAATAAATGAACTTAGGTAAAGTACATATCATAAATATACACATTTTTACCAATTTTAGAGAAATTGGTCCAATAGATGAAAAGTTAAAGGGTGGTGGCCAGTCTTCACACATGGCCATTTATGGCACATTTCCCCTACACTATAATAATTTTAAATGTGTTACTCATATTTATTTTTTTAAATGTAATAGAATTGTGATTCTTTGATGGGTCGCAGAATTATATGCTCTGGGCCGCCAAAAGTAGCATGACGCTATAATCAGAACGCCTATACTATCCCCCCCCCCCAATTAGAAACGCCTTTTTAAATCTCAGTTAGACAATTTGTTTATCCTCTCCCCATAAGTGGAATAAGATGAGATATTTAGAACCATGGTAAATTTTTAGTAGTTTGGAAATTAATTACCCCGATAAGTTTAAGATTTACTTTGAAAAATATCGATACTTTAAATTTAGGTATCTTATAAATTTATTCTCTGCATTATATTTCTTAACTATTACTTTGATAAGTTGATTAGATAAGTCTTAGGAAATCTAGCCATTGTATTTTATTTATTATTTTGACTAAAATTAACATTTAGCTATCATCTAGTATTAGTATTTAAAGTTTATCCAATAGCGTCACTAGGTGAGGGCGCACAGGGGCTCGAGCCTCCTGATTTTGAATAGCCCGCGGACACTAAAAATTTTTAAAATAGCCCCCCCCCTTCCCTTAAACGATTTCTTTTATAATTCTATTAAGTATCATATATATATTTAATTTTTTTATTCATAAATTAATAAGACTATCTAAATTATTAATAAATGAGTGCTAATTTAATTATTAGATTAGATTAAATATATATAAATTATATTTTCACTATGTCAGCTTATAATCAAATCTATGTTAAAAATGGAATATCAATATATTTCATAATGTCTAAATATTAATTTAGTATTAACAGTTGAAACTTATTTTTATTATTTAAATTAATTTAAAACCCTTATTAAATAAATATAATTGTTTATTAATTGAAAATTAACAAATTTAATATTATAATTTGCCGAGTTCAAAATCATTAATCAACAACTTTAAATACCATGCCTCTTTCTAAAATATTTTAAACGTCCAAATATATATAAGAAGTATCTTAAAAGTTAGTAGAAATATAGTTAATAACCTACTATTATATAGAATTGGTTACAAAATTTTAGGTAAATGTCACTTATACAGACATATTTGACAATATTTTATTAAGCTTTACTAATCAATGTTTTTGATAATAATAATAAGTAACAATTAGCATATCTATTTAATCTTATTATTCATCCCACAATGCATATAATCCTTATTAGATATTTTTTTTTCCTTTTTATGTGTTTTCAGGAATTTTTTTTCTTCTTTGAAAACAGTTTTGAGTTAAATTTTTTATACCGAGTATATTTTTAATATTATTAGAAACTACTTTAATTTACTATACCAAGTGGTGCCACAATAATATATAAAATCTTAATTGCTTTCAATCTCTCTGGTCCATATTTTCTAGTAAATAAATGATTAATTTCTAATATGGCATACTTACCATGTAAATAAATTAAGGCTTCAATATATTGCATAATTAATTCTTCCGAAGATTTTTAGTGTTTTTATTTTATCAATTTATCTACCATAATAAATTCTGATATGAATTTACATCATGAGTGTCATAGCCATGAAGGCAACTTAACCAGTATCTATTATTTATGTGGCTATGTAATTTAAGATTAGTGCTCCTGCTGGCTGATGAGAGCATTTGATTGCATAATTTAGATGAGCAATAATGGTCAACTGTCTAGTCCATTGTATATTATTAAAAATAGAAGATAATCTTTTAGAAATTTAATATTTCATAATAATTTTTTCGATTATTTATCTAGCTATCATAATATCATCTAAGAGGAAGCGCAAACCACCATATAGTTTATTTATATTAGTCATTTATAATCTCTTCTACAGAGTTATTGATTTGGTTAGACCTAAATTTTTTTCCTTATTAATACATTCTATAAAACATTGTCTAAAATGGTAAAAAACGTTATATTAGTTTCATGACCCTTTGTCAATATAGGTTGCTAAAAATTAATTATTAAGAGTTTACAAATTTCAATTAAAAAAATATAACATATTAATATAAAACTCGACCAAAGGTTGGGGAGGGCTGAAGGCCCGCAAAATAGGGAATATATGGCTTTGCCCCCCCCATAATTTTTTTAGCTGAGCCCTCTGAGATTATAAAGGTGAATGACGCCCTGAGTCTGCCCCTGGCAAATCTGATTGAGGGATTTGTAATTACTATTAGATTAGGTAATAAAGATAAAGACTAATAAAAACTCAATGCCATGATATTTTTTAATTCTGGCTGAGGCCAATTCAATCATATTATTTCTATTTTAACTTTTACTTTATATTAACTCCAAAGGGAAAAACAATAGGCCAATTAAATATCAAACATTGAAAAATTTTAAAATGTTACTCTGAATCAATTTTAAAACATAAGACCATTCTACGGATAATTTTTTTCTTTATTTGTTATATACGATTATTGCACAAAGAAAATAGCAAATATTAACAGCATATATTTTAGAATTAGTGCTCCCAATTCGCGAACTTTATATATGATTTAGAAAATATATTTCAAAAAGGTTAAATGTATATAAATCAAGGAAAACGAAAATATAATTAACAAATTCTCCAAATTGAATATTAAAAATAAACTTTGATGGAGCCACTGGGACGGCTAATATGGCTCCTTTGAATAAACCCATGCCCACCTCACCAGTCTTTTCCTAATCGTTATTATTTTTTATATGACTATTTATCGACCAAGATAAAATAAAACTATGACATATTTTAACCATACTATAGAGATATCCAATTACCACTATGTTCAAAAATCGTAAATATTTCTAAAAACATATGATAGTTGTTATAGACATGAATTCAAATTAAGGTACTATCTTATTCTATAATAAATGAATCTAATGAAAAAAAAATTTTTTATATGCAAAATTTTTAACAATTAATTTCAGTTTAGAATTCAAGCTCTCAGCATATTTTTTTTAATAAGAAGTGGAGACCTAGGATAAACTGATAAAAAGAAAAACCAATTTATACCTAAAACTATTTTTAACCTTATTTTTAATTTTATTTAAATCTCAATTGAAAAATAATTTTTTAACTATTTATTTTGATTTATTTTTTGTTATTTTTTAAAATTTTAATTCATTTATTGAATGCATTTATTTAAAATCTAATTTTGCTGGAAATGTATTCCAATAAGTGTAGAAACCTATTTTATAAATTTTAGACCATTATATAACCAACTTTTGAATTTTAATTATTTTTTCAACCCAAATCATTTAAACTTAAAATTTTTTTTTCAATATGTGTAAAATAATAAAGTTTGAAAAAATAAAAATTACACCTATCAAACTATTGCCTTACCAATTTGATGAATGTTATAACTTTTTTAAAAAAATATTTCTATTTTCTTTCTATATGCCACTGAATATATATAATATTTAATTATTGATGATTAATATAAGTAAACATAATAAGTTAACTTTAGGTCTTATAAAAATTCAATTTAGATTCAATGTAAATTTCAAAGCATTCTCTCCAATTGTTGAATAACATAAGTTCTTTCAGAGTTATAAAAGTATCTAAATACAAATATCTAGATCCTGTAACTAGATATGAAAATGTGGTATCTGTAATCTGTATCTTGATAGATTTTTGATTAAAATATCTGTATCTGTTTTTATATACTTTTTAAGATACATTTTGATATACTTTTATTTAATGCATATTATAAACAAAAATATTTGAATTTTCATATGATCATATAATTTAAATATTTATATATATATATTAAAAAACATTAAGACTACTATAATAAAAAATTATATATATATAAAATATTAAAATATATAAAAAAATAGATATATAAATATTCATTAAATGTTATGTCAGAGTTTATCAATAAACCAGACAAATTTTGATATTACAATGCAACTCAAGAAATCTGCCATTTTAATTTTCAATGGAATTAATTAATTTTATTTTATTATACTAATTTTAAAAATTTATTTTAGATTAATATTAATAGCGATGAAGAGGAAGAGAAGAAGTAATAATCAATGAAGCATCAATAAGTACAGACATTGTTTTTCCATGGCCAATTTATAGAGCATTTAAAATAATATCTCAAAATAAAAGAAACAAATCTCTGATAGTATAATGTTTGCCATATCTACAAAAAAATACAAAAATTTCAGTTAGCATTACCTCAACTTGCAACATTGTAAAACATTTAAGGGTATAGATACTGAATAAATGTTTACAATTGTAATTTTAAATTTTAAGAGAAAAATCAAACACTGTTAATGAAAAAAAAATTAATACAAAGATTAGTTGATCTTCAACTGATTGCAAACAAATAACCTGCGAAAAAACAATTAATTTAATATCCTATTTTTTCAGTACCCCACAGCAGCAGATATGATTGTTAATAATTAAATCTTGATATTCATCAAATTTTAAATAAATTTTTCAAAAATGAATGCCCAGATTTTAGTATTTTTAAAGAATATCCTGATATAAAATTGTTATTCATACCACAATCTCTTCAAGTGCCCTGGTAGAAAGGCATGTTAGTGAAGCTAAAAATGTCTTTACGGATTTACGATGATCCTGTAATGACCAAAATTTTGAAAATATTTTATTACTGAAATTTAATAATAATTTATAATCATTTAATCATTATTTATTTTCATATATTATATTATTATATTAAAATCTAAAAATTATTATTTTAATTTTGATAAATGTGATATCTAATCAATAAAGATTTTAGCTCATTTCATACATTTTCACAATAGAATCCTATTTAGGTTTATGCAAAGCTTATATAAGAGTATTAAGAAATTGTATCTGTATCTAGATACATTCTGTATTAAGCTAACATTTTGGACGATGTATCTCGATCTGGATCTAGATAACTTTTTAGACTATGTATTTGTATCTAGATCCATTTAAAAAGTATCTTTTAAAAAATCTGTTTCTTATACATTTTGTTGTAAAAACGATTTTTTTTTAAATATAAAATAATATTCTACATTTTAGATTAAATACAGTATTTTAATATGTGGCCACATTTTCCATTTGAGTTACTAATATGTAAACAAACATTCCTTTTCACTTTGGCTAATTTTAAGTCATGACATGACACATTATAAATTCAATTAAAGTAATCCCGGAAAAAATAATGTCATTTATCATAACATAAATTTACTTATTTAAAAGTTTATCTCTTATCAGGATTTTCTTAAGGAGGGGAAGATAGACTATTGGGTAGATTTTTTTCACTATAAATTTATTGGATATTTTTAGGCGTCCTCTTTGGAGGCCTTTGACCTGATTACTTTTTTAAAAAAAATTTAAAATAACTTATCTCAAAAATTTTGTCATTATTTTTAAAAAAAATTTATATTTTACTTATTTTTTTTTTGAAATTTTTTATATCAGCAAATCATTAAATTTTTCAGTAAATTCATATCATATTTTGTAACCTCAATTAATCGCTTCAAGATTAAATTACTAGTTCATATTTGACAAATACCTATGATGCATTTGGCTACTGACACTGACAAGCATAAATGAGACATTGGTTTATTTATACCTAGATTGATCTTAAATGCAATTTTCATGTCTCACAAGGAATTAACAATTTGTCCAAGGTAAAATGCCCTTGGTATAAAATGTTCTTTGACAAAATTTCTGCATTGACAAAAATTTTTTTTTTAAATTTAATATTGACTGTTGTTGGTTAGGAAAAAATAGGTGAAATTATCAGAGGTGCATTAATACCACTTTTTTTGATATCTGGTAATTATATAATTTTTTATATTTTATTTTATTCACTCCCTAAATATTGGATCAATTAATCCACAAACCCTATAATTTTGAATGCTTTTTCTAGACTTTTCAATATTAATTAAAATTGAATATTTCTCTTCGCCATTTTTTTTAATTCATATTTTTGCTCAAGACATTTATTTTTATACAATTATCGTCCCATAATGCACTCAAATTTTAATAATTACCTTGTTTTTAAACAACTTAGTTGTCTTCTATATTTAAGCGACTGATTTTCAAGGAAGTCACTTTAGAAATAATCACACTATATTACAATGAAATTTATGATAAACTTAAACTCTCACCTCGTATTCCTTGGTGAAAAAACACTTTTACAATTTTATTTAATCACGCATTCATTAATGCTCCTAGGCCATTTTTTTCCACAACATTATTATACATAATTCACTCAATTATAAAATAAAAATTTATTTTTATTAAACACTTCTTTCTTACTAAATATTACCTTTCTTTACAATGTTTATTGTTAAACATCATTATTATTTTTTAAAGGTCAACTCCCATGAAACAACTTTATTATAAAAAAAATTATATAAATTATGATTAGTAATTTAATAATATTACGCGCGAGGAAAATGTAAAAAAATAATAATTAAACAAAAAACTTAAGTTTAAAGTTAAAATGTGTCATTTTGCGAGTCAAATATAATATAAATCAGATCACAAGACGTGACATTTTTTTTTTTTTTGCAAAAATAGGTTATAAAGGTGATTAAAATTTATTTTTAAAAGACCAATAATATCCAGGGGATGGAACGGAATTTTCAGTGCACATTTCAGGAATGGAACTTGGGAAAAATTATGGTACAAGGACGAAACAGGATTGATGATTCTGAGAATGTTCCATGATCCTTTCAGGATCTTTTCAAAAATTTTAATCTAATTATAAATATAATATTAATATTGGTTCATTCATAAAAATAATATAATATTTATCATGACTTATTTAATGTTAGCGTCAATTTTCCGTCTGTTATTTTTTCAATCATTTTTTTATGTGTATTTTTTTTAAATTTAAAATACTGATTTTACCGGATAGGTTTTCCAGCATGTTTAGAATACCCCCTATAATTTCAGACAATTATGCTATTAACTTTTGTTTCATTTATAATTTATATAAAAAATCTATGGAAAAACTAATACAAATTAATTATATTATTTCAAAAATTCATGGCAAAATTTTCTAAAAAATTACAGAGTAGGTTTTTTAAACATGTTGGAATACATTTCTGGTAAAATCACAAGAAATGATCTAAAATTTAAAAAATAACATTGTTTGAAAAAACGAATATTCGTTTTTCTCTTTTTCAAGTTTCCTTTGCATAACTGTATTATTATATTAGATAAAAAATAATTTAATCAAATTTAAAATAATTTTTTTAACAGTTTTGTTATATAGTTTATAATATCATAATTATAATAAAAGTTTTCTATTTAAATGAATTATTTTGAAATAGGTTAATTTATATTAACTTCATCATACATGTATATAAAGTGATAATCATTACAGAATGCCTTTGGATGTTTAGATGTAATAATTGATCTATAGATCAATGGATAAATTTTGTAAATTTAATAAAATATAATAAATGGGGATATTTTTTTAGGAACATGGAACATTCCAAAATATGAAATGGGAGTGAACCAAAATAATAAAAGGGCACCCAAAAGTTTCCAATTTATAAGTAGCGCACCGCACTGGACTTTAGCGTGTATCAACAAAATCATCATATCTAAATAATTATCATAATTTGTGTCCCAAATAAAGCTAACACAAAACACCTGTTAACGAAAATATTTTAGTTTATAAAATGAATATTTTTGCTATAAATATTAAAATACTAAGTATAATTTAAGGTAATACAAAAAAAATATAATTTAAATAATAATTATTGATTTTAGAAAATTGCCTTATTAGTTATTACTCCACATTTTAACTTTTGATTATCGATATTTTAAGAATATTTCATATAAGGTGATTAAGTAATTGGCGAATAAAATCCCTTATTACAAGGTTATTATTTATTCTAAATTTAATATTTTGGCTTTAGTAAAGTTTACAGTTGGCGTAAATACCCTCCTCAACGAATGAATAAAATATGAAAAATAAATTGAATTTATTTATCAAGCCAATGTAAGTGTTTTGCCAAAAAAATTCTTTAATTATTGTTAGTGATGTACCGGTTATTTAAATAAAGGATTCGTTTATACGTTATATTGTTAAATTGGCCTATTTGATATATCAAAGGGATAATAAAAAATTATTTATGATATAATAATTTAATTATGGATTTTAATGATAAAATATACTTTTTAAATTATAATCATTTACTTTATATTTTATTATTATACATTAGAGATCTGCAAAGTTAGGCCCGGCGGGCCTAATTCTATTTAAAATAATCGGGTTCGGGCCGGGCCGCGTCTAATATTTTAAAAAAAATTTTGGGCCAGGTCGGGTCGGATTTTGGAAATTTTATTAAATATATAAATTTATCAATTTTATATTGAATTTTTTATGTAAAAAAAAATTTTTGATTTAATTTTTTGAAACTAAACTCTATATAACATATGTCTTTTATTTTAAGTAATTATAAAAATTAATTTCTATATTTAAATAAATTCGGGCCTGGCGGGGCCGGTAAATTTATTTAAAATAAATTTCGGGTTCGGGCCGAACAGGCAAAACTTTTTTAAAAAATTTTGGGTTCGGGCCGGGCCGGCAAAACTTTTTTAAAATAATTTCGGGCCGGGCCGGGTTTGAAAAATTAGGCCCGATGCAGATCACTATTATACATATTATTTATTTTATTATATTCATTGGTTTATTTTATTCCTTATATAGAAGTTTTTGGCATAATGTTGTTACCTTGTTATCGGAAAGTTCGTATTAGCCTGTAAAAAGCGGTGCGGTGTTACAATCTAATCTAATGTAATATATTTTGTCAGTTAAAATAATTATAAAAATGTATTTATTTCCATTAGATTTTTTTTCTCGATAATAATTATACCTCTAACATTCATGATTTCTTTTTTATTCCAAACTTATGAAATTTTTTAGTTTTGGTTTCGGTATTTTTATGGTTAGTAATATTTGAGGGAAGTCGAATGATTATAAAACTGTTGTTAGAGTTAGACCCAATTTTTCTTTCATATATGATAATTAGTTTCAACCGAATATTGATATATAATCTGATATCATAAAGGTATCCATTTTTCCAACCTTTTTACTACTATTTTTTATAGTGCGGGAATTAAAAAAGATTATTCTGCCCCCCCCCCCTTACTTATTTTAAATATGTTGAAGTCACTTTAACTATCTATAAAAATCAAATGCCCCACAGTCAGTTCCACTTATGATTCTCTCTCTACTTGGTTTTTGTAATAATCTTTTAATCTGATAACTATAGCCTTGTACCGATTTAACTTTTTAGATATTAATCCGATTTTACCGATATCATCTGATTCGAGTTTTAATAATTAAAATTACGATTGATTGTATAAGAGAATAGAAGAAACCAAAATATATAAATATTTCCTTATATTATACAACAATTTGAAAAACAAACAATATAATATTACTTATATATACTTACGCATTTTAATTTTTTTTAAAAATCTAGTATATTTGCATTCGACTATTATGCTTGTTTAATTTTTCTTTTATTTTTGATGAACTTGTTCTTATAGTAATACCTTTTTAAAAATTTGTTATATTATATATAAGGTGTGATTAAAAAAGGTACTTTTGAAAATGATAATAATACAATGACAATGAAAAAACATATATAATATTTGTCAAAAATTTACATGAATGAATGGTAGTTTCAAAAAAAATAATGAAGGATAATCTCAATAATCTGATGCATTTTAAATATCCCCCAAAATATAAAAATATTCTTTTTATATCGCTTATATTCACTAGCTAGTGTCATTAGCTCTGATCACTTGTGCATGTTAAAGAATTTAAATTTTTTTTAAAAATGTCAAATATAAAATAAATCTAATCATTCATTCCAGATCCCATTCCTCATAGTATAAGAACCAACAAAATGATTTATCATATCCGGAAAAGAAAATTAAGTTTTAACTTTCATCATAAAAACAAATTTTGAAGTAATAGCAGTCAAAAATACTACGCACCGGGGCAATGTTATAAATTCGAATAACCTATAAATTAAAAAATCACAATTGTCAGACAGTGATTTGTAAATTTATTATATAGAAATTTTAATTTATCTAAATTATTGATTTAATTATTTGTCTTAAAAAAACAAGATAATTTCTTTTTTCACCATTTTAATACCATTTCATTCCTTTTTGTTTTAAATATCATTTCTAAAAAATATTAATTGAGTCATATAAAATTAAAATATTTTCAAGTTTTCTACTGGTCAAATTATGTCTCTAAAGGAGAAAGAATAAATTCTATATTTGAGAACACAAATAGCAATATACAGCAATATTTAAAATTCTTTATTTATATACTTATCAATCGAAACTAATTATTAACCATCTTTTAAAGGTTAAATATCAGATAGGTTCACAGACCTTTTTAGGTGGTTCGAATGGCATAATTTTTAAGGGGTCAGAGGTCAGTTCATATATGTTTAACAGTTCGGTTCAGGTTCGAATTTTTATGAAAATTACATATGTTAACATGTGCACTATAATTTTTTGTATATAACATGAAGATAATAAATAAATGCCAAATACCAATGTAAGAAAATTTCTATATTGACAAAAGTAAAAAAAATATTTAGTTAAAAAAGACGTAAATAAATTTGAAACAAAAATAATTTTCTAACACTATATAGAAGCGTGAATTGGTAAAGGAATTTTTAAAAAATTTGGAACCATGAATTTATGGATAATCTCACTGGCATATTTCTAAGGCAGTCATTTGGACAAACTTTGGAACCATGAATTTATGGATAATCTCACTGGCATATTTCTAAGCCAGTCATTTGGACAAAATCTAATAACATTAGATAAAACTTTAGAGTTAGCCAAATGAACATATAAACTGATTCATTTATTCAATACAAATGAGAATTCATATATACCTAAACTGGAATATGAATGAATTGAAGCCACAATCCAGGACTATTACTTTCATTGATGAGTTTAAAATCGTTATTGGTCTTCGATTAGGCTGCGAAATTGTAATCTTAACGATATGCGCTCTCTGTGACATCTATATCGACAGCATAAATTTTCGCCCTCAACATTATCGCTTTTCAAATGGCAGACTACCTAGGTACTATACCATCAATTCGATCATTAATATAACGTTAAGAATTCTTTTCTCACTAAAACCATCTGGCCTTAGCCCGACAACCTTATTAAACCCGATAGGATAACCTATTTCTTGTAACTAAGGTATAGTACCCTATGTTCGGATTATACTTGCATAGATTGATTTGCCAAATTCTTTTCTTTCAACATGAGAGCAGAAAATTCAAAAACCAATAAATGCAATAAACAATCTATTGTTTATTCAATAGTTTCAGATACCAGTAGTTCATTAGATTTTAAGCTCTAAAATTATTCAAAACAATAAAATAAAAGTTATGTTGTCACAGGGGATCAAAAATAAAAATATCTTTCTAAATTTGCCGATTTAACTGTATTTCTATACATGCATGAAGTCCTTACGACTAATTAAATTTTTTTTTAAATATTATATTTTATAAATATATATATGTTTTTTAGAAACATATTTATATATATATATATTTATTTTGTTAACTTGTTAATTTTAATATGAAAATATAAGTTTATATATATAATTTTTTTTAAAAATGTATTAAAATTTTCATTATAAATATTAACATACTATATCTATATATACAAAAAATATATATTTATAAAGGAAAGAAAACTTAAAAAAAATATATATATTTAGGTAGTGGGGGGGGGGCTTAATGACCCATATTTGGATATACACTTGGATCGGCAAATTTCGATTGATATTCTTTGTCGTAGGTAAAAGTCTTTTGGATCACCTTTGATTAAATGTAACCTTTGCCCCCTTTTATTTAAAATAATTTTATAGCTTGAGGTCCAAATGACTCACAGATGTCTGAGACTAACGGAACAAACAAAAGATTATTAAGGTGGCTATATTTATTTGTCTTGGTATTTTTAGCTTTCCTGATGGAGATGGCAGAAAATGATCTGGCAAAACGATCTATTATAATCCCAAGCAAGGGATATACCTTGGTTCGAGGGGACTAGCATCATACATCAGATCTGGTTTTATTGTCAAGGCTGAGGCCAGAGGGTTCCGACGAAGAAGGAATATTTGTGGATATCAAGATACAATTGATGGCATAGTGCCTGGGTAATTTGCAGTAGAGGGTGGTAGCTCAGATTATTAATATAAGTTTCACAGAGGACACATGATATTGGCGTTAAGATTACACAGCCTAAACGAAGACCCATAGTTATTCTAAGTTCTTCATTGGTTAGGAGCAAGCTTAAATAACTAGGTATTGTTTCTAACCATTCGTAGCCAAGGTGACATACGGCTGAGGTTGGAATTATTTGATCTGGCAAAAGAGTAGTATTGTTTATGTATACTTGGGGTTGGGTTTACGTAGAGAAAGAGCGATGGAGATTTTATTTGAAAACAGTTTTGAAGTGTAAGTATTCGACGCAATGCTCTATCAATGGTAAATTCTAGTCTCTTTGTCTTTTGTCTTATAAAATTTGGATATGAGCTGTTTGGAACGTTTTTGCTTCAAATGCTGCGGTGTAATGTGGATCGATAGTAATCAAGTCTCCGAGTGTGTATCGTAATTAAAACTGAGGATAAAAAGGCTGAAATGCTTGAGGATATGGAGGAATAGATACCTATACTGCCTAGCTTTGATTAAAGGGCAGATTGCATCCAGGAGAGTAATGAGAATTTGATATTTAAAATATTAATTAATTGTTTGTTGCATAATTCAAAAATTATTCAAAGAACGTGTTATAACGGTTAACTTAGAAATAGAAAAATATGCTTCTTAAATTTTTATTAGAGTATAAAACTAAACTTACATCAATATGCTCTATAAAACAACAAAAATATTAATATTATATAATTTTTATATTATTAAATAGTTTATATGTAGTGTATGTTTCAATGTATATCAAATATTTAGAAGTATAAACTATAATCTCAGTTATTAAATATTAGGAAAAATTATGGTAGTAGACAAATTTTATAAATATGTCAACAAAATATTATCTATTTATAAAAAATCTATTAGTTGGTATTAAATGTTATAATGCATTTATATTTCAATATTGTTTTAGATAAAAAAAAAACTATTGATTGGTGGAAACAAGTGGTTTTTGATATTTTGTTTATATACGTGGAAAACTACAATATAAATAAATAAAATTATGGTTCCTGTGAATTTTTACTTAAAACACCGAATCGTGGCCACAAATATGGTTTCTGTGAATTTTTACTTAAAACACCGAATTGTGGCCAAAAATTTAAAAAAACACCTTGCTCATAACGAAAGAAAATGAATTATAGTCAAAATTGAGAATCATTTTTTTATATTAAAAATTTTTTTGACTTTAATGTCATGTTTAAAATATTATTTTCTAAAAAAAATACTTTTTAAATATTAAAATTTGACCGTTGAGCCAAGTACTCATTTATTTTTATAATATAAGCTTATAAATATTTTTTTTTAATATAAAAATTTGGCTATTCAAGTTCTAATATGGCCGAATTAGTTATCTTAAATTTGAAGAACACGCTTTGCTGGCCTTAGTTATCGATATTTTATTTATATATCTAATTATAAAAGTGCAAAATATTCCAAAAAAAAAAATTTGATCACTCACGTGACCAGTGACAGAAACCTAATATAAAACACATAATATTGAATTTTTTTGAGGGTTAGAAAGATATGGGTAAAAATTAGTTTATATTATGAAGAACAAAGAGAAATCAAAAAATTTATATTTTATATACACCTCTTCAAATACATTTGCGGCAAGTTTGTAATTTCAACCAAACGAAAAAAACTTCTGTAATTTAGGATGCAACCAAAAAAATTTATAGTCAGAATTTTAGCTATATTTTAAAAATTTAATGCTTTTATTTTTTGCAATAAGGAAGAGGACGACTTTATATTTTATATTATTTTTGAGATGGTAATAAAGGGGAGAAGGTGAACAAATTTTCCATAATGTATGCTTCTTTCATGGGCAATAAAGGGGGATATATTTGCTGCAAGGGCGAAGTGTAGGAACCAGCAATGACAAGACACGGGACAAAGTCGCAAAATATTTAATATTAACTTGCAGGGTAGAGTTAATCTACTTTTGAAAAAAAAATTTATTAGAAATTGAGAAAACATCAATAGTTTCATCGATGTAATTTCAAATGGCTGCCCAAAAAATTTATGATTAAGGGTTGTTATAAATGTAATATCGGATCTAAGGCTAAATCAGTGCAAAAATGAAATGTTAACCCATTGGGGAAGACAATTAGTCGAAGCGCAAACCGAAAAGGGCACTACAGCTGACCACTATATGTACACTTTAATAAATGAATCGACAATCTGGTTTATCAGCTAAAGAATTTTTATAGAGATAATTTATCTATGATCATCTTTCTTGAGAAAATTCCATTTATCTTCTGAAACATAGGTATTATAATTATATAAGGTAATTAATTTAAAAAGATAATAAATTCAAAAGACATGCACCAATTAAATTTTAATATTTTATTTTTATATTGTAAAAGAAATATATATAATACCGCCTTATATGTAATTTTAAATTAAATTATGACATTGTGACGAAAATTATTCAGAGAAAAAAAATATTGAGATGAATTTGAGTAAAGGCTTAATTGAAATAAAAGAAGCTTATCTAGGACTCGTTTATAGTAAGTTCTTATCGCTGCTCCATAAAAGAAATTACAACATTTTATACTATATTATATATAAAATTTAGTGGGGAGTATTTTTTATTTTAAAAATCTGATTTTGACGCTAATCACAGAATAGAATTACCTAAAGAATTTCAGACAATTTTGCCATTAAATTTTGAATCACTTTTATTAATGTGCAAAAACCCATAATAAGCAAAGGTATAGTCAATTTTGCTCTAATTTTTAAATGATATATTTATTTATATATATCTCAAAAATAATTACACACTTATTTTGTCGCCATTACTGATATTAAATTTTAATTTTCTATATTTTGATATTTATTCTAGTCAATAAAAAAAAATTTGCCCTGTCATAATCATACTTTGTAATCATAATTTAAAAAAATGTTCATAACTTTTTTTTTCCCAGTGCAATTATTTCTTTATTTAAATTGTGTTCATTTAATTTCCTTTGATTAAAAAATGTGAAAAAAAAATTTATATAAAAGGATGGACTGGATAAATTTTTATAAAGTAACTTGCAATGTATAAAATAATTACTCCTGAAATTTAATATGGAATCATTATCATAAAATTGATTTTATTATAAAATATCGGGATCTTAACCGTTAGAGTACCGGTTTGGTTTTGGTTTTAAATAAAAATAGAGATTGTTTAGGGTTCAATTTCGGTTACTAAAAATAATAAATTGTTCCGGTTTGTTAATTTTTTTTTTTAGAAATTAATTCTTTTAATTTAAAATTTAATTAATTTAGAAATAGTGATAACTTTGAAAACTAAACATTTTCTTTTACACATTTTACAAACATCATTTTTCTTTCTCCAAGAAACTATATTAGAAGACTCCAAAACTTGAATTTTTATATATTCAAGAATTTTGACAAATTTAACGAAATTTGAAGTTTTAGAATTTTTTCAAAAAAATAGTTTGGACATGTTAATTTTTAGAAAATTCTTTTTTCAAATTTTGACAATTTTGAATTTTTAACTCTTTTTCATAAAATTATCCATTAAAATTTTTTTAGCCAAAGCCAGTTCCCCATACATGAACGATTATTTTCCATAGCCAATAATAAATATTATTTTGTTTGTTATTTGTGTAAAATCCTGGAAATAAAGTATAGAGTTACAATATTTGATGATTAAAAATGTTAAAGCAATTTTTTTTTTTTCTCTTTAGCTTTCACCTTTTCTGGTGGTAAGCTCCTTCAACATCTCTCTCCACTTTATGTTATTCGTACAATCTCTTTTATCTATTTTATACTTCTTTATATTGGCTCTAACTTTATGGCCCCATTGAAGTTTTGGCCTTCCTCTTTTACGTTTGCCCATCACTTCCAATCTTTCAACTTTATTTCCTATGTAGTTCATAGGCCTTCTCATTGTGTGCCCATACCACCTAAGTCTGTTTACCATTAACTTAGTCTTAATGGGCACTACCTTTAAACTATTTAGTATTCTTGTACTGCGCACCTTATCCTTTCTTGTTACCCCAGCAATCATCCTCAGCATTCTCATCTCCATAGTTTGTAGACTTCTCTCGTCTGATTCTTTGGTTGGCCATGTTTCCGAACTATATAGAATAGTTGGTTGTACTATGGAACTGTAAATTTTTCCCTTTAATTTGTGTGGGATTCTTTTGTCAAATAGCACTCCAGATAAAGATCTCCACTTTAACCACCCTTGATTAATCTTATTCTTTATCTCTTTTTCTATTGTGCCGTTTGTTTGTATAGTGGAGCCCAAATATTTGCAGCTTTCAATTGCGGATATCTGCCAATCATTTATATCAATACTCTCCGTTTCATCTCCTCCTATCACCATATACTCCGTCTTTTCTCTATTTACTTTTAATCCGTGCGTTTCTAGGATATTTATCCAATTCACTAACCTTTCTTTCATTTCATCCTTGGATTCGGCAAGTATCACAATATCATCTGCAAATATCATATTCCACGGGACTGTTTGAGGTATAGACTGTGCTAATACATCTATTACTGTAATGAAGAGAAGTGGGCTGAGAGCCGACCCTTGATGAACTCCTTCGGCTATTGTGAAGCCTGCTGAAGTACCTGTTGTGCTACGGACCATTGTTGTATGTCCCATATACATATCCTCTATTATTCTTATATATTTTTCGGGAACTTTTTTGTGGCGTAGCGCCCACCAGATAAGTTTTCTTGGGATTCTATCGAAGGCCTTTTCTAGATCGAGAAAGACCATGTGTAGCTTTTTGTTCTTTTCCCTGTATTTTTCACTCATTTGCCTAATTGCATGGATAGCATCGGTTGTTGATCTTCCAGGCATAAAGCCAAACTGTGTCTCTCCTATTTCGATTATATCTCTTAATCTTTTTTCTATTATTTTTTCGTATAGTTTTAGACAGTGTGACATTAGTTTTATGCCCCTGTAATTTTGACAATTGTGGGGATCCCCTTTATTTTTGAAGATAGGAACTATATAGCTCTGCCTCCATTTTTGGGGGACCTCTTCATTTCCAAGTATTTTATTGTACAGATTTGTGAGGAGATGTATTCCATCATCTCCTAGTGCTTTAAGGCTTTCTATTGGAATATCGTCTGGACCCCTAGCTTTGTTGTTTTTCATATGCTTGAGGCATGTGATTATTTCTTGTTCCGTTATAGGTTGTACAAGGTTTTGACAAGGGGAGTGTTCATCGAGATGCAATATGTGGGAATTAAAGTTGAGAAGCTCCTGAAAATATTCTTTCCATCTATTCATTATTTCTTTTTCCTTTATTATCAATTTCCCATCTTTATTTTTGATTACTTTCGGAGCTCCGTTTATATCCCTAGAGTTAAAGCAATATAAATGAAAAATATCAATACAATGTTCTGACTTATAGACAAATTGATTTCTAATTAAAAAATGGTCTTGGTTTTTCGGGCTTCGGGCGTGATCAAAATTTGTTTATTACAATTCGGGCCCTGTTCAACTTAGAGATATTTTAGTTACAGCCTAAATGGGTGGGTCGTGAATAAAAAAAATTAGGCCCGCGTTTACCTCTGTTTGATTCCTGATAAAATATGATGCGAAAAAAATATATTATATTAAATAAATGGACCTCTATACTTTCCTAAGAAAATAACTATTTAACCCCCCCCCCCCCGCCCTCCAAATATTTATCACCTCCTCCTACCAAATTAAAATTATCATAAAAAGGAAATCCAAATCAGTATCTCACTCGAATTTTATTCAAATACGATAGGGTCATAACTAACCGCCTCCCCCAATTTCTGACGATCTTGCGTCATAACCCTCATTGGGTATAATTCCATGATTAAATATTAATTTTTTATTAAGCAGGTGACATTTGGACATTTATTAGCAAAATCTCGACCGTTTTTAAAAATCGGCTCAAATCGAGTCGTTTAACAACTTTTGCAATAAATAATTTTATTTATAAATAAATTAAATAAAAATCAAGTGTGCGTGCACAACACTGTAGTAAAATGTGGGAATAGGAGTAAGCCATCGGTCTGACTTCCTGGCTACAGAATATGTTGAACATAACTAATAAATTATATATTATTATAATATTTTTTATTGACTATGTATAATATTATTTTGTAATTCGCATACCTTTTATTTTTGTATTTCTCCATAAATCAAATCATGGATTAATGATCTTGGTAAATTTTTTATTGTAAAAAAAGTACTATATAATATATTGTAAAATTCATAATTTATGATTATACATTATAGTTATAATTATAACATTAATATTACAAAAGATAAAATTTTCGTATTTTTTTAAAAATAATTAAAGAATTAGTATAACAATTATAAGTTTTATATGAATTAATAAAAAAAACAAATGCTCCCATTTTCAAAAAGCTTATCTTTGGCTCATTACGTATATTCATTCTGAAACATTATTTTCTTTTATTTAAAATTATATTATTTTTTATTATATTTGGAGGGACTGAGTACGAATCAATTGCGTTATTAAAACTTTGGAGTTTAGAGAGTTCTGAACTGCCACTAATAACTGTTCTGATATGACTGAGCGTTAAATAGATAGGAGAGTAACTAATATTAGCATTTAAATTTCCAATTGGGATGGATACCTATTTTAAATTTTTTCAAAAGTTACTATTTAGTATTAACATTTCAAAATTAAAGTTATACATTGCAATTTAACTTTATCAAAATTTATCTAACCTATCCTTTTGTAGAAATTTTTTTTTATATAAATTAAATACAGGAAATTAAATGAACACATTAAATCAGAGACCTGCAGAGGTACCATTTGCACGGCCCGGCCCGGATTTAAAAATTTCAGGCCCGGCTCGGAATTTTTTAAAATTATATTCGACCTGGTATATACAAAAATTCACCTATGAGGTATTTTACCATGTTTTTCAGCGAGTATTATCGTTTATTATTTAAAAAATACATGTAAAAACTAATATTTTGAGAATATTATATTGAATTTATAAAAATTATAAAACTGTTATTATTTAAAATGGATATTTTGAGTATATACTATATTTTATATTGCATTTATAAAAATAAAACTAATATTCATAAAAATGGTAATAATATTTGTCATATACTTATTTTATATTACATTTAAAAAAAATAAAACTAATATTTAATTTATAAAAATGGAAAATATTTTGAGAATATAATATATTGTATAATTTACTATTTAATTTATAAAATAAAAATAAATCGCTATTTAAAAAAATGCATGTATAATAAATAGTATTTTGAAAATATAATCTAATTGCACAATATTAATATAATTTATTTTATAATATAAATTTTTAACAAAAGAAGATAATTGTATTATATAATATTGTAAAAAAAAATAATGAAAAATGTTGGATTAAAAACTTTCATGACTCAAGGTAAATATAATAAATGCAATAAATATTTGACAGTTTGCAAAGTAAAAAACCAGCATGATTGACGAAACCCTATACTCAAGAAAGATATTAAAAATTCACAAATTATCATGAAGAAAGAGAAGCATATCTACCTTTTCAGGTTGAAGATTACTTCTTCTTTCTTCAATTCTACCAGTAGTGGAAAAATTCCGCTCACAGCTTGCACTTAAAGCAGGAATTGCCAATTTTGCTAAAATTGGAAATTCGCTTTGATGAGCCGCCCACCACTCTAACAAATTATCCACCTTAAATGTTTTATCTATTATTTATGTAATTATAATATTCATCATCGGGTATTGGCATATTACCAGAATTACCATCGCCCCATTTGTCATAAAACGATTCAGTTTGTTTAACAACAGTCATAATTTGACTGGTCGATGGTATTTCATTTACTTCCTGAGCCTCTTGTAATTTAATATAATCTTTTATATAGTTTTCCGTCATTTTGCGATCTGTCCCTGACTACATACGTAATTGCTTGAATTTGGGACAGAGAAAAAGAGAAATAAAATGATACTTGTGTAAAACAAATTTTTCAATTAAAAAATGCTTTATATTAAGTAAAATCAATTACAAACTTTAAGAAGTGATAATCCTTTATTTGATTGTTTTGGTAAAATATATTCTAAAAATTTAGATATGAATTATAAAAAAATATATTAATAATACTTGAATATTGGGGCTTATTTAAGATATTCCTTTATTTGATTGTTTTGGTAAAATATGTTGTAAAAATTTAGATATGAATTATTAAAAAATATATTAATACTTTGAATAAATTTGCAGGAAATTAATAATTAGATCGATCTGTGGGTTGTTAGGTAGTGTTAACCATCACCCAATATTATATTAATCATAACTATAATATAATATAATCTTATAACCATTAACTCATAATGTAAAAATTTTTATAAAAAATATTAAGCCGGATATATTTTAAAAAAATTTTTAGGCCCGGCCCGGATATGTTAAAAAAAAAAATTTTTAGGCCCGGCCCGGCCCGGGTATATTTAAAAACTTTAAAATACGGCCCGGCCTTGCCCGAGCCGGGTTTAGGGCCGGGCCTGCAGGTCTCTGCATTAAATAAAGGAATACTTTGCTTTGAAAAAAATATGTAATATAGATTTGTATGTACCAAATAAATATATAAATAATATAATTATAATTTTGCCTTTTCATGAAAGTTCTTGCTAAATTTTAATTTGACTTTATCAGTAACCTATTTTCAAAATTGGTGCCTAAAAGGCGTGTTGGTTTTTCTCTAAGAATTAACTTCCCTAGACTAAACAACGTTCTACATGAGCTTATGTTAAACATTATATTTAATAAACAGTTTTTTAAATTTGGGAAAATGTATATTAACAAATTTTAAAAATTAACTAGTAAAAAACTTTTTCAAAAGTTTAGTTATTTTGACAAAAATGTAACTACTAGTTATTGTTAGCCAGTTACCTTTAAACAAATCTTTGCTCAAATCCTTTGTAAAAGAAACTTATGGCTTACATCTTTACATATCTCCGCATTATGAAAGTAAAAAAAAATAGAATCAGCTCTCAGCATCATAGCAAGTAATTCTAATTCTACTATATAAAATAATAAATTTCTCAAAACTGAGCTTCTTTCTCAGACTGCTTGCAAAATTCTCAAATTACGGAAGTTGATGTATATTCCTTTTTGGAATTGCATAAGTTATTACAGATTTCCTCTCAAAGAGAAATAAATTGAATTCGCCTTTGGGAACATATGTTCTTGTTTTTTTTGGATTTTTTTTTAATTAGAAATCTAAAAATAAAAACTTTTAAACATTTGTTTTCTCTATTATGATTGAAATTTCAAATGTATCTTTCTTTTTTTCGAAATTTTTTTTATTATATTTTTTTTTACTAAGTTCCGAAAAAATTTATTAAGAGTATTTTCCACATCTGGAGAAGCATATCATATTTATAAGGCCTAATATATAAAACTTCTAATAATCATCCATTTTCTCTTTTACTGAATGCGCTGCATTAGGATCGGTTAAAGTAATAAATAATTATATTTTGAGAATTAAAATAAGTAAATAAGACTATTTGGCAATATTTAAGTTTCGTTAAACTGCTCGATTTGTGTCTATTTTTAAAATGGTAAATTCAATATTACAGCCAAAAAAAATATTGCCCAAGGCCTGAAAGATTTCTCTAATAGATGTCCTAACCTTATAAAAATCTTCAGGCTTGTTTAATATTTTTCTGGATTAAATATTCAGCTAGCCGTTTTTAAAAATCGGCTCAAATCGAGCTGTTTAACAACCAGAGGCTTTTATACAAGTTTCTATGGGGACTGTAAAATTTTTTAAGAAAATTAGATGTTTTAAATATTGGTCACTATTATTTATTTTGTGGAATATTTCAATGCAGGCGAGAACCCTGTCCCTATGAAGTCGGCGCCTATGTTAATAACACTATTTATATCTAATTTATTATTATACGGGGACTCAGAACTAGTTCTACCTACAATAACGAATTAAATATTTACATTATTCGATTGGAAAATTAAGTTCTTTAAAAATATTTTCAAAAATGATAAAAAAAATTAAGATTATCCCAGTCTATTGGATTTTTTGCCCGGCCAATCTATCTTATATTTTTTAGGCCGAACTTTTGGACGGGCCAGGCTTTGCAAATCTCTGTTACAGATTAAAAATTATCCCTAAAAAATATTTTGGGTTTAATTTTTTTTCTAAGTAAAATGTTAATTTTCAAATCTCGTTTCCAACAAAACATTTACTAAATTATTTTCATTCCTGTAAATGTTCCAAAAATGGTTTCAACCAGAATTTAACCTAGGTTTGGTTTTGTTGTAAAGGGGGGGGGGCTTGACTCAGCTTATTAAATCTTTTCTCTAGTTGCCAAGCTATCTAAATAATAAACCCTTTTAAAGTAAGCGATTATTTTTTGAAATGTTTAATAAAAAAAATATATTTTTTATCTATCTTATTTAGTCAACTGTGTTTTTCGTTTATTTTTGATTTTACAGAAATTTAAATAAATTAAATAATAAATATTTATAATTTTATACCCACGTATTATTATACTACGGTAAGTTTAGATATAAGAATATTGTATGTAAAATTATAAGGTTAATAAAGATTTTTTTTATTTAAATCACGTTTTTATAATGATTTTCATATCCTGAAGCTGTAATATTTATTAATTTTTTTTCATCCTAAGTTGACTTAAATTAATTTTTAAAAAAATTAAAGCAGAACATAATTTTTTATGCTTAAACATTTATCTATGCAGAACGCGCTTGTGATGACTGAGGTAGTTATTACTCGTTATTTTTAATATATATAATTTTTAGGTATGGGTCTGACAGAAATAAGCTAAAAAATATTTATCAATTTTACAATAATTAACCAACCCCAACTAATTTCATAAATTATATTAGATATTGTCTGTTCATCATAAATAAAATTAAAATCAGAAAAATCTGAAAGATACCAGGTTTGGGCAGTTAATCAATTTCTTAATAATTAATATAAGTACTAAATAATTAGTTTAATTATAAAAGTTAAAAGTATTGATTGTGATTACACATTGTAATATTATATTTATAGTGTAAAAAGTGCTAAATTTATTAATTTTATTCGCTCATTTGTTTATTCCGCCTATTTATTTCATATTATATTATATATCGAAATCCGATTTTGATTATCAAGGAAGACGACGTTATCATAGGCGGCCATATGGCCTGGCCAAGCGAGTGGAAAAAGAACAAATCATGGCTCATTAATTGCATCGCTTAATTCCGTTTTAATAAGGATATCCATAGAAACACAAATAATACTTAAAAGCGAAGAAAGCGATTAATTTTAATAGAGAAACAAATATTTGGTTCGATTTAATGACAAAACAAAATTAACCCAAGGTTTTCAGCTACACAGCTTAACATATATGATACTATCAACACTAAAAGGTCTGCAATGGGAGGGATTTTTTAAACGAAGACCCTCCAGGCCATATAAATATTTTTTAACCTGCATATCCATAGTTTTTTTTAGATTTATCCGCCAGTCCCTCTATTTAAAAAATTTGTTTAATACACCCGCCCACTGTTTAAAAATTATTTTATTGGTTGGATTGGCCTTTATTCGTTTACCTTTTAATAAATATAAAGCCGTTCCACTCATTTGCCCGAAAAATACTTAAGAACACACCCGTCAGATGTTTAATCAAAAAATCCCATTAAATAGATATAATTGCAAAGATTCAACCCAGAATAACAAAATATAATAATTTCAATATTCATTTCTTAATCAACGTATATATGTATATACACCAACTTATAAAAAATCAAAAAAACTAAAAATATAATCCCAAAAATAAATTAAATTAATATTTAAAATCCTTTCGGCTTTTAAAATGAAAGATATCAATAACTTATATGATTAATTTTATTTATGATTTATCTGATTCTCCTAAAATTGTCAAAGGACGCACGCAAAACCAAAATCCACTTATTTTTTAAATTTATCATTTTTAAAATTAAAAAATTTATCAAGGAAAAGTTTGAATTTTTTATTTAAAATATATTTCTTTGTTTTAAAAATGGAAAAAATAAAATATTAAAATTTTTAAAAGTTACAACCTTCGTGTATTATCCTCGCTAAACCAATCTCGTAATATCCTATTTATTTAGTTTTTACATAAATTGTTCTTTAAGGACACTTATATTTTATTTATGAACACTTTTCCTACTTATTTTATATTAGCAGGGTTTTATCATTTAATCACATAATAAGTAACTTTTTCCAATATGTAATTAATTTTTTTTTCTATGATATTTTTGGACCATTCACATTTTTCATATTATGATTCAATTCTTTTTAAAAAATTATTAATATTTTTTTTACCGAATTAATAATAAATTAAATAAGTTATTTTTCTTCTTTTCTTTTTCAATTTGTTCAATGTGATTTGAAATATTCTATTATTCTAGAATATAATCTTCACTCTGGGCCACTATATTAGCAATTGGTTTGAACACAAAATATTATATTAGTATTAACCATTGATGAGATCTGAGCCAAAAATGAGGAAAGTCAGAAAATATCTAAAAGGTTTTACTTTATTTCAGTTCCTCACGCACACAAAAATATAATCACAAAATGAAGAACAAGGATAAAATATATATCATTTTTATTTAATCGAAAATATATTATTGACACTTCATCAAAAATAATTAATACATAAACTTTATTTACTACAACAATTACGACAGGATTTTGAACAAAACGAAACCTATTTTTTCCCCCGCATTTTTGCTAATCTCATCTTGAACTAAATCGGGCTCAAAATGTTTCCCCTAACTAGATCCCTGCAAGTCGGCTAGAAATTCAAAGTAATTTGGGGATGGCTTGATTCTAGAAAATTTTAAAACCGGGGCGAGTCTAGCTCGAGCTTGAAAAATAAGTTATAAATTAGTAAATTATTTGCCTATATGTGCTAGGTTCGACGTCCCCCATTTAGAAATCTAAAAATTATAATATAAAACAACCAGACGAATCGTTATTTTATAATTATTTTTAAACATTATCTTGAAAGATAGAAAAAATAATACACTCAAAATTAACGATGCATAACATACTTTTTAATTGTTTAAACTTTACAGATAATTTGTAAAAAAATGATTTTTTTTACCTTTATTACATAGGTATTAAAAACCATGTACGAACTCTACGGAGATGGACAATCTCATTCTTATCAATCTTTTATTTGTATTTGAATGTTATATTTTCATTTTAATGTATTATTAAATTTTTATTTGTAATATAATACGGACAATTTGACCATTATCTTAAATAAATTCTTCTATAATTTTTTACGAGGAAAAGTAAAATAACGAATTATATAAATAATTTCTCTTTATTTCTTATGAAAAGTTTTTTTAAAAAAAATGTGTGTCATCTCAATTTTTGTGATATATAAACAATGAAATTTTTTTATTGGCTAAATTTTTACCGTAAATATATTATTGCTTAATTTAACTAATTCATTTATTTAAAAAAACATATTCATTGATAGATACTTACTGGATGGTCAAACATCTCATTCTCATAGCGAAATTATCATTTTTCTCCACCCAACAAAACTAAAAGCTAAACTATTCGTAAATATCTTATAGCCTTTAGGCTATAGCACAAATCTATTATTTATATCAACTTAGTAAAAAAAATAAGTTTAAACAAAAAAAAACAATAAAATTGTTATAGAAGGTTTAAATAGAATCGATAACGGTATAGGCGAAACAAAACAAAATATGAAGCGTAAATCAACTATTTAGCTGTAAAAACAGCGGAGCGAATAGTTTTTACTGAACCTAATTGCAGAGCGCTGCTTAATAGATACATTTTTAATTATCGGAAAATAAAAGTTAATTTTAAAAAAAATCAATAAATATGTTAACAGTCTATGTGGTCAGCTCGTAATAGACTGAGAAATAAGTACGTTACCGCGATATCTTTCCTTTGCGGGACCCTCCTATTTGCCTACTTCATAATTCTCAAGGGATCTTACTACTCAACTTCAAATCGATATCCCTCTTTGATTTCCGTGACTCACAGTCTCTACTGGACCCAGCAAAATCCTTTGCGATATGAATTTAATAATAATCTCAAGAGCGGCGCTGATATTAAAGATAGGGAGGGAAGATCCCCCCACGCTAGCAGTAACAACTGGTTCTTAGGAGGAGGACAATTTTCGCCGCTTAGACTGCTGCACAAATTTTCGTCTTCCGTACAATCTTCAGCAGGTAACTCGGATATCGCCAATGGAAGAAACGTTAAAGGAGGGGATTTCATAGATCAGTATGGTAAGAAATTATCTAATTTTATATATTAACTTTTACTTTCCTATGGGTTTAAGCTATTTTTGATGCAAATGTCCTAAGTTGTTTGTTGGACAATTCAAAAATAGATTATATTTATGTCGTATGGGGATATCGAATCCGTGGGGATTCGGAATCTCTTGATTTTAAATCCTTTACCGAGGGCGATTCATAAAATTTTAAAATCCGATTTAACCGGTGTATTCTAGCATGTGTAGAGTATTTACCCTATAAATTTCAGCCATAGACATTTTGGTATTTTTTATTTTATATGAAAAATCCATATAAAAATTAATATAAATTAGTGCAAAATTGTTTGAAATTTACAGTTTGGGTACTCTATTTACACATGCCGAAATACAATTCCTGTAAAATCAAATTTTCAAAATCTAAAAATCGCCCTGAGTAAATGATTTAAAATCAAGGATTCCGAATCCCCACGGATTTCATATCCCCAATAATGAAAAGAATTTCAACTTTGGACGTAGGATTATCGAATTCAATATAATAATACTTTAGAAACCACATTCTAAAAGTCAATAATGTGAGTGTCAATTGTTTTATTTCGTGTTTGGTAAATGATGATTTGAGGGAATTAATTTTAACTTCTGAACAAATCGATAACCAAACTACTTAATAAATCTCTTTTATAATTGAAATTAAATCCCCGAGAAGAAATAATCATCCATCATACAAGTTATATCTTTGATTTGACACATTTATGAATTATCAAAGTAATCAAATCATGTTTTAAACACGAGGGGTTTCCAACTGACAAAATCTAACCAACAAAAAATTAGAATCCCTAAAATATAAATCGTATTGAGATATGGAATCCCTGAAGGCGATTTTTAAAATTGAAAAAAATCTGATCTAACCGGAAATGTATTCTAGCATATATAGAGCAACCACACACTACGAATTTCAAAACAGTTTCGCCGTTTAATTATTAATTTTGATTTTTCATGTAAATTAAAATGTATAAAATTAATGAGCTAATGGAATGCATTTTCGGTTAAACCAGATTTTTTTTAAAATTTAAGAATCGCCATCGGCGAATGATTTAATACAAAGCGATCTCGAATCCCCGTGGATTTCATATTTGAATACAACATTATTATATTATTTATGATGATATAAAATTTTACAAAACGTGGTCATGAAAAAAAGGCTAGGTTTTAGTTAGTGTTGCTAAACGGTTCAATTTGAGCATATTAAAAACGGCTAACTCAATATATCATTCAGAAAAATATTACCAAAACTGAATATTTTGCTCATAGATGACACAAAGATTTGGACATCTATTAGCAAATCTCAATGTATAGGCTTTCGCTAAAATATGGAGTTAGCCGTTTTTAAAAATCTCGAGCCGTTTAACAACACTATTTTTAGTTTAGTTAAAAAAATCTCGAGAGTTCGGGATCTCAGCCCTTATATATTATTTATAATTTTCTAAAAAAAATAAATTATTTTTGTTGACCAGCTTTATAGTAATAAAGCAATAATTTAATCATAAACTAATTTTTTATGGCATATTTCGAAACAAATTCATATGAACTTATAAATAAAGATGTATCCATAGTTATTCATTTATATAAAATGAAACTTTTCATGGTATACAATATTATTACGAAATTAACAGAAATACTGACACGAATATAATAGAAAAATATTAATTAATGTAATAGTATAATTACGATTGAGTTTTTATATAGTGTGTTTCGATATAATTTAATTATAATGGTTAACCACCAAACCTAATTATTTTTTAAACATAAACTTCCATTCAAATATATTGTAATATTGCTTCTATTAATTACCATTTCTTTCCAGGATATATTGCTCGTTTTTCAATAAATTTATTTTAAAAAAATGTTGCAACATTGAAAGTAGGTAGTACCCTCTTATTCATTAAGCATAGTCAGTATCCATTTTATATTTTAGCCATCAGTGAGTCATTAGATGAAGGGCCTCTGGGTGGCATATGGGGAAAAGTTCTATTCTTTTTTTATATTAAAGTTTATGGTTAGGCTCAAATTATTGGTTCCGTAAAACTCTTAAGACTAATCATACCATACTACTTCTAGTTTATAATCATATCAATTTATATTCATTCAAGCGCATCTTGCACTAATTGGTATCATTACCAAAATACAGTAATTTTAATATATTTGGAAAATCTCAATATACATTTTAAATAATGCAATTGTTCCACATTGTTTCTTGGAGGATTGTCTACTAAAATTAATCTTACATACCAAAATTTAAATTCAAGTATTTGGCCTCAGATGCATTTATATCCTCCAAATAAAACTTAAATAGTATTTGTAATTTGGATAATCCTCAATTGAGAAGATTGTCTAGGTCAAAGTCAAGGCTTGTGAATTTCTAAATCATATAATTTCGCTTTCGCCTCAACAATCACATAAATCTTGTGAAATTCTTGGTCGATATTCTTAGTTTTTTAAGTTGTAATATAACAATATTCGCGATTCTCATAACTTCAGCCAAATCCATATTATTTTTTTGAAAAATATTACATAGAAATATTGTATTTAAAAATTTGGTGAAATATCTTTATCAGGCTATCATATTTCTCCCAGGGCATTCAAAATAAGATGAGCTTAATGTCGAAGGCTCCATCTTGTTTGGCATGCATTTTGCATTTTCTTTCTTTCTATAGCACAAGAAGTTTTAGAAATCATTATAACTAGCAAATTCTGTCTATTTGGATATCTGAACATTTCATACACAAGAAATTTTGCCTACTAGTAGAGATAAATTAAATACAATATTTTTTTGGTTGATAAAATCTTATATTTATAAGTGTTTAAGGTTTAAAAAATAAACTAAATTTTCTTGAAATAAAATATTAATATAAAAGGAATAAATATTTAAATTAATTTTAACTTTTTGTTAATATTTAAAATAGAATATAACCTATTTGAAATAGAATACTTTGCAATGCAATTCAATTCATGAAAACCTTATATTTTTTCAAAAAATTTGCTACGGGAGGGGGTGGGGCACTGCCTATGCTCCTATATTTAGCTTATGTTATATAGGGAATTTTAGAAAGAAATTATTATAATATAAGATATAATATATTATTTAGCATATTTTAAAAGGTAACTAATTATTTACTTAGTAACAGCTACATTCCACAAAATATACTAGTTAGTTATATCTTCAATTGTAATTAGTTAGCTATATTTTACCAAAAATGTAACTAGCTATTGATAACTAGAACACTTACAAATTGATAGAACATCTGTTAAAGTTCTCTAAACTTTAAACAATGACTTCATTAAATTTTGATATAAAAAAGCCATAAAATTTTTATGATTATTTTTAATAACGTCACTATAAATGTAATACAATACCCAACGTAATTTATTAATGTTATATATTACTTTCAAAATTTTATTTTTTACCTTTTTGAAAAATAAGAAGGTAGTTAAACTTTAATAATTTTTTGTTTGTTTTATGTACCATTTTAAAAACGCGGCATTTATTATTTTATCCCCCTCCCGCAACAATATCTTACCACAACACAACAAAAAATTATTATTCTTACATCATTTTTAAAAAAACACAAATGATACTATATAAATGTTCTATTTAAAATAAAGTCCCATGAGTTAACCTGGAGTTTTTTATATCGTACCGCTATTTATAAGTTAATGATAGATACTATCAAGTCAACATAGAGCAATTTTCTAAATAGCGACCTAATTTGCTAAACACCAACCTATATTTATTAAAATACAATAAGATTCACTTATTTTTTATTATATATTAACGGAATCTCGTGGTCGAGTTTGATATATTTTGTATCATCCCCTCAGAACCACAAAGCTTGCTTCAGAAAAAAAATGATCCTCTGGATTCGAACCCAGAACCATCTGATAGATGCTCTTATCAACTAGGTCCCAGTCGCTTTCCGAAAATCACGAATACAAAATATGAATTTGATAGCGCAGTATCATCTAACAATTATATATTTTTCCCTCCATTTTTTAATGTTATATTATTAAGTATCTTGTTAAGCTAGAGGTGTACAAATTTATATTTTTTTCGGCATTTCCCGGCCCAAAATTTTTAAGCCCTTAGCCTGAATTACTCTTTTTAGGCCCTAGCCCGACCCAAAATAAAAATATCAATTAAAACTCTTTTTTATGAAGATAAATGCGTTAGAAAAAATGCTAATTGCTTTATCCTTATCACAAAAATTATCATTTTCATTTTAGATACACGAGAAAACATCATTTTATTTTATTTTTTGAGCCTAGTCATGCCCTAAATATCTTTAAGCCCTGTCAGATTTGCATGCTAGTTTAATTTATTAATAATCATTACCATTTTTTTAATATATAAACTCTATCTCATTTCCTAATCTACTGACTTGATATGTTTATTTCAAAAAATAAGGTTCCCATCGGGAATCGAATTCTTGTCGAAATAGCGTGCTGTGCCTCCTCTCTTAGTTTATGTATTTGATCCTCTAAGCCATATTTGCCATTCAATTGTATTGATTCATGAGGGATACATGAAATATTTTAGTTGTAGACGTTGATTTTAATCAAAATTACTTGCCTAAATACAGCAGCTGCTATATCTAGTCAGTGACCCAACTAAAGGCCTTTGTTTTTAAATTAAATATTTGGTAGATCTTGCCCTGAATCCACATTTACTTTTTCAATTAATTACATCATGTCATGACAACGTTCAAATTCAAAAAAATACATAAAGTTTTAAAAATTTGTTACATTAGCAAACTATAACATTTTTTTTATCTTAATATTTTGCAATATAGATCAAATTATTGTGGGATATATTTACCCTAAAATTTAATTGGTTTTATATTTTTATTTATTAGTTTGATAAAGGTGAAACGATTTTCCATTATATTATAATTATAGTAACAGCAAGGAGCATGTTATAATAATAAAATTTAATAAATATACTATTCATAAAAAAAGTATATTTAAAACCAATATGTTCTCTGTTTTTAATTTATACATGGATTTATGTTCATAGCAATTTGTCCTCTGAAAAAGTAGTATTGCATATTCATATTTGATTGAAATAATTTCTTATTCGTAATCGCATGAATAATAAAAACAACTATTTTATTTGATTCGTCGAAAATTCGATTTGATAAATTCTTTCAAAATATTTTCAAGAATGAATAAATTTTAAAAAGTGATTTATAGCTCTGGAAAAAGGTTTAAAATAATCATGTTAAATACCTAAGAATAATTTTAATATTTACGAATATTTACAAAATATTTCGAATAATTCGATCGAATAATAAAAAAAAAATTATTTGACAGATTACATTTTCTTTATTCGTAAAATTCGAATCGAATAACGAATAATTTGTTTAATAGGTATAATTTTTAGAAATAAAAAAATATTGACGTTTAATAATAATATTGTTTTTTATGGAAGCGATCAAATTATTTATATTGATTTATATAAGATAAGTTAGTCTGGATATATATTATTTTTGAACATCAAAGACTTATATCAAACCGAGAATATGTAATATATGATTAAATATAAATTTAAGTAGGCGAGAAGAAATGCTATTAAATTATATAAACAGGAAAAAATTAATATCACTCAGAATTTAAGCAGTTCCGCATTTTCAGGCCTCCTCTTGAGATGTGAAATCTTTCTGATTCACCTTTATAACTTCCCATCGAACCTTACAGGTCATACTCCGGAAATTTTCCAAATGCCGCCACCCATAACTAAAATTGACAAAATTATTCTTGAGCCCCTTGATTTAGTTACATTGTCCGTTAAGGCCCGATGGCATGACCTTTGTTTCTCGATGGTATTCTGAGATGACTTGCAATTGATTGGTTACTTTTAAAAAATTACCTAACATTAGAGTCCTTCCAACTGTGACGTCACTTTTGTCTTATTCAATTTAAAAAAGCAATTTATATTTTAAACTAAACCCTTTTTAATCATGGACTCTTACACCCCCTTCCCAAACCAATTACGATTACCACATCTTACCCTTCACCAAATCAAAATTTAAAAAAGCAAATTCAAATCTAAATTGCAAAAAAATCAAGGAAACCCACTACCTCCACCCAATTTTACTCAAATGATAATAGCTTTTTTGTAACGATATTGCGTCATGCCCCCTCCCTCAACTTCATAATTAAAATTCCTGAACATAATTATCCCTACGAGATACATGACTAACATCTTATAATTTTGCAGGGTCATCCGGTGGTCCAAAAAATTTATTAATATTGTAATTCCTTCCTATTATTTTTTTTGCCTAATTCAATTAAAGATCTGAAAATCGATCATCTTTGGCCTGTAAATTTTTTTAGCGGTCCAAATTCTTTAAAAATCTTATAGGGAAGAAATATGAGATTTAGAATAGTTATTTTATAGTCTATTTTATTCTTAAAGTATAAGGTATTAACGGGTTTTGAACCATTCCTATTTTTTAAAAATAGAATTCCTCCCGGGCCTGAAAAATTAGGCCCCGATGCAGATCACTAATATTTGTGATATTCAAGCAGACAAAAAATAAAGATAGGAAAGAAAATATAACATTAACATTTTTCGGGCCACGGGCCGGCCCTAAATTTTATTGATTTATGTCACAACTGACTTGATCCTTATAGGACTCTTAACTGAACACAATAAGATGAATTTTAAAACAAAATAAGGAAAGTTTAAAAAAAAGAAATTAAGAGTTGAGGAATATTTTAGTATTAAATAATAAATGACTCAGTCGCTACCTCTTGCCCTTATTTCAAAAATAAAATAGATAACAAATTATCAAGGTTATTGCTGTATATTTAAATTTAATTAAAAACATTTATGCGAGAATAAATATTTTAAATGAAAGATTTTTTCCTCTTTAAAGCCTTATACAGATTCGCTCTGAGGCCGATCTTAGATCTAAAAAAATTTATGCCACTGAGCTTCGGACACCCTTGTTAATCCATATACTATCATTTGACCAAATTATATATATTATTAATTATTAAGTTGAAAATCGTAATACCGGATTTTTTTTATATTTGTCTTAAATTTTGAAATGAAAGTTTAAAAAATTTTTTTTAAGGTACATTATAAAATTTTTGTTTTTTACGATTTTTATTTTATTTGACAAATGCTCAGGGTGGGGATTCAAATCAAATTATTAATTAGAACATTTTTTTATATGGTTTGTGTGTATAAGAAAATAATTGAAATTTTTTAAATTATTTTTAAAATTAAATGTATAGTAGCCGCCTAATAGGCGTATTATGTCATTCGGGGCTTCGAACCTGTGAAATTTTTTAACCGGGTTCGGCTTTGAGTTCAAAACCAGTTAAAATTTTAAATTTGTTAAATTCAAGATGGGTTTGCCAAAAATGGACTCTGTTCGAGTTTAGAAATGTCAATCAAATTTTAAGATATTTAATTTTGAAAATTTAAATTAAAAAACTATTTTTTTAGGGTATATTATATTCTATTCAAATATAGTAAAGCATAATACATTATAATGTCAGCAATATTGATTATATTTATACTATTATAGAAATCAGGCGTCAGGACTATTAGTGAAAAATTTAAATTTACAATTGAAGCAAAAATTATTGGTTTCTTATTTTTTTTAAAAAAGATTCTTACTTTAAATACTTATTTAGCACCGGTAGAACTCTTATAAGAATTGTGTGATATGGAGATATAAAAATAATATGAAAAATTTATTATAAATTATTTTTATAATTAATCTTTGTATAATTTATAATATTAGCTAATAACCCCAAGAATGACGGGGTTGAGGGGTAATTAGTTTGTGTATATGGTACTAAATATATTTTATAAAAATATTAAAATTTAGGAGAAAATGAGGTAAATTTGTGAATCACACCTCATAAGATATTCTTAATTTTAACTATGATGACCCGTCTTTCTTGATAGGCAAAATGAAAAAATAACTAAGAGTACCAGAGCTCCCGTTAGCATTGCTGAGCCCGTCAAAAATGACGGGGAATGAGAATTTTCTCCTTATTCTTATGATAGTTATTACCTGTTATTTGAAAATAATATCCAATTTTTATTCTTTATAACACTCCCCCCCCTTCAGGCTAGGCCCAATCCATTAAAACTAAGTGTAAATGCTATGTTTTGAGTCAAAATATATTTAAAACTTTTACTTTATACCTATATCAATATTATTTGTTAAAATATTACTGATCACATATGCCCAATATTTAATATTGAAAAAATTACAAAGCAAGGCCCAAGGCCATAATAATTTTGAAAAAATTTCCCCAACCAAAGATCATAATAATTTTGTTAGTTAAGAACTGGAATAAAATATGGGCTTTGGTTTTTTGATCAGGCCAAGCCCAGACCTGCAAAAAAAAATTGTTTTAGGTCAATGGCTGATCCATAGTTAATGATAAAAAAATTCCTAAGGATCCAAGCTGAGATTAATTTGAAAAATTTTTTCTAAGCTCAGCCCAATATAATTTATAAAAATATTTTCCAAGCCTAGTCCGACCCATTATAATTTTAAAAATTCTCAAACCTGGCCAACCGATAATAATTTTGAAATTTTTTTCCCAAGCTTGGAGATTCCAAAAAAAATAAATATTGATATAATTAAACTACTTTATCAAAATATAGTTTCACATATAAGAAGGTTTGTATTACAAAATTTAAGATAGAAGGAGGCTGAGTTGGAAAGAACGTCTACCTATGTGACGTCTAATCTTCGGATCGAATCCCGTTTATGTAAAAAAGAAAATTTCAATTTATCTCTTTAATAATAATTTAACAATAGAGGTATATAGTCTCCTTCGATTTATTAACATTAAGATGATAGGAAAGTTGATAGAAAAAATAAAATTAACATTAAGATGAGAGGAAAGTTGATAGAAAAATTAATATATAATCGATTTCATAAATTTTAAAAAAAAATTAGCATGAACCCGAACCGAACCCGAACCCATTTTTCAAAATGGGTTCAATTCAGATTCAAGAAAAATGTCTTCTAACCCCGGTTAACAGCTAGGGGTTTAGGTTCGGTTCGAAGTCCTGGTATAATTCGTATTACATGATATTATTCGAGTATGAATGACAAAAGATATATTATTATTAAGTAACTAAATCTACAATTTGTCCTGTCGAACCAAAATGTGCCCGACAAAAAGACACTGGACAGAAATACCCCTATTTTAAAAATACTTAGAAAATAAATTTTCTGATCAATTTATTTCCGGAAAAGGTATAAGTTTATCGGGAAAGATTTTGTCAAGTGTTTTTTTCGGCATTCAATCAGATATATTTGTTTTTATTTTGACTGAATTAGCTAAAAAAAAAATTATTAATAATAGGCTAATTTTTTATGATATTAGCTGATAAAATATTATTTTATAGATGTACAGACATTACTTCCGTTGCCTGTTTTTATATTAGGTCCTGCCTGTTTTATCACAATAGTCGGATCGTACCCGAATGTTAAGGCCAAATTTTAATATATAAATATTTAAGTAACCCGCTGCGATTTTTTTACTTTCAGCAAAATTATGGTTTATAGATAGAAATTATCGAAGGCTACTCTAGTCAGTCAGAGAAACTAGAAATATTATTTTCTTTTAAAAAATAGAACACTTTATCTTTCATTAATTTATTTTCATTTTTTTCCCTTAGATTTCAAACGATATTCTTCCTCAATCAACCTTAGCCAAGTTGCTGCTGCTCCACATCCTAGATTTCCTTACGAACCGCAGAATCAATCCCCTGCCTCCTCTTCCAGCCTACCTAGCCCCAAAACCTACAAATGGAAAATTCTTTGTTGGGTCCTGACTAATCCAGCCAATTTACGAACCCGAACTGTATACGTCAAACGTTCTTGGGGTCCCCGATGCGATTTGACTCTCTACCTCAGCACCTTTAGTGACCCGGACTTTCCTACTATAGGGCTCTTAGATAGGAACCAAACTTCTAGTATAGATGCGGATACCAAAAAAAAGGATGGAAAGAAATCAGGGAGCACGAAGGGCAAAAATAGTAAAAGCGGTAAAGGAAAAATTGTCGAAAGCAAGCAACTTAATTCAGAGAAGGCTCGTATGGCATGGACCTACATATACGAAAATCATTACAAGGATTTTGATTTTTTTTACAAGACCGATGATGATACTTATGTTATAGTCGAAAATTTGAGGGATTACTTGGAAACTAAAGATCCCAATCAACCCGAGTTTTATGGGCACAGGTATTAAAAGTATTTGAATATAAAAATTTTAATGTTTATCAAAGTTCTATATATTGACCACATCTATTCCACCAAAAATATTAGGGGCTCCATGTTGAGGCATCATTGTATTATATTGCTTTTGATAAATCGCTTGTAGTCATGAAAATAAAAATGGAATTCTCCGAAACTTAATAGATTTAAATATTCAAAAGGAAAAAAAGAAAGAAATCTCATAGAATATTCTGATAATAAAGTTATACAGTCTAAAAATTTGCTAGATGTTCAAATTTTGATTATGGATTGCAGGTACGAAGCATAAGAAGAGTCATTAACATATATTTCTCAGATGATTGATAATTTAAATATTTTTTGTTAAAAAATTGAAACATTAAGCTGTGTCCAAAATATCAAATAATTTCGCAAATTTTCGAAACTTTAAGCGAAAAAAAATGAATAAGTTTTTTTAAATATAAAAATACAGGGATATGAATCAGGATCCTGAACCCTCTTATTTTTGCTGTATCCAAACCCGGGCCCTGATCCTTATTAAAAGTGGAGTGTTTCAAAGGTTCTATATCTGTAAAAAAATCTTAAAAAAAATATTTAAATTTTTTTAAAATAAATATTCATAAGTATTCTTGTTTTATTTATATCAATTTTACAAAGTGAAATATTTTGAATTTTATAGTGTAGGTAATAATATTTTATTATTATTAATGATAATTTATTAATATTTTATATAATAGGGATGTGTTACTTATCTTGTTTTATATCAGTTTTAGAAAGTGAAATATTGGGAATTTTATAGCAGAGCCTATTACCAACATCGCAAATTTGCATGTTCTCGTAAATAATATCATTTTAAGTTAATAAAAATCCCCTACACCCCTTCCCCTCTCCAAGTGATTTATCTATAAGGAAGAATTCGATAGAAAATTTATTTAAAGTTAATAACTTTTTAAAATAATGACTAATTCAAAATTTTTTAGAAAAGAACATTTTTCTAAAAAGAAAGTGAAAACACAAAATTATTTTTATAAAAACTTGATATAGCCAAAGGCCTAGCCTACAATAAGTGCACCTAAAGATCTCCAATAAAATTTATGGAGAAAAAACTCACTCAATAGGTATTTTCTCCTCCCTCTTAATAAAATCCTGGATATGCCTATGTTTTGTAGTGTAGATAATAATATTTCATTATAAATGTTAAGGCTATACGATTAAATAAAACATTTAAAATATTAATTAATTTTTACTGTAAATTATGTATGTGTATATAAATGTAGTATAAAAATAAATGAAAAAAAATGGTGTATTTTGAGTCAATATTTCTTTATATCTCCTAAACCCGACCCTGTACAAGAACTCTTTTTTAAATTTTATTCCTGAATACAAACTTTTTTTTTGCCGAAGGGTTCCCATTCCTGTGTCCAAAATATTATTTCTACAGAATTTAACGTATGATTTATTAAAAATTAAAAACTTCTGAAAGTTTCGAAACTTTTTGAGAATTTTTAAAATAAGTTTTTTGACATAACGTCAAGAATGGTTTTACAAAGTTATAAATATTTTTTAAAGAAAGAAACATTAAAAAAATTTCAAAATAATATATATATGTTATGTCAGGACAGGCATTGCATTAGTGTTTACAACGGTCTCGTGGTCCTTTTTTCTAAAATGAGACCGTACCGATGAACCGCAAAATCAGGTTAGACCGGACCGGCCGGACTAAAAATGTTTTTTTGTTAAGCTATAAAAGTTTTATTCATCATTAAATTTTATTAAAAATGAAATGTGTTGAATTAGCAATATTTTAATTATACCATCAAATCATTTTTAATACTGCCTAATATTTCAAAATAATATTAAACCAATACCAAATTTATTGAATATAATATTAATTTGCATATTTAATTAGTTTTTGATATATATATATAAAGTGAATAGATATTTGGTTATAAAACTAATTTATAATAAATATTCTAATTATCTTCTAAAAAATCAAAAATTATTCCATTTTCAAGTGTCATTAGAGATTGAACCATCTTTGGATTCGTTTTTTTCTTATTTTATAACTAGCTTTAAAAAAGATCCGTTCACATTCTACTGATGTAGCCTGCTGTAGGAGATAGTCCATTGCTATTTTGGTCAGAATTGGAAATCGATATTGATTCCCTTCCCATCAAATTTTCAAAATCAATAGTTATTCTTTCACCCCAAGAAGATGATGATTCAATAATATTATCATCCTCTATAATTTCCATTTCTAAATACCTAATAAATTCAATCGCACCTAAATTAAATTGCAGAAATATAAAAAGTAAACGATTAATGAGATATTATATAGTGTTAGGCATTAAATAATCATGTTTTCCTGTTCATGTACATTAATTAAAAAGCAATTCATAGTAAACTTTTATCTTTTTAATGGGTTTTGACGAAAAGTATAAAAAAGGAATTCGTTTAAAAAAAATATATTTATTCAATTTTTGTAAAAATTCGAATTAACTTATTTCTAAACTATGTATTTACTTAGCGTCCTTTGAATGAATTTAACAATTTTTGAATTTTCAAAACTATTCATAACGTTTGTTGTGGATAGTGTTGTTAAATGTCTCGATTTTTAAAAACAATATTTTAGCCAAAAAATATTATGCGAGCCTGAAGATTTTGCTCATAGAAGGTATGTTTGCGGAGGCTAAAATATTGGGTTAGCGGTTTTTAAAAATCGAGCCGTTTAACAACACTAGTTGTGGAGCCTAAGCTCAACCCAATGATCTATTTGGAGATTGGCGATTCATTCATTAAATACATTTAAAAGTGCCCAAGCATAGGAGTCAGCGGTAGCGCCAATTTGAGTTTGCACGTCGATTAATAACATTAATCTGAATTCATATAATAATAAATAAGACAATTCGTCGACGTGCTAATCACAAAATGGCCACGTGTATGCACAGTTTTAATTGATGAATCATCAATTTAAAGTATACATAGTTTATTGACCGAATCTGATAATTTTAAAAAATAGATTCGGTTTTGGAATATTCAAATATCTTGGTTTAAATGTAAACGAGCTTCCATACTAATCTTTCCTATTTTAAATTTTTTTTTACAATTTTCTATTAAAAACTTAAAAAAGATTTATTTTGAGGAAAAAAAGAATATTCTTTTTGCGGTAATAAATCCTATGAATTTTATTGGAATTGAAGAAGATTTATGAGATCAAAGAAATAATAATAAAAAATTTACAAAAAGGTTTTAAAGATCAAAAGGGAGTATATTTTTTTAGAAAGAAGAAAGAAGAATAAAATTATATTTTAAATCGAAAATTTATGATAGAAGACTATGTAAGTTGAACTAAAGGTGAAAGAAATGAATATAAATGTGAGTTTGAGTATCAGTGATATAAATAAATAGACTGACTTAAGTTTTTTTTCTCATTAAAAAATATTGACTAACTTGACCATATCGCCACCTGATTATTTAGGCTTTTCTAACTCTTTCTTCCGTCGATTTAATTTTACGATTTAGAGTTTCTGAAAATGAGGAAACATTATCTGGTTAGTAGGGGTCTTTGTAAATTTAATTTGAGCCCGAACTCTGAATTATATATATATTTACTTTTAGGTTTGATCCGATATTTTTAGCTCCGAGTTTGAACATGAATTTAAACGTATTTTTTCTTAAACTAATATAAAATATTACCTATTGCTTTTTCCTAATTCCCGAAAGAATAGATTTGTCATTTATTTTAATCCGGACCAACTGATCAGTAAAAATCTTTTAGAAGTAAATCTCTTGTGATTTTTATGCATATCACAAATTTTTTAAGAAATTATTTTGATTTTTTTCCCTTTGAATTTTTTTTACAAACTTTGGTTAAAATTTTATAATAAGTAATCAACGATATATTGATAAAAGCGTGTTTAAATTATTACTGCTAGTCAGATAAAGAGCAGTTTGCAATCGGATACATAATTTAAAAAAAATTAAATTATTTCATTTTTAGTATTTAGTTATCGCCAAAAGGTATGAATAATTTCTTTAAAAATAATTTAAAATTTTATAACAACACAAAATCACATTTAAATTATTTATTATATGGATGTAGTATTTAAATTTGGTTATTCCATTCTTCTCTACTTTGAGCTAATGTTATATATTGCATTTTTATTCTATTATTTTTTTGGTTGGGCTGGGCACATATATCCCTTGCATATTTATGTAAAACACCCTAATTTTACAATATTTTGTATGTAATATATTTTATCCTTTATACCCAAATTTTTGCATTATAAAAAACAAGGTTCATACTCCGAGGCAAAAATGTGACATACATGAGTGGCGGAAGTGGGTTCATTTTAACTAAACGAGCCGTAGAGCTACTCGTCACCTACTCCTTCAAACGTTACCCCACATGTATACCTAAAGGAGCTGGAGAGGACTGGAAAACGGCTAGGTTTTGATTATTTATATAATTTTATTATAATTAAATATCTTTTATTTTGGATAAACCAAAGATTTTTTGTTATATAACATAAATGGATATTTAGTAGATATTAAAGTCTCATGGTGTTATCAATTTCGTATCTATAGATCATGTATTTTCATCATTTATATTAAAATATTTTATTTATAAAATTAAATTCTACATAATTCTGCTGACTCGAGTCCCAAGAAAATTTTATCTTTTACGATGTTTCTCCCGTTTCTTAAAAAATTTTGCATTTAATAACTAACTATTTTTATGTAATTTTTTTAAAAAATTATTTAAAAATATGACTCAAAAAATATTTATAATGATAGATGCTTGGAAATGGCAGGATGTAAAGCCGTTGACACTAGGGACCATTTGGGAAGAGAAAGATTCCTGGTATTCCCACCCAAATCTCACTTGGCCGGAACGTATCCTGCCTGGTATTACAAATATGACGTGGACGGAAGCGTTAAAGTAATTTAACTTTGATAAAATTAATAGAAAAAAGGAGTAAATAGAACTTACAAATAGGTAGGGAGTTTGCTCATATATTTAATTATGACAAATAGTTAATATTTCTCTTCATCAGATCACTGCTTATTAACCCGAGTTTAGCACTTGATAAATAGATGCTAAGATAATATAGTAAGAAAATTTTTTAAAATTATTTCAAAATATTTTTCTCTCAAAGGGCATTGGCTGTTGCTCATATTACCCGATAAGCTTCCATTATATCCGCGGAACCGAACTTCTGATGATCGATTATTTCCTTTATCGAATGAGAGTTTTGGGTGACGAAAACTTTTGGGACAATTACGTTCCGGGATTATCGAAAGATATAATTGATCCAACCTCTTCGCCACCTTCGATAACCAACAAACTCAAACCAAATAACGGGACCAAGAATGCCATTATCGAAAAAATCCATAAACCGCTGGTCAGCCGTAAAGTTAAGCGTATTAGTCAGAGCAAAGATAACTCGATTCTCTCTACTACGGCTATTATTAGCACTTATGCCAGTCCTAAAATGCTCAATTCCGTCCAAAAATTATTCGGTGTAACGAGTGCCTCAGTAAAGGTAAATGACAATCATAATCATCTTAAAACTCCACACATGACAAAAGGAACGAAAGATAAAAAGAGGACGGCAAAAGGATTACCTTATTATCAAACATCCTTATCATCAAACTTCCTCGCATCTTCGCATTCATCGACAAAAGGCAAAGGAAATTATAAAGATGTTTCTAGAAACGATATTTTATTTTAATGAATGTTCTTATCCGAGATTTATAATTGGAATGTGATCATATGAAGTTAGACAATAAGATCCTTAAATTTAAGGTAAATTGAAAACTTCAAATGTATGGTTTATGAGCCATATTTTTTTTAAATCTAAAATAATCACGTGAGATTTATAACAACTCCCAATGACGTAATCATCAAATCAACAGTGTTTTTACGTTTATAATAATTTGTTATTGAGGAATTATATATAAAAATACAACTCGTTCTCTTAGCTTTAATTATATAAATCAAAATTCTAAAAAAAATAAGGCAATCATTTATATTCATTCTATGACTGAATATGTATGAAAAGGTAGTAAAATAGAAAATAAGCCAAATTTTTCATGTCTTTTTTTAATTATAAAATCAATTATTTTAACATTATGATTGATTATATTATTGCAAAGTTAAAATTATTATGCAAATTATAAAAATAACGCGTTTAAAACATCTAGGAAAAATAAGAAAAAATATAACTATTTTGTATTTTCTTTTCATCTCATATCAAAAATATTATTAGTGCATATTTTTTAAAAAATCCCTAATCAGTATTACTCTTCAACTCTTTCCCATTTAGTATTATTATTTTTGTTTGTCGGAAACATATCAAAATGATAGGCAAATCGTTATAATCATGGGTGACGCTTGATGTATCATATTAGTATTTTATTTTGCAATAATTTTTTTTTGTTATTTAAATCGTTTATTATATTATCATAACTAATCTTAACTCGTTTGTGGCTATTACCTTAAAATATTTTAGGACCAAATGTATAAACCGTCGTTTTTTATTCATTCAAAATGGTTTATTTTTTAGCAATTTAATTAGTTGAGATAAATGAGAAAATAAATTATTTCTAAAATCGTTTAAAAAAATAAAAATTTATAATGTTATATTTATAAAAAATTATTTTATATTATAGCATCGATTAATATTTATTAAAATTTTATAAAATTTTTGATAACGTCCTTAACCAATTTATATGTATAACTTTATTGGCTAAAATTTGGGTAAATTAATTATATTTGATTCTTTTTTTTATCATGATCGATATTAGATGAACATTAATTTGAAAAGTTGTATTTTTTTAAAATTAATAAATGGTTTTGATTGAATCTGAATATCATTTAGGCGTTGAATTGTAGTTGTGAAAATACCAAAATGTTAAAAAAAGAATATTTAAATTATATTAGATTAGTAGCGTAACTAGGGTTGGAGGAGCACACTGGCCCGGTCTGGGTTTAAAAATGTTAAAACCCGACCGAAAAAGATTTTTTTTTAAATAAATTTATTAAAATCATAATATATTATTAATCAGTTAAAATTATCTATCATTAAACTTTCATTCAATACCCTTTGAAACTATTTTAAAAAATATAAAGTTAACATATTTAAAATGACCAAATTTTTAAAATAAACTACTTCGGGTCTTAAATTATCAAAATAAAAAAATCTGGGCCCTCTGGCCAAGTTTAAAACATTAGAGTGGGTAGATCTTGAAAATTTTTCGGTATTAATATTCATGAAACGCCATATTAATTTTAGATATGATACTCTTTTATAGTCTTTAATCAAATTTTATTTTAATAGTCTTTATAAAATCGATTGACATAATATTTGTGTATGGAATTATAAATTAAACAATAGCCTATATTTATTATAATTTGTCCATTTGTATCGAGTTTATAAAATTATATATAATCCAAAAAAAGAGAGAAAAATTATAAATTTTAACATCAAAATATTTTCGATTAAATTTTAATTTCTTTTTTAAAATAGACCATCAATTATGTTAAAATTGAACAACTACTCATACTAAATTTCCATAATATAAGTCATTTTTATATTGTAAACTTTTGTTTTTATTTATTTTGTATTAAATTGAATCATAGAATATGACTAATTATTTTAAATGAGTATTTTTTTAATAAAAAAAGTTTTAATGTTAAAGAATTTTTTTAGATAATTTAAAACGGGGGCACCATAACAGGATTTTAGTTTTTTTAATATGATGTTTTAAATAAAAATGTAGATTAAAAATTTGATTTATACTGATTTTATCTATTTAATGAAGGCTTCGTTGAGTATAATATGGTATGGATTATATAAATTATTGTATATTATAAAATTAACCATGGCAATTTAATAACGATTTTTAAAACATTCAAAGTTTTTCTTCGATGACTGATGTGTAAAGACATATGGTATGATGAATTTCGGAGCTTAGAGATGACACCCCGGTCACTGACAGGCCTGGACAGCCGGGTGCTAAGGATACCTGTCCAAACAAAAATGATAGAAATAAATGGAAATATGAATATGAAAGCTAGGGCGTTCCCTCCATGCGACGCGCAGGGTGTAGACCTCCATCCTGTGAAAAATAAAGTAAAGGTCAAAGCAAAGAAGACAAGACTGGAAAGTTTGAATATTGGGACGCTTAAAGGTAAGACGAGAGAATTGGCATCAATGTTGAACAAGAGAAAAGTTGATATAGCGTGCATACAAGAGACGAAATGGAAAGGACAGAAGACTTTGATGATTGGAGATGGGTATAAATTGTACTATAATGGACTTGTTAGCAATAGGAACGGTGTCGGCATCATCCTCAGCCAAGACCTAACCTCTTCAGTAGTAGAAGTCAACAGGATCTCTGATAGACTAATGAAGATAAAACTCTGCATTGGTCAATCAATACTACACATCCTATCAGTATATGCTCCTCAAACGGGTTGCAAGGAAGAAGAAAAAGATGACTTTAGAGCTATCCTTGATGAAGCTGTAATGGAAATCCCTAAGGATGACCTAGTCATAATTGGTGGTGACTTAAATGCGCATGTGGGGAAAGCAAGAGATAGCTACAAAAGGCATCATGGTGGTTTTGGATACGGAGAAAGAAATGATGAAGGAAAGCACGTACTGAAATTTGCGCAAGCCTTCGACCTTGCCTTAACCAACACCTACTATAGGAAAAAAGACAGTCATTTAATAACATATGAAAGTGGTACTAGGAAAACACAGATAGATTACATGCTAATCTCTCGCAGAAGATTAAAAGATGTAATAGACTATCCCAGGAGAAGATATAGCAGCACAACACAAGCTACTAATCATGGATTTACAAATCTCAAATAAATCCACTCAAAATAAGATAAAACTGGAACCATGCATCAAATGGGGCAAATTAAAAACAATGACAGATGCCTTTGCAATCAATGCAAACATTGAAACAATAAATTGCTCACAAGTCAGTGAAAAAATCTGGACAGACCTTTCATCCAGATTAATAGACACTGCAAAATCGACGCTAGGCTTGACAAGAGGAGGCAACAAATCACACAAAGAACTATGGTGGTGGAATCAAGAGGTACAAACCACTATACAGGAGAAAAAAGCCCTTTATAAAATATGGTACAAATCCAAAAATGCTGATGACAAGTCAAGATACAAAAAATCCAAGAGATTAGCTACAAAGGCGGTGGCTAGGGCCAAATCTATGGCATACGATGAGATGTACGAAGATCTACATACCAAAGAAGGGCAAAATAAAATATACAGATTAGCCAAACAGCGAGAAAAGAACTCTAGGGATATAAACGGAGCTCCGAAAGTAATCAAAAATAAAGATGGGAAATTGATAATAAAGGAAAAAGAAATAATGAATAGATGGAAAGAATATTTTCAGGAGCTTCTCAACTTTAATTCCCACATATTGCATCTCGACGAACACTCACCTTGTCAAAACCTTGTACAACCTATAACAGAACAAGAAATAATCACATGCCTCAAGCATATGAAAAACAACAAAGCTAGGGGTCCAGACGATATTCCAATAGAAAGCCTTAAAGCACTAGGAGATGATGGAATACATCTCCTCACAAATCTGTACAATAAAATACTTGGAAATGAAGAGGTTCCCCAAAAATGGAGGCAGAGCTATCTAGTTCCTATCTTCAAAAATAAAGGGGATCCACACAATTGTCAAAATTACAGGGGCATAAAACTAATGTCACACTGTCTAAAACTATACGAAAAAATAATAGAAAAAAGATTGAGAGATGTAATCGAAATAGGAGAGACACAGTTTGGCTTTATGCCTGGAAGATCAACAACCGATGCTATCCATGCAATTAGGCAAATGAGTGAAAAATACAGGGAAAAGAACAAAAAGCTACACATGGTCTTTCTCGATCTAGAAAAGGCCTTCGATAGAATCCCAAGAAAACTTATCTGGTGGGCGCTACGCCACAAAAAAGTTCCCGAAAAATATATAAGAATAATACAGGATATGTATATGGGACATACCACAATGGTCCGTAGCACAACAGGTACTTCAGCAGGCTTCACAATAGCCGAAGGAGTTCATCAAGGGTCGGCACTTCTCTTCATTACAGTAATAGATGTATTAGCACAGTCTATACCTCAAACAGTCCCGTGGAATATGATATTTGCAGATGATATTGTGATACTTGCCGAATCCAAGGATGAAATGAAAGAAAGGTTAGTGAGTTGGATAAATATCCTAGAAACGCACGGATTAAAAGTAAATAGAGAAAAGACGGAGTATATGGTGATAGGAGGAGATGAAACAGAGAGTATTGATATAAATGAATGGCAGATATCCGCAATTGAAAGCTGCAAATATTTGGGCTCCACTATACAAACAAACGGCACAATAGAAAAAGAGATAAAGAGTAAGATTAATGTTAAAGTGGAGATCTTTATCTAGAGTGCTATTTGACAAAAGAATCCCACACAAATTAAAGGGAAAAATTTACAGTTCCATAGTACAACCAACTATTCTATATAGTTCGGAAACATGGCCAACCAAAGAATCAGACGAGAAAAGTCTACAAACTATGGAGATGAGAATGCTGAGGATGATTGCTGGGGTAACAAGAAAGGATAAGGTGCGCAGTACAAGAATACTAAATAGTTTAAAGGTAGTGCCCATTAAGACTAAGTTAATGGTAAACAGACTTAGGTGGTATGGGCACACAATGAGAAGGCCTATGAACTACATAGGAAATAAAGTTGAAAGTTTGGAAGTGATGGGCAAACGTAAAAGAGGAAGGCCAAAACTTCAATGGGGCCATAAAGTTAGAGCCAACATAAAGAAGTATAAAATAGATAAAAGAGATTGTATGAATAACATAAAGTAGAGAGATGTTGAAGGAGCTTACCACCAGAAAAGGTGAAAGCTAAAAGAGAGAAAAAAAAAACATATCTGTAATATTAAATAGGATATTTAGCAATATATTCGGTTTTTATAATAATTCTTGTAACTAATTTTACATCTCTGGAAAATCTGCCACGTCGCACTCGAAACATGTTAGGATCGATGTTCCGTTTATAGCATTCTCAATTCCCCTCAAACGGCCCCGTATTTCCGCCACTTTGCAGGGTAGCTAAGTTGTTAAAAGATTCTTTTTAAATGGATCTTGATACAGATATATCGTCTAAAAAGTTGTCTAGATACAGTTACATCGTCTAAAAAGTTATCTATATATAGATACAATTTTTAAAATGTGTCTAGATACAAATACAATTTTTATTATACTCTTGTATAAGGTTTGCATAAACCTAAATTAGGATTCTATTGTGAAAATTCATGAAATGAGCAAAATTTGATTCAATATCACATTTATCAAATTACAACTAAAATAATGATTTTTAGATTTTAATATAATAAAATAATATAATATATGAAAATATGAGTATATGATTATAAATAATTATTAGATTTCAGTAATAAAATATTTTATTTAAGGCATCCTAGTTTATCTGTAAAGACATTTTTAGCTACACTAAAAAGTCTTTCTACCGGGGCGCTTGAAGGGATTGTGGTGTTGTTATATTTTATGAATAACAATTTTATATGAGGATATTTTTAAAAATACTAAAATCTAGACATTCATTTTTGAAAAAATTATTTAAAATTTGTATCAAAATTTAAATCATTATCAATCATATTTGCTGCTGTGGGGTACAAAAAAATCGGATATTAAATTATTTGTTTTTTTTTCACATGTCATTTGTTTGCAATCAGTTGAAGACCTTGATATTTCATCAACTAATCTTTGTATAAATTGTTTTTTTTATTAAATTTTTATCCATTTGTAACCATGTCCAACCAAGTTTAAAAAAAGGATGGAGCATAGTTGCTATAATATTTTCTTCTTCAAATATTTTCTCAATAAACCTAGAATTATTAAATATTGTTTAATTTATTATTATTAATTTACCTATCTTCAATCCCTTTAAAAGGTATCTAGGAGTGGTAACAAAATCTCATGTTCATTTGTTTAAAGATAATCAACTGTGAAATGGTTGCACAGTAATAAGTAGTGTATATATATTTATCTCCTTGCAAAATATCAAGAGAACTAGCTACTGGCTTCATTAGCTTAAAATGATGCTATATAAATAAATTTTATTTGTAACTTACTAAACAATATTCATGAATAAAATCACATTCATTAGATAAAAACCTAGGTAGTTATTTAATGAATATTTATATATTTTTTTTATATACAAATTTTAATATTTTATATATATTAAATTTTTATTACAGTTGTCTTAATATTTTTAATATTAAATATATTTAAATTATATGCTCATATGAAATAAAATAAATTTTGCATTCAAATATTTTTACTTATAATATTAAAAAACAAAATAAAGGTATGTCAAAATGTATCTTAAAAAGTATCTAAAAGATATAGATACCTCTAAAATAATATCTAGATACAGATATTTTTAAAAAAAATCTATCTAGATACAGATACCACATTTTTATCTAGATACTTTGACAACTCTGCAGAGTAGTGATGTTAAATGGCTCGATTTGAGCCGACTTTTTATAAAAGGCTACCTCAAAATTTTATCCAGAAAACTATCACTCAAGCCTAAAGATTTTGCGCATAGATAGCACAAAGGTTTGGGCATAGCGAAATCTCGAGGCTTAGGCAATATTTTAGGGCTAAAATATTGAGTTAGCATTTTTATAAATCGGCTACTGCAGGACACCATTATATAGTCGTGGCCAAGGCCCTCCATTCGTTGGCCATGTGTTCTATATCACTGGTAATAATGGTGTAATATACTAGATGAGTATCTAACTTATAACTAAGACAAACACACTATATTCTAAAACATTTATATATCCCATAATTATGAATAATTACAAAAATAAAAATGTTGTTCCCATTCCTAGTGACCTGGTAAAGCAAACTTATTTAGGTTATCAGAATAGCTTTTATTGGTTGCAGTAAATATTAAAAATTGTTTTTGTATTGTGAATGTGGTGGTGAATTTGGCTAGTAGATTAGGATTTTTTGGAATGACATGTTAGGATATATTTGTACTTTAGATATATGGATTTAGGATATATGGCACTGCCGTGAGCTAATATTTAGTGAGTGACTAGTACTATTAATTCCTCAATCAAATATGAGAACTACAAATAGAAACTTGCGTTATAAACAAAATGAAAACGTTGTTTTAAGCAGGAACCTGAAAGGGTATTTTTGTGTTCCCGTTCTGGTCATAAAAATTGTTCCGTTCCCTTTCACGTTCCTAGAAAAATATCTAAATATATTTTTTAAATCTACACATTTTAATTAATCATTTAAATGAATCAATTATTACATCGAAGCAATAATATATTTTCTAGATTATAATTTATATTGTTTCTTTGTGATGTTAGTATAAATTTGAGTGTCGAAAAACAACGTTCAATACATACCTGGCTACATGGAGTTGCTAATACGATTTGGGCCAATTCATACAGGATAGAATTTTTTATTTTAATAGTATTCAAGCAATTTTTTGATTTATCTAGACGATTCGCTCGAAATTTTTTTACAATTGATAGAATATCATACTTTTTATAAGTTTTGCTATGTTTTTCATTTTTATCTTTGCTTAAACACATTTCTAATTCATCTTATTCTTGTCCTTCAGAAGATTTATCCGAATTACTTATATTTAAATATTCATTCTTAAATTTTTTAATATGTTTCCATGTCGCCAATTAATGATTTATAGCTATATTGTTTTTCTCATCGTTCAAAAGAGATTTAAAAGATCTAGATATAAGGCAGAACAAAGTAATTAATTCATTAGCATTTTGTCCCTATTGCTGGCTGAAATAAAGTCTTATGATAACAGGGAATTATTTTTTTGAAGCCTAATTTTACATATGGTCCATATGCTCTTTTTCGGACATAGCTTGCTTCCTTTAACGGCTCTAATAAGGCCACCATTTTTAGTTTTCCAATTTTCATAGGAGAAGAAAATTCCAGGATGTACTATTTATAAGGATTTAGAAAATAAAAAGAACTTAATATATACACCTGTTAGATGGATTAAAAAAAATTTTTATATATAATTTTAGGAACGTTGCAGTTCTGTCCCATAAATTTACTCAACGTTCCGTTCCATGTTCCTGGTTTAAACAAATGTTCCGGGGAATTCTCATTGCGGTAACTTTCCCATTGGAATTTTAAGAATAAACTTAAATTTATGGGGATAAACAGAATTATGGATCTTAATGATATTGCTTAAAATGTAGCCGATAATTTTTAATTTTATAATATATTTTATTATATTCAAGTAACAGCTGATAAACTATAATGCAAATAAATATAAGAATATACATTAAATGTGTAGTAAAATACATTATCAAAACTTGACTTCATTAGTACTATCAGCAACCCTTAATACTATTGTTATCTGAATCGGATATTTCAATTTTTCCAAAAATCTATTGTTTCTAGATTGGGTATTTGAGGTGAATTGCTGATTTATTAAGTATAAATTATGCCGAATTAATACTAACATTCTACCTTTTTATATCCTAACTTATTTCCTAATTTTATTGTGTTTCCAAAAACTGACTATATACGTTCAGATGAAGCACTATTAGAAGGTATAGATAAAATAGGGCAATTGTAGATTATTATTGGGTTGTAAAGTACATGTTATTGAAATAAGATATCTCACTCTATCCCAAATTAGATACATTTGTTATCAGGCCTAAGATAAAAACTAAAATGTTAGCTATGAATAAGTGTACCCAAGCTATTCGTGGTTATTTATAAGAAAAATTAGGATTTACCTTTTTAAGAGCATTCTTAGTATAATTAAATCATACCTGGTTATATGTAATCTATTTTGGAAAAATATATTTAATATTAAGCTTAGGAAACAAACACTATAAATGTGAGCTACTAGAATATTCTGAATGAATGTATTCAACTTTAGTATAATTATACTTAAGTATAAGTAATCTATTATGAGAAAAGTTATATTTTCGAATAAAATATAATTGTTATTAGGCTTATGAACCAAAAACTATTATATGTGAGCTACGAGAATATTTTGAATGAATGTATTCAAGCTAATGATTATTTGTATGAAATATGATTTACTTTTTTAATGATTTTAAAAAAAAACTATTATATTTCTTTTCCCTTTCAATAAATTCCTAGGGAATATATCCGGGAATATGCCCGGGTTAATAACCCTATCTCCTAACCATATTTTTTTGAATATACTGGGATCTCTGATTCACCCATAGCGGGTTACCTTATCTCAGTGGCCTATCTAGGAATTTTTCTTAGCGGGGGTCAATACATATAAAATCCTGGGGGCTTCGCTCCCAGACCCTTTTAACGGCCTTCGGCCATTTTCCCAGGCCTTCGGCCGGGTTTATCTTAAAAATCATAACCACATCTTCGACAATATATAATAAATATATATTTTAAATGCATGAATATGTTATTCTTTATAATAATACTACCCAGAATAATTTCAATAGTAATATAATATCCTTCCACAAACATCAAAACCAGAAAAATATAAATATTAATGGTATTTATTTGATATAAAGTCACTTTTAAGTCTTTTGAACGTATACTCTAAAAAAAAAAATTTGCTCTGGGAGGGGTCCAAACCCGAAAACCACATCCGTAGCTACGCCACTGCCCTATCTAGTATATTATAATAACTATCATTCTTATTTATTTTCTTTTTAGCCAATCTAATATAATTAATTAAAATGTAAGTATATACACAGCAGGTTTAACATCAAGAATGTGATAAAATTAACGTTTATAGCTTATTAGCAGGATACACGTATATAGATGATGGAATATTTTTGAATAAAATCGTGGTGTCATTAAGTTCATTAAAATTTTCAATTTGAATACCAAGTTTAGGCAAGGTCTGCAATCCTACATTTAAGGGCATCATGTTGTAATGAAATGAAGAACTGCCACCTAAAGGCATTAATTTAAACGGGATAGACATTTCTTTCATACCTGAAAATATGAAAGATTGACTTTCACCCATAGCAACTTTGCCTTGGTATATCATGGTAGTGGAGTTATTGGTTAGAGTGTAAATAACTCTTAATACATCGTGAACCTTAAACCAATGAAGGTTATAACTTTGTAAATTTTGAGGAATCAAATTGTCTATATTAACGAGCTCTGACACAGGCCTGGTGGGTGATATATCTAGATTGAGATCTAAAGGACAAATCGAATTTTCAATTTCCACTTTTTTATCGAAATCAAAATAACTTTTAAACGTTGGGTTCTTTAAGTTTCCGTGGTGCAAAATACTTATCTTTCTCCAGATCACGCATAAAGTGCCAATAATGAAGTGATTAGGCGGTAAATATTGGGTATTTTTGTTTATTTCGAACGAGAAGGCCAAAGCTAGTGATTCGCTCCCTCTAAGCTTTACCGGCAAAGAGGAATGTAATCGAACGGATAATTTGCCTCTCTCATATCTTCGGCACGTTTCTGAACCTTTAAGTACATCAGATACCAGGCTAATATTATAATCTATCGCATTCTCCTTAAGTTCTGGCAGTTTTAATTCATAATCTTCTATTTCGAACAAAGTTGTGTCGTCGTCGCAATGTGGAGTACCTTGGCCAACAGGTTTTAATAGAAACATTTTTGATTAGTTATCGTTTTTTAGTCACTGTATCTTTTCAAGCGCATAATGTCCTTTTTACAATAACAAATAAACCTCTTAAGAGGCTAATTAGATTGAAGAAGGACACATATCTAAATAAAACAGCTATATCGTCGGCTGAGTATTATAGTGTTCTATATCATAATTTTTGCATAATGCATTTATTCGAAATATCAATCTATCAGTACTATATTCCTCAATATCACTAATAAAAATGCTAAAATATAATTTAGAATTATTCTTTATTCGCATTATTATGGTATGATCTCTTAACTAAAATGTTTTTTAAAAATGCTTAACTGATAGAATACTACTCAGCTGACGATATATTGTCTCAAAAAATAAAGTTATCTTTATCAGGAATGGGTTTTTCTGGAATTTATTTAATAATCACGTCCATACATAATGTCATTTAAATAATAAATTTAAAACAATATTTATAAAATTCAAACTTACCTTTTGTTCCAAGCTCCAAACAAGTCACTACTGAGATCATGTTGGCTCCTACTTTATCATTTACATATATTATAGGTGGATATACCTGACAATTAAGGTTAAAAGGTGCTAAAACTTTAAATTCGCATGTTTTTCCCCAAAAAATCTTTTCGTGATTCTCTTCAATAACTTGTTCAGTATTTTTTAATTTAATTTTGCAACCAACACGTGTCGATATTATGAAATTTTTTATATTGTTGGGTTGAGCTATATCTCCCATGAGGAAAGGCTGATTACGGGTGCACAAAGTAAAAATATTATTTTGTAAGGTTATATTATCACAATTAGCATCGTCTAAAACTTGGTTGTCATTTAAATCTATGTGATTTTTTAAAATGGAAGCGTCAAAATTTTGAAAGGATTCCATAGAATGGGAAATCAATGTTTCAGAGTGAGGAGAAGATGACATGTTGGCTATATTTTTTTTAAAAAACGATAATTAGTGATTAAAATAAAATCCTTAAAAATAAGTATAATTAATAATAAAAAGTTGATTACTATAAAAATCGATTTTGAAATCGTAAAATTCGTAACTTTCTTGCACATCAGCACTACTTATATATGTCAACCGTGTTTCCCATTCCGTGATTTCATCATAAAAAACATAGTTTTGTTTTAGGATGTTTTCAGATTTGGGTACTGTTTCAACTTGAATGGTAGGCAATTTTCGGTTATCTAACGAAGCAATAACGAGGCTAGTAGAGTTAAGGTCATTTTGAGGGAGAGATGAACTGTTAAGGTATTGAATGGACAAAAATGCGCCTATATAATAAATGGTTTTTTGAACCATAAAATAATAAAAAAAAGCCTTGTCCAATTATCGAGATTGTAAAAAATATAAAAACAAAGGAGAAGCTATGAATACATAGATAAAACGAAGTCTCTATTTCAAAATGAGGGAAAACCCCGGAAATCGATTTTATTGAAAATTGAAGAAATAATTAGTCTGAAATCGATTGATATTCTATGATTTTGTGTGTATCGAAATATTCCCCCAAAACTTTCAAATTGTGGTCTAAATGCGAATTAACTACTCCATGAGACTAAAATTTGGTTCGACAAATCTTCTCCCTACAGAGACCCCTCCCCCCTGGTATTTCTCTATTTTTTTTAAATTTAATATTCAGGATTTATTCTCAATTTCCTCCTTCTTTTTTTTAAAAAAATAAAATATTTATTCTATTAAATATATCTTTTGTTTTCAATGATTTCACTAGCTCATATTATAATAGGTGTGCTAGAGTTACCTTTTATTTATTTAGAGTATGTTCAAAATAAACTTTTTCTCAATAACAAATACTTCAGGCCACTAATTTAGACGCAAAACGCCTTGTGCCTTCAATTATGCAAAAATTCTTTACTTTCCCACTATGTAATTTCTCATTGACTCCTTTTTCGTTTTTAAGGAATTTGATCAAAAAAATTATAAGTTATATGAAGCATTTAATTTTATCATTGAAGAGTAAATCCAATAAAATTTGGCAGGAATTGCTATTTTAAATATATTTCTTATCAAAGTGCAGGAAATTACCATTACTGAATAATATTGTCATGCTAATTTTTTGTTGGGAAAAAATACACATTTAGATTATTCTTTTCCACATAATATATGCCTATCAAAAGCTTATACATCAAATAAAATTATTGACGTAGCAATAAAAAAAACCTTTATCAATGTTCCATTCAAGCTTGACAGGCGATTTAGAACCGAGCCCCAATGATAACCCTTTAATCTTGACATAAACGGGAAGATGCGTGTATGGTATAAAACGTTCTTTGTAAAAGGTTTTAACTTTCCCATTAGGGTCTGAATGTTTTTTAAAGTTTTTCTCGACTTCTTGAATAGTCAAAGAATTCAAAGAGACACTTTGATCCTCGATAAAATGGCTAGCCGTATGATTGTTATCCGTAATTTTTATTGCAGTATAATTAGAATCAGAGGTTGGGGAAGTGGCGAGTAATTGGAGAGAATCGCTTCCCAAATCCCACAAATAATCATTTGCAACATTTAAAGTATTTTCTTGTCCCGAATTTTGTAAATTCTCTAATTCATTCAGATATTCTTGATTTACGTTGGATGAAAGGGGCTTGTCCAGAGATGAAATGGAGAATACTATAGAAAGATTGGTCAAGTAATCGAACAAGGAAGGCGGGGTAGGCTAGGCATTTAAAGAGTAAGGTATATATTTGTTTAAGATTTTAAATATATCTAAAAATATAACAAATACATATTTTTATCTATATGAATAACCAGGTTGGACAGCAATTACATAAATACCGTTTTTTTGATATTTGGTAAATGTAAGTATTTCAACTTTTTAAAAACAGAATTAGTAATTATAATTATTTACATTTCTCAAGCACGAAATTAATAATTACAATTACAATTATAATTTCTTTTCTTAAATTTAATTAATTTTTTATGAAAAAACAATTAATAATTGCTATTATTTATAATTTTTGGCAGTAATAAAGTGGGTGATTTCAATTTTTTTTCATAAGAATGTAAAATCCGACTGTCAATCAGTCCAAATATTTTTAAAATAATAAAATAAAACAAGCTGCCATCAAATTATGAAAGGTCATAAAAAATCACCAATAAATTCATAAAGCATATGAAGGAATATTTAAATATTTTATTTGTTCCTAATCTTATTCTTTTAGAGAAAAATCTTTTTAAGTTAACACTATTTAATACTTTTTTAAAAACAAAAATCTATTGAATCATCAAAAGCAAATGTTCCAATTAACTTTACCAGGATGGATCTTTTAAATCAAAGTCATCCAAAAATCCTAAAAGTAATTAGGCGGCTAAAATATTTAAAGCCTCTGAGGGTTGTTGAATCTGAGAGAAATTTTATAAGTAACTATAAAACTCTTCCCTACGTCTTTGGGCATCTAAGGTCTAGTACAATTACACTTCAATTTTTTAAGGAAACTAAATCTACTAACGTATTTTTTTCGTCTCTTTTTAAAACATTACACTTTGTTCAACTATGAGGCACGAGCCAAGATTAAATTTCAAAAAATGTTCGGGCAAAACAGAATACCTGTTCTTTTTTAATAAGGTGATCGGACCTTTTTCTATACCGATTGGTTTTTTTTCCTTTTTACGTGCCTTTGCCGATCAGATATAGTAAATAATTTGTTGTTTATAATTTTGATTCATCACCATTTTTTCATGGCTATTTATGAATCACTGTCACTTGTTATTCTCCGCCATTTGTGATTCCCATCTTTTGTGTCGGACTAGCCAGCTAGTAAATATTATTCTCATTATAATAATATTTGTTTATTAACACAAAATGGTCAGAGATAGGCACTTTAAATGAAACTACAAAAATATAGATACAAATCATCATATATGAAAATAGTTTGTATATTTGTAACCTCTGCCATGTTGGAGGTTACTTCTACGAAATCGGGAATCGTTAACGATATCCAAATTCTTATTTTGACTTGCTCTGAAGTTAAATATAAAATGGGTTGTAATAAACTGGTAGTGGATAACTGATCCATAGATATAAATATAGGTTGGGTTGTAACGCATGAGTACATGTCAGTGTTTACATTTGTATTAATATTCTTATCATATCCCTTTTCTAGCCATAAATTGTGCGCGTTCCTATGGGAAAGATTAATATTTTTATCGGTGGAAGCTATATATTTTTTTTTAAAAAATTTCTTAATTAAGAGGAATGTGATTGATAGCTGCAATAGAATACATTTTTTTAAAATAAATATGCGTGCTCAAAAAGTCGTTTTACTCAGAAACAAAACAATTTAAACTTATACCTTATGCCGAGGATATATTCGCTCTCCCTAAAAGGTGGTACGAATTTATGATGATTATTAAATTTATTCTTGAAATTACACTATTTATACATTTTAGAATGGTATTTAAAGGAAAACCAAACTAATATCCTTAAAAAGTGATAAAATTTATTATTAACCTATTTTCTCGGGTGAAGGAATTTGTTTGTTCAAAATTTTGATTAGATTTAAGTATATTTCATTTTTATCATTGAGCGAAATCATAGCTTTTTTCCCCAAGAGCTCTAAACAAGTTTCGATGTAGAGTTGCACGTTCGCGGTCAAATAGGCGCACCTTAATATATTTAAATTTTTAAAAGATATACAGTTTGCAACCGGAAACTTGGAAACGGGGACAAATCTAGGAACTGGAAACACTCTCTCTTAAAATTTATAGAAACTGGTAAGCATTTTGGAAATTACAGGAACCGGAGATGATCCTAACAAAGTAAAATTAATCCATATGTATTTAATTTTTTGAAAACTTTTTCACTGCTTTTAAACAGAATTTGGAATAGAACCAAGAACACTCGGGACCGCGTCTAATCTAATAACCGGACGGTTTTATTTCACATGACCAGTACCGTTTTTAGTGCAGGTTCTAAACCTCCATATTGGCCTAGTACAGATAACCTAACCTAATCCAGATTAAAAAAAAAATTTAAGGCTTGCTTGGCTTGGTTTTAAAAATCAGGCCAGCGCAGAATTATATTTCAAGATAACTCAGATCACCAACTCTTTTCTATAAAGATAAGTAGGCTACTCAAGGATTCAAATGTTGACCCAAATTTGAATTAATTTGATTCGCGAGGATTATATAGGGTAATTTTTTTTTTTAAAAAGGCTGAAATATATTTGATACATGTGCGGTACGGATTCTAGCTAAGCCAATATACATCAATCGTTACTGCCGGGGGCATCAAAGCGCAATAATTTTTCTGCTTCGATAATATGCGTTTTTTTTACTACCACTGTTAATAAAATTAACTATCATTAGTCATAGACAAAAAATATCGCTCGAAATATGCAGAACCAACAATATTTCTATTCATGGATCGATGCCTACCAAATTTTAACACACGTAACATAAATATATATATTACTTTTTTTTAAATTATATATTTATATTTTTGTCATATATGTATCATTCATTGATTTTTAATAGTTCAAATAAAATTTTAATTATCAAAAAAAAATTGAAAACAACCTGTAATTTTTCCTCAAATTTCAGAATGTTTTCAGGTTGAAATTTTAGGCCTTCAAACCTGGTGTAGGATTGTGAAATCAATACCCATTGTAGCATACCATAGTGATATTATCATTGTAGATTCAATATCGCAGTGATATCTTGATAATAGAAACAATATCGTATTGATTTTTAAGAGATGTTTTCATCGCTTTAAATATATTGGCGGCCATTAAAATTGTAAAATATTTATTTATTATAATTTTTTTCATCGCTTCAAATATAATGAAGGTATTAAATTTGTAAAATATTCATTATATATATTGTTTTATCGCTTCAAAAATATTGGCTGCCATTAAATTTTTAAAACTTTTATTCATTAGTAAAAGTTGAGGTTCGGTCATAAATTATCAATAAGGTATTGATTTTACAATACTACACAGACCCAGAATTTCAATATTTTTTATTTTCAAGCCAGTTCAGAGATTTTTTGGAAAATCTTTTAATTCCATCTTGAATTCTAAAAGTTTGATTATTTTAAATAATTTTGGTTCTAATTATTGTTTCAAGGGAAATAGAAAATAAGAACCGTAAAAGAATATTAAGATCAGCATTTTCTTTCTTTCTTTCTAATCGATATAATTTTTTCCTTTTTAAATCGACCATGATTTTTGAATTATTAAGCATGATACAGTCCGTTTTAAAATACCACTTTTCAGCCTGTCCCATGCCTAGTTTCGGGCCTGCAGTTCTCTGCTTTGCTAAACATTCAAAATCTGAATGAAAAAAAAGTTCTTTCATAATAGTATATCGAAAAATAAAATAATAAAAATTACTTAAGACTGAGATCCAAGCAAGAGGTAAACAATAGCCACCATTTGTTAGCCCTAAAATGAGATGTAATCGCGGTTATAATTTCGATGCATTTGCTTATATTGCAGGATTTGAAATGTTCTTCAGCTATTCTAAGTAACAGATAGTTTTTGAGCCTAGGGGAACGGTGATGATGAAATTGATTAACAGAGCTTTGTGTGTAGTTTTAATTTTTTTTTCAGAAAAACATTTTTAAACAAATTTTTCTAGTAAAATGATGATTGAGAATAAAAGAAAATATTATTTTTAGGGATTTGGTTTCATAAATTTAGTTTTAAGTGAGAGTTCAGTAAGGAAAGAAGTTTAAAAAAATTATTTTAAAATTATAAATGATTTTTAAAATTTACAATAAAATATTATTTTCCTAAGTTTAGTTGGTTGCAATAAGAGTAGGGGAGGAAAGTGGAGTGTGAAATATCCCTCCTTGGGAAATTTGCAAACCACCCCCCCCCCATCTTTTCACCAAAAAATATTGTTATTACATGTTAAGCAAAGATATGATTTTCTGTGAATGATCCGTATTGAATTCCCTGATTTGCAACGCTAAAATTCCAAATTTCTCTTTGTTAACATCCAGGTGTTCCGTGTTTAAATTTCCCTGCTTCCAGGGTCTCTGACCATAATATTCCAAACTTTCAATACCTTGTTTTAAACAACACAAAATATTATGCGATTATATTTTTAGTTCATATTTTAAGGTATATTAATTATGCATTGCGTGACAAGAGTGCCAGCTATTTAGGTAAATTTAAGACTAAATATTATCATTTAATTACAAGATTTAATAAAATTTAATAAATCTAGATTTTGTTCTTATTTTATAAATAATTATAAAGTTATAAAGAATAAAACTAAAGCAAATATTTATTTTAAAATGCTTATTGTTATAAAACACTAAATCACCAGCCAAGGGATCAGGAGAAGGATAAGGCGGCACATGAAAGGATGTATCCATATTATTCGATTGCGAAAATATAAGCGTTATAATCTTTTTGCGTGATATTGCCTCCTGAGCAGCTTTGACGTAATAATATCCCGGATGCTGAGCTTGTATGGCTATCAAGCTACCTTGAGTAGCTTTTTCGAAAAGATCACCAAAATTTTTGTATCTAAGAATGATATAAAAAGAATTTACCACTTCGAGTATATCAAATGCTATAAAATATTTTAAACAAAATTTAGTTTTCAATTTTAAATTAGAATCGAAGGTTTATGTCACATTTTAAAAAAATAAATTTAAATAATTTTAAACATATGATACATTTTTCACGGAAATATCGAATAAATAATAAAAACTTTATTATATAAGTTTAGTAGTTAAAATATGGTGTCTGTTTTCTTAAGAAATAATGTAGCATAATTCATAAACAAACCAAAAAATATTTGAGAATTTTCAAATCGCTAATTTGTTGTATCAAGTAAAAAAATATTTAATAATTACTGGTATTCTAGCCAAGCGCAATGCTCAAAGGATAATTCATAAGATCCAACTTTAGTACGATATATATCTAAATGTTTGCGAAATATTGCTATGGCGTCAAGTGGTGAGTTTTTCTCGAAATTGAGTTTACAAATCTAGCAAATTAAATTGTTTAAAAAAATTATATTAAATTTTCGCTATTTTATCCTTTCGAATTGAATAATAAGAATAAATAAAAATTATGTAGGCCGGATTGAGTTTATTTTAAAAAATGTTAATTTTGAGGACTTACGTTGATAAAGCATTTTATTATCTTAATGAGAAATACTCTAATACCACCTTCGCCGATCCGATATCAACCCGATACTAAGACCACCGATACCAAATACCAAAAATAATCATGTAGTATATTAATAATAAAATTTTTCTTTAATGCGCTAGTTGGTTGGAAATGTCCAAATTATAATACCTTATAAATTATCAAACCGGATACCACTTTTATCTCGATTAAATTACTATCCGGAACTCTCATCTCCGAGAGGCAATCGTAAGCTAGCAAGTAGCATCTAAAAAAGAGAAGATTTAAATAGTAAATTTAAGTTTCTAAAAAAAAATTTTTAATCAGTGAAGGCCGTGGCCCAACCCTTGTCTATGAATAAAGAAGGATTGAACCATAGTCCTAAAAAGATGGTCATTTATTCAGTTTTCGGTCTAAGACCAGATAGTTGACTTTCACTCATTTTAGCAATTACTTTAGGGCTGAGGGAAGATCTTGTTTCATTTCATTGAAGAAGGCATTTTTGAAATTGTATCTCACTATCAAAGCCTATAAAAAGTAATTCGTTTTTACAAAAATTAATATTGTTATTTTTCTTCTTTTATCCTATATTGCAATCCCGAACCAAAGCAATAATTTTTTTAAAAAAAATAAGCCTGGGCCAGGTATATATATATTTATTTTACAAGACCCGAGTCAGGCTAATTTTAAAATCAGTTGAAAAATCATATTTTAAATTTTCTTTTGAATTAATTTACAAAATTACTAATAAATAATGAAATCTTAAAAATTCCGGAACGGGCTGCTGTAAACTGATCAAAAAAATCGGGTCAGAGCGGGTCTTGAAAAAATCTTGGCCAAAAATTAAATTATTTAAATCCGAATTATGCTTAAAATTCGACCTCTGTAATCTATGTAAATCCATTCTAGTTGAACACTAGTTCAAATTATATGTAGAGGCACGGAGTCTATAGACGCCATTGGTTTAGAAGAAAACATAATTATGAAAATAACCTGGTGTAAGTTCTTGTTCAGGTAAGATATATGAGATTTGACATTTTTTATCTTCTCATTGTAATAGGCCTGGGCTATTTCGTAAAACGCTATTTCTAATCTAATATTAAATCATTTTGAATATAAAATGAATTTTATGAATTTTATACTTTAATGTATAGCCATAAAATAAGTCCGAGAAAGGTAAAATATATAGATGTTTGGGAGGCAAATTAAAAGTATTGCAGAAATCGGCTGCTCGTTCTGTAGCCAGAATTTCTTCGCCTATCAATAAAATATTTAAAAATATACCTATAGATCAATGTCATATTATGAACCTGGAGGAAAATGAGAATTATTTTGAATCAAAACAACAATTATTTTGGTAACTCTATTTTGTAAACTGTCCCTATATAAATGAAAAAATTATCAATATTATACATATCTAATATTTTAATCACCCAAAAATAAGTTTTTGTTATTTATAAGTTATAAAATATATAAATGCCTTTGATAGTTAAATAAGTTTAGGGCGTACGATCCTAAAAAAATTAATCCTAAAAACTCATGGTAAAAAAATAAAACAATTCATACAATATAGTTTGAAAAATCATGTCATAGCTATAGGGGACCCAGACTAATGAGGTATATGGGGTCCCCCAAAATATGAGGTGGCTAAAAAATAGCCTGGTTATACCTTGATATCCTGCCTCTGGGTGAAAGTAAGTGAGGCATAGTTTGTTTTAATGTTAGATTTGAACAAAAAGTTAGATAACAATTGGGTAAAGAAATAGATAATTATTATTGCACTATAAAATATTACTACACAAAATCCAAGGATTAGATGTGATGAAATAATTCATCAGATAATAATTACAGAAAAATGTGTAAAATTAAAAAGAATGTTTTAATATTAATTTAATGACTTTGTTAATGTTATGAATATGATTGCATATTATAATAAAATATAAATTGATTAGATTATGTTAAATATGATGTGTAATAAATGATAGGAGAAATCAAAATGTGTAATTATATTGTAGAAAAGATAAAAAGAAAAATTTATATCATTAAATAACATTCAAATTTTTTAAAATCCAACAAATTTCCTTAGGTTTACAATTACCTTAAAATATTTAAACGTGTACCACACTCTAATTTTTTTTCCTCCCAAGAAACATCATTCCAATCAAGTTCATAAAAAAATACTATGACACTTGGTATGACATGCAAATGCTTATTTATCCAATTCTTTTTTATCAATCCCTTTGGTATATACCACTCGTAATTGATTCTCTAATAATAGTTAGAATCAAAAAAATTGTAATGTATTCAACTTTTGTATGAGGTTTTGGAAAATTATGGTCAAGAGGGAAAATCTCAAAGTCTATAGGCAATTGATTTGGTTTGCGATTATTACAAAAATAATCCCAAATAGATTTATGATTAGCATTATAAATAATATCTAATCCTGTAAGATATATTGGAGTAAAGGTTGGGTATTTAAACTCAGCTGGTACATCCAAATCCATGCTTTAACAAATATATTGAATCAACATCTAGATTGACATACATATTTGACAGCAAGTAAAAATTGTTTTAATATATATACAAAAATAAAATTATCAAATTTAAAGTACAAAATAAATGTTAAAACATTCAATTTGTTAATGTCAATTTGAATTTGAATTTTATTTTTAAGTTCTTAAAAAAGAAAAGAGAAACAGATAATAAAATGTTTTGATAACAAATTTTAAGCTTTTCGAAAATTATATAAAAGTAATTTAAAATATTAGTTATATCAATTAAACAATATCGATAAAGATACCCCTAGTGAAAAATTTTAAAAATTTCTTATCTGTTCATTATTGGACTTCGATATCGGTGTGGATCCAGATACATAAATAAAAATATTTTAAAGTAATCATCGATGGCGTTGAAATCTTTTTTTTAAAAAAAATACAGTCTAAGGAAAATGAAGAAATTAAAGATTTATGAATTTTCTTTAAATTTATATTTATGTATATTTTAATTTATGCATATAACGTTTATATAAAATTTGAAATAAAAAAATTGATTTTATATAAAATAGATTGTTTTATCAACAGATAAAACATAGCCCCCTCTCTCCTTTATCGCCAAATATACAAGCAATAAACAGATGTCATGTTATATAAGATGGTGAAGTATATTACAATTTATCAGAGCAATTTTCGCATAGTAAAATTTAACCATTATAAGCAATCTATTTATCTAAATTTCGCTTGGTGATTTAAAAAATTTTCACACTTGACACGATAAGAGCTATTAATTATATAATTAAATGTAATTTCCAGATACCTAATATTTTGATATATTTATACTATATATGACAAAAGCTATTTGTTCAGTATTTCTAACCAACAGAATTACATTTAGTATGGACATATAGTAATTAAAAATTACAATCTTTACTTTTCTTGTATAAATAATTTAATATATATGCAATTTAAGGATATGGGCTGTGTTCTTTACCCATTCTCATATTACTCAATCCATGTATACGAACGGCCTAAGGGTGAAGGCTTCTCATTTTCTCACAGATATTAAATACTCAATTGATTTGAAGAAAACCCAGCGTAGCACTATTCGTAAAAACTCGAGGGCTTGGTGCTTTAATCAAGTAAATTTATCTCACATATGCAAATGATATAATTTATTACCCTAGTGGTTTAAATATTTACAGCGCTCAAAAAATTTAAAATTTAATGTAAACTACATGAATAATCGAAATTATTACACTATAGGACAGAATCTAAAATCAAATGACACATATATATTCACAACCTTATTAGCATATGCCCTAGACTTGAATAAGGTTGACAAATGATTAATACGTTTTTAATATAAGTTTTAGTTTTCAGATGTCCTAGCTCTTAACAATATTAATGGGCCTTTTAATTTTACATATAATTCAATATTCTGCAACCTTGTTCAAACAGATACTTTTAATGATTTAAAAAATCCTCATTTTTCACCAGAGAGAACATATGTAAACTTGAAATGTAGTGATGACTACACCTTAATAAATAGCCCTATTTTTAATCCCAGTGAAAACCTTGACTTGCAAGAAGACCCAATTAACTTAAAATCGTTTGTAATTAGAATACACTTTAATGCTTTAAAATCCAAAATTATAAATGGATTTAATAAGAGATGTCATACACCAATAAAAATTGCCAAAGTTGATATATGTTTAAGAGAATACTGGCCAGAGGAATACAAATATGACTCTAATCAAAATAGAATATTACTAAAGATTGAAAAGGAATTTGAAGTTTATTAAAATTTATGATGTATATCTAATGATCTGGCCCTAGCTGCAATTTTCACCTCTATTGTATTGCCAAAATGAAAAAGATGTTATAGAAGATGGTTCAAAATACAAACCTCGTATAGGAATGTCTGTAATTTTGCAAAAATTAGATCCATATTTAATTCCCATAGATATCTTAGAATTTTCAAGTAAATAGTTTATTTTGGAATATTTTTGACATAGCTAAACCAATATAATTATACCTATTGTATTTTATATGAGCTGTTCCATATTATAGCATGCGACTCAGCCACCTATTTTATTTTTCATAATCAATTTAAAAATATTATAATTAGATCAGAAAGAAAGTTATAACTATGGCTTTTATTTTACAGATATTAAGGGTTAAGGCATAAAAAAATGTTTACCTTTTTGGGTATTTAAATTATTAATTAAAAACTAAATGAAATAGTATATATATATGAGATAACAAGATTAAGCATTTTATGTTAAATATGAGGTTTAGAACTAGATTTTAATAATCTTAATTTATATAAATTTTTTAAAATATTTTTTTATTAACAGATTATTTACTGAATAATTTGCTTATCAAACAAATATCAAAAATTAGCATAAATAATATGCCTAAAAAATTTAATATTTTGATGCAGGCTAACAGCTTTTTAAACATTGTTTTATAACATTTAAAGGCACAATAATCGACTTATGAATAATATAAATATTTTAAGATGTTTTTTATAAAAAAAATCCAGATTTGTTCAAAGCCCTGCATAGAATAGCAAATTTAAACAACAAATGGTTAGGACATGAGAAATATAATATTTTAATTTTATAAATAATTATTAAGGTTGTGCCTATATTAAATATCCAATCGGCACCGATATTTAAAGTTATCCATTAATATCGGATCGGGCCGATACCTATAAAAACCGATCTGATCTTTTTACTTTTCTTTTTTTTGTTACTTTATGTTATGTATATTTATTTTACATTATTATAAAATTTCTAAATAATATGCAAATGCACAACAGCTCCTATATTTTTATATTTTTTAAAATAGATTTATAGCATTTTAAAAGTTTTTTTTATAGAAATAGAAAGTAACACCCAAAGTTTTATTTATTTTGAATCTTTTTAAATAATAACGCCAATTTTGTTATTTATACTTTAAATAAAAGAATTTTTTAAAATATGGTATCTGAATTATGGAAAAGATAATTTTGCAAAATGTGTTGCGGAATTCTAATTTCACGGGGAGGAATTATTTATTAAAAAAATTATAATTTTATATTATATTAAATATTACAATTTTATAATTCATACCAACATAAAATTGATATATTATTATATATATATTTTTTTTTCTCCTATAATTAATTTTTTTTCAATTATAGTCTTAATTGTAGAAATAAAAAAGTTAAATTAAATGCATAATTTATTTTTTGCATAAAAAATATTAATTTCTTTTAGTTCAAAGGGGGGTGGTTAAAAATCTATATAAATATTGGTATTGCTGGTTTTAAATTAATATTGGAACGATGAAAAATATGTAGATCGGCACAGCCCTAATAATAATTTACCTTGACCTGCTCAGAACTTACTCCAGCTTAGCCCATTTTTCTTGAACCTGAACTAGATGTTTTTTAAAACTCAAACTTGACACAAATAAAAATTGGTTTAAACCCCTAATAAAAAACTCTTTTTAAGATAAATTTGTGTTATTCAGATCTGGATTCTTAATTTGTTTCTTTTTTTAAAAACATGTGATTGGTAATAATATTTGTGCCTCCAGAAAATAAACACACAGGGTTAGAAGAGCCCAGAGTAGATAAAATATTTGACCATTGGTATAAACAGGAAATCACACCTATACAACTTCCACCATTATATTAGGTTTAACTACTGAGTCTCATAGTGCATCCTTATCTTAATTTTTCTTGCTTAATTACAGTTCTGGCAAAATATCATCAATTATTTAAGATATTTCCTCTCATTCTGATTGCAAAATTAAATACCTAATCTTCAATAAAGGGTTTGACAAATTTTCCAAAAATATGAAATCTATCATAATAATAGCCCTTAATCATGAAATTGAATGTCTAATTTACAAAAAACAACGGAGTTGGTATTAAAATATAAAATAATAATAAATATTTTAAAATTAAAAGATAGGAAAAAACAATAAAATGAATGAAAGAATACACAAAAAAAGGTTTATAAGTGAATATTGAATAAAAATCTAAAAAAAAGTATAAAAATGAACATGATCAAAATTCATTTGAAAATAAAGTATCCTATTGAAAATTTCAAAAAAATACAAGAACCTTATATATTTAAGATACAAGTATTTGAACTATTGCCCACATCTGGGTAAGAGTAAAATTAACTTCTCAATTGTATGCCCATTGGGATGCAAAGGAGGACTTCTAATGAGTTTCTTTAGTCCTTTCAATAACTTAAGTTTGCCATCCGTTTTTCATCCATGTATATATAAAATTTTTTAAAAAAATGCGAGTTTAAAATTAAGGTATAAGACAGAAAAAGCAATCAAATATGAATTATTTTTCCCAGGAATGATAGAACGAGTTGAAGTTTCGAGCTTATAATCATCCTAGATTGAAAAGACATAAACATATTGAATTGTCCTAAGAAAAAACGGCTTTATTTTTTATGCATCGATGGTTAAAATTGAAGAAACACATGCATATTTTTTTGTATTAAAAGAATTATTTATAATTCTATGAAATGGAACTAAAAATTTATTTTTACAAACTTTTAAAATTATTATTGAAGTATCAAAATACAAAAATAGGAAAATAAACAATTTAATACATAACAATTATAATTTAAATTTTTTAAAAAATTAAGAATTCGGTTATCAACAATCTTCTAACGATGATACTAATGGCAGTTTTAAAAAGGTTTCTTTTTATTTTAAAAATAAAATGAAATTGTATTTATCATAAGAAAAATAATTTACTATTATTTAATTTCAGAAATATATTGATAACGAGGTGATCATCAAATTATTGAGCGAAAAAATTGGTCGTAAAAACAAAAGACATAAATACAAAGAGTTTATGCGATCTTTGGCTAAAAATCAAATTGATGATGCTGATGGGTCATCCGTTCCTGATATAAATCAATGTTTACGATTTGATAGAAGGGATATAAAGTGTAAATGTTTAGATTCCCTTGATAACAAATCTGAGTTGAAGGTAATTTATAATTTTTTTATAAAAGCAATAAAAATAGGGCTTGAATTAGTGATATCAATTACTTTAAAAGTCGATTTATTATTTATTGATTGTTAGACATCGAATTAGGTATTATAATATTTATGGTTATGTGGACATCAATACCAATATTTTCTTGTTTTTAAATAACAAAACCAATATAAAATTAGTTATTACATTGGTTTTTTAAAATCATATTTGTTTAAAGAACAAATAACAACACAAATATCTTATATTTTTAGATTTATTTACTGAATTTTCGGCCTTGTTTTATAAATAAGGCTAAGAAATTTCCTTATATATCTAATTTACCAAATGGTATGTTTTGTTTTATTTACCACAAAATCTATTGGTGCAGTGCAATAACGATTAGTTTAGAATGATTTTATAATTTATCGATCTCTTATTTACATTTATTATATAAATTTAGCATCTATGATAGCAATATTTTTATATCCATGGAAAATTCATTCATATCAATTATTTATTTAGGATTCAAAACTTAAATGATACCAACTCTTAAAAATTTTCAAAATAGTGTTTAATCGTATTTTGGTTAAAGAAATGTTTTCAACTTTTGCAATTATACTTTAAATTCTAACTCCTCAAAAGCATCTCTTAAACTAAGAACTTCTACTAACATGATGTTCTCCTTTAATGTTATTTTTTGCCTAATATTATTACTGATCGACGATATTCTAACTTTTTCTATCACTCCACTATCATAAGCCGAACACTCGTTTTTTAAAATACTTAAGCGGCTTACCCAATTAATATAACTCATTTTTCCCTTGCACAGCTGCCTTAAATAATATTAAGTTCGAATTTATAGATCTTTTTGGGTTTAAATTTTTCAATCAATATCGTTGAATTGATGAAGTCTGTGGGTGAGCATATCGATTGGAGCTTTATATAATCGTCATCCGGTAATTTCCTGGCGAACGATATCTGTAATTTTTGTATTTTGAAAAATATCCTCTAAAAATAAGTCTCCATTGCCTGAATATGACGGAAACTCAATGTTTATACTATTATCATTGTTTACCAATTGTTTCATCTTCATTTATTTTATTTAATGATAATGTTATCTATATAACTTTATTTATATGCAATGTATTATATAAAAAAAATATAATGCAGCGATAACTATATTCTTTTTATATTGACGAGCGTTGATAGCGAATATTTTACCATCGGCGTTCATGCATTCCAAGCCTTGCACTAATTGATGTGCCATTATCATATCACCTAAATTATCATAATAAAAATGGACCCTAAATTTTTTTTAAGGACGTTTTGTACAATTTCGCCAATATTTTCATCGTTTATGTTCTTAGTCTCATAGATGATCGAATATTTTATTAAAAGCTTGTAGCGGTATTCTGTTACCATAAATAATCTTTTAATAATAATTTAGTTATCCCAGCTCCTAAATGTCCTTTATATAATACTTTTAACATTTCATTTCTCATTTTACATGGTATTATAATTCTGCTTTCTTTAGAAAGACAATTTTTTATCAAACTTAATTCCATCTTTATATCTTTGAAATTTTTTTCTTTATTAATTCACCTTTCGCTTTCCTAATGTTATCATTAATCTCCATTAATTCTTTGTCGACAGCAATTTCTTTCATTATCATTTTAAAATTCACTGGTATGTCCCATAATTCATTATCAACTTTTGTATCATATCTTCTGTATTCATCTGTGGTAGTCGCGAATAACCATCTGGTACAATGTTGCGGTTTCCAGCTCTATAAACTATTGTGAAATCGTGTGATCCTATCGTCAAATTCCATTTGTGTAATCTCATGGACATTGAAGTATTGTCTTTTAAACATCGGTCAAATGTACTTTCAAACACCGGTCAAATGTACTTTCAGTCAATTACCGGCTTGCCAACTTTGATTGATAGTTTTTTATTTAACAAAATTCACAATTAAAGCCTCATCTTATTTTTATAGTCATCATTTCCATAACTGTTTGTTACTTATCAATAACATTTTTTGTAAAATGTGTTTTATAAAGAATACTGTAGTTAAGTGTAAAAAACGGAAATTTTCTGTTTTTTAAAAAAAATTATTACTAAAATCCTTTTTGAAAATACATTCTACCAATATTTTATTACGAATTTTTTTTAATACTATTATTTTATAATTTGTTTAAAAATTTCGTTAAAAGGATATTTAAGCTTGTTTTTTTTTCGTCTTTTATGTTAGAAAAAATAATATTTATTTGTTTTTTTACATGTCTAATCTTCAGAGTTGTTAAACGCTACTTTAAAGTAGCATTTCGCTACCGCTATCGCTATTTGTTAAAAAATGTAGCGCGCTACCGCTATCGCTATTTGCCAAAAAAAGTAGCTCGCTATTAGCTACTATTTTTTAAAAATAGCTTTAGCTACTTTTTATAAAATAAATTTACCAACAAATATTTTATATTTTGCTTATAATGTTATTTTATAGTAAATATATAAAAATCTATAAATATTAAAATATAGTTAGTTTTGATTATAAAAAATTTATGTAATAAAAATAAATATTTATGGTAATTTGTTGCATTTTAATAATAAAATCATTTCAATATTATCCCCAAGTCAAGAGCGACGATCAGAAAGTATAAGTTTTGCCTACTAAATAATCTCTCGACACTAGCACTTGAGAGTAAGGGCATATTTAATCTTGTATATATTATTTTAATATAAGATAGATTATCAATAATTTTATTTGCAAGTACATCTTATGTCTGGCATCCTATTATCATTTTGAGGGCTAATGCCACAGATATTCTTTTTAAAGTGATTCCCAAATAAGCTCAAAAATATTTAATCAGATCAATTTATAAATATAAATAAGTTTAACTATCTCCCGTGGTACATATATATGATATCTCTGATAACTCTACTATTAGAGCATCTATCATCATTTTAAAGTTATCTGCTATTTTATTCATTAGTGTCTGGCGGCAGAAAATTGTTGTACCAGGGGATGGAGTTTTAATCATCATGGTAAATGATGGATTATTAACCAAGGACATTGGCTGAATTGTATAAATTATAAAATCAACAATAACTTTATCAGCCAATTTCTGAGAAATATTGTCATTTGCATTATTAATTAATTTGGTTTGAATTGAATTAGTCTTTTTGCATATAGAGTCGCCTATACCAAAATTATTTAGATGTTTCTCCATTTTCTTAAAACACATGAACAGTCTTATAAAATAAATATTATTTGAATGTAAAAATGACAATTTAACTTTAGGTGTTTCTTGAGGTTATAACTACTGGATTGATTTGAGGAAATATTTTTTTTTACATTTAAATAAATTTGAAGCCAGTTTTGGATTATATATTTATTTTAAAAAAATTTCAAATCTAGGGAATGGGAAATTTGTATTATAGCTATTAAGAACATTTTCTTCCCTGTTATCTTCCATATTAATATCTTTGTCTGAATCACTTTCAACGATTTGGATATCCATAGGCGATGACATTTTAAATTATTAACACGTGATTTAGGTTTATAATACAAATGAAAATATATTTCAATTTCAAAATAAAATAAAAATTATAATTAATTATGATATTATATTTAAATTTTCATGTATATACTTACCTTCATTAGATTTTCAAAAGTAGCTAAGTAGCGGCTACTTAGATGCTTTCAAAAAAAGTAGCGCGCTAAAAAATTAAATAATTACAAATCTATTAGCTATAGCTACCAAAAAAGTTAGCGCGCTACTTTAACAACTCTGCTAATTTTAACTTTTGAAAAATATTTTTTTGAATTTTTTAAGTAGAAGATTTTTGAATGGCCTGAAGATTATAGCCAAGACCATCTGAACAAAATCTTCATGTTTACATAATATTATTTATAAACCCAAGAAAATAATTTGAACATTCTGGGAACAAATATTTCCAATTCCTTAAAAATTTTAAAAATTTCTGTTTAATTGAAATTATCAAATATTTAAATATTTTGCTTACATACATATATAATAATTATAAGAATTTTATTTTCTAAAAACTTAAATTCCATACAAGTTTCACAAATTTCCTGCATTTTTAAAATATTTTATCTTTCTAGCTTCGTGTTGATTTTTTTTTTTAAAAATAATTTTATTTCTTTTTTTTTAAATAAAATAATTTAGATTCAAAGTCTGGAATATAAAATTTTAGAACTTGAAAAAGAACTCAATGCGAAAACTATGGAGAATATAAATTTGTCTCAAAAATTAGCACGTTCTCAGACCCAATTACACGTTAAAGAACAAGAATTCGAATCCACCAAATTGGATATGTATAAAAGATTTTTGATCACACTTTTCCAGGACCTGAAATTGGATACAAACCAAAAGGTAAATCCATTCACGATCTAAATATTTAAAAATGTAAATGTAAAAAAGAATATTAAAAATATCATAAAAAACATACTCCAAACATTTTTATAATTTTTATTCGCTTAAAGCAAATTCCTTTTGTTACCAAGAGAAAAATCATTTACATCAAAAATTAATTTCCATAACACTAATATAAACAAAAAGCATAATCGGAAATCCAAGATTAACCCTGAATTCATAGTGGCACGATTGCGATTTGGCCGTGATAAATACAAAATACAGTAAATATCATATCGCATTCATAGTTATCGATCGTGGGATTTGAATCGCGAAAGCAAATCGCTGCGATTTTTTTAAAAACACAAATCATTTTGTATTTATCGCGTGATTTTGAAATATTGTTTCGTTAAATACAGATTTTGGTGAAATTAGGTCAAAATTTTAGATTTAGCGCTAATTTTAAATTATTTGAAATGAATTAAATGGCTATCTTTTTTGATGATATAACTAAAGAATTAAAATTATGATTTAAGTTTAAATTTTTTTTAGAAAATAGATAAAATTGCTTTTATTCTTTCAATTAAAGAATACGAATACTTATATAATAAGCATAATTATTACTTTTTCATATTCTTCTCTTAAATCTCTCTGGAAAAATTTGGAGTGATTGTTTCATAAAAGAGAAATATTATTGAGTGTGGTTATTAATAATATCTAAATTAGAGATCTGCAAAGTTAGGCCCGGCCCGGCTCGGACCTAATTCTATTTAAAATAATCGGGCCGGGTCTAATATTTTTTAAAAATTCGGGTCGGGTCGGATTTGCAAATTTTTTTAAATATATCTAAATTTATTATCAATTTTATATTGAATTTTTTATGTAAAATAAAAAATTTTGATTTTATTTATTGAAACTAAACGCCATATAACATATGTCTTTTATTTTGAGTAATTATAAAAATTAATTTCTATATTTAAATAAATTCAGGCCGGCAAGTCGTTTTAAAAAATTTTGGAGTTTGGGCCAGACCGGCAAAACTATTTTTAAAAAAATCTCGGGCCGGGTTTAAAAAATTACGCCCGATGCAGATCACTAATCTAAATAAATATATTATTTATATTGAAGAATCTATAACTTCTATTGAATCTCCAATTTCATGTTATAAATATCCTAAAAGAAACTCCACTGACATTCTTAATTTTTATTTATTATTTGTTTTATAGAAGAATTTAGAAGACTATTAAAATATAGAAATTTTAAAGAATAAAAAACTTGAATTTGGCATATGTATCATGTTGAGAGAAAAATTGTTTTCAATATTATCTAAAGGTAATCTTATACCCCCAACAAGAGGCTTATAACTATAGAATATCTCAGGCACAAGTGGAATGCACATTTGGTATAGAGCTAAATAGATGATCTTTGATCGTCCAATGGATACCAAATTACAGCTAACTGAAAATATAATACAAACTTGTACATTACTCCATAACATTATTATTGATAAGGAAAAATATATTCCTTTCAACCTTAAAAAAAATTAATTTACCTCTTATATTTCCAAATTTAATAGAAACTTGTTATGCTTATATTTATAAATCCATATTATAAAAATAAATTATATATATATATCATTTTTTTAAAAAAGAAATTAAATTATATCATATTTTATAAATTAAGTATATCATATTTTGTAAATATTTTATTTGTATTTTTTATATATTTTAATAAAAATAAATTTTCTTTTAATAAAGTCTGAATTCATTATAAATTATATAAGTAGAAATATATCACTAAAAAGGCTAATACTATATAATTTTATTTTAAAAAAATCAAATAAGATATTTATATTACAATACATTTTATTTCAAATAATATAAATATCTATAATAATAATATAAATATTAAAGTGTAAAGTTGCATCTGTTAAATCATCTCTATGTTTTTCTGTACATCTTTACAATTTTTCTCTCAACATGATACATATGTCAAATTCAAGTTTTTTATTCTTTAAAATTTCTATGGTTAGCATCTATTCCCTTTTTTCTAATTTTAATAGTCTTCTAAATTCTTCCATTTTAAATTTTTCTATAAAACAAATAATAAATATAAATTACCAATGTCAGTAGACTTTCTTTTAGGATATTTATAACATGAAGTTGGAGATTCAATAGAAGTTATAGATTCTTCATTATATATATTTATTTAGATATTATTAATTACCAGACTCAGTAATATCTCTCTTTTACAATCTCTCAAATTTTTCTAGAGAGTTTTAAGAGAGGAATCTGAAAAAGTAATTATTATGCTTATTATATAAGCATTAGTATTCTTTAACTGAAGGAATAAAAGCAATTTTATTTATTTTCTAAAAAAAATTTAAAATTAGCGTTAAATCTAAAATTTTGAGCACGCGATAAATACAAAATGATTTGGGTTTTTAAAAAATCGCAGCGATTCAAATCGCGCGATCGGTAACTATATGATATTTACTGTATTTTGTATTTATCACTGCTAAATCGCAATAGTGTCTCTATGAATTCAGGGTTAAAAATATACATTAAAATTGAACAAAATCTCTTTTCATCGAATGCATTTCATAAAATATTGTCAAAAAATATTTTCGTGTCTCTCTGTTTATACAACATTTATATTTTAAAAAAAAATGGCGATAGATTCTTTTGAACAAAAGAGTGAGCAATTTTTTGCGGATAAATCTTTATGGTAACACGAGTGAAGATAATGACGAGGAAAAACCGATTAAAGACGAAGCAGTTTTTGATGACTTAAATGCCGACTTTTCGTCTTTAATTAGATTAGGAATATTTGATCCTAATGATACTTTCATTAAATATATCAAAAGCGTTAATAATGAGCTCGATAGTTAATAATAATTTAACTTCTTATGATAAGATAACTTAAGATTTTTTTATAAAAATTGTTTTTTTTATTCGTGATGCTCAATATTGTTAATATTTATTTATATAATAATTATTGATATGCTTCCTATAAATCAATAAATTATTCCTAAGCTCAATGAAAAAATAGAATTGGATTAGTAGCATAACAACCTAGGGAATGGCAGAAGTGAGCTCAGCACGTTTAAATGTATACATTTTATATTTGTGCAAAACATAAATTTTAAAGGGGGTAGTTAAAGTGTGGTAGTCTCTAAGATATTGTTATGATGATGCTTCCTTTAGCATGCCTACCAAAATGGCATTTGGACTAGGGTATCGAAACTAATAGGTGTCAACAAAATATATATGATGATTAATTTTAAAAACCGGAACGAATATATTTATAAATCAGAAGGAACTATAAATTAATTTTAAAATATAACAGAAATGGAACTAAATCGTTTTAAAACTAGAGGAGTCCTGCAGGTTTGACACCTTGGCTTTATTAATATCTAATTAAATTGTGCTCCTACTAAATATGTTAATTTATTTATAATAAAAAATAATATTTAATTCAATTAATTTTATTGTAAATAACATGTTTATTATATCTTGTTGAGCCTAGGTTATCATAAAAATATTAAGTCATCAATTATTCCCATTCTATTTTTTGATGTTTGAATCAAGTTTCCAATATAATATCAATTAGTTTCCGGAATTCGTTCTATTATCAAATTTAAGACGATTTTGGAAGAATAATATATCCATACATTTGATGTTTTGCTTCCTTATGTAAATAAAATTGTTCAATATTCACGAAAAATTGTCAAATTTGAAAAATATATTTTTTAAAATGGCAGCGAGCATCCTGAAATTTATAACATATAACTAGAGCTACAAACATTATTAAAAAAGTAACTCGCGTTGCTCTCCTTAAATAATAACCAATTTTGATTTGCTTTACTTTCCCACTACGTTTTTTTCGAAAATAGTAACACCCCTTTATTTTTTTTAAAGGTATCGAAATATTACTATGAAAAAAAATTGAATAAATTGCTTTTCTTTTATTTCATAAATCGATTTTGATTATTTATTTCACAAATCCTAAAATTCAAATAAGTAAATATTTGGACAGAATTTTTTTTATTTAGGATTATTCCATAAATATATTGTTGGTAATCTAATTTTTTAAAACCTAGCGATGATTGTTTTTAAAGTTTCTGGATCGTTTAATTCTCAGCATCATTTCTGCTGGACTGAACAGTTATTCAATAGATTGCTAGGATGTCAGGGGATGTATTATATTATAAACAGATGTTTGGAAATTTAAGGTTTCTTTTCTCTAGAAAAATTTTGATAGTTTATCATCAGACATATCTTCATCGCAAAAAAGTTTTGTTTTTTAAATCTTGAAAGCCATATCACAAATTGTAAAGGTTTTTTCATTTTATTATATATCAAGAAATCTTCGAGAGCGAAATTGTCACTTAATTGTTTTGAAATATATTTATTTATATTACATGGTAGGTATAAATTTAAAAAAAATACGTTATATTAAATTCCTCTTAATCTTTTTCAGCATATCTTTCTTATTAATACTCATTTCTATAACTGAATTTCTTAATACCATTTTAAAATTTAATAGGCTAGCCTCAAGAATTAAAATTTTTTTATATATATTTTTTAAATTTCAACCCAATATTCCGATTAATACTATATGAGATTAGAATCCAATTTTCTTATTTGTATTCTATAAGCTGATATAACAAAAAAAGCGTTATTTATGATATGATTTAATTGTAAATGCAGATATCAAACAATGGTTTAATAGAAAGTTGTTATAGAAATAGATAGAGATATAATAGACTTAATTGACATTGGGCAAAAATTCGAATTAAAAATGTGATGATTGGGAAGACCTGGTAACTAGTGTTTCGCGCCGTTTTCAAAACGAGCTTTTTAAAAGTACTAATGGTAACCCTGTTCATGGAATAGAACGAAATTATGCATTGCATAAATATGAAAAATATATGCTGGAAACTTAAATAATAAATATAATTATATAAAAAAACATTTTTAGCTAACTTTGTTTAATTAGAAATTGATAATAAAATGTAATCTATTATATCCACCTATTCTTTTCGCAACAGGCCTAGCAAACCCTACAAAAAGAATTCAGGTGGTAGCAATCCTGGCAGCCCCTCTAAGATTCTATGTGGCAGAGTTTATAATCTTAAAATTGCTAATTTATATTTATAGATAATTTTTTAAATAATTACAAAGTGTATCATGAGACTTAATCTAGACCTAGCCCAACTTACATTAAGCGAATTAATGTTACATTTATTTATTATTATTGAAATCTTGACAAATAAAACTTTCAATTGCTAATTTATATCTATAGGGAATATCCAATATAATTACAAGGTTCATCATGAACCTACATTTATTTAAAAAATATAATCAATCATGAAAAAATATTATTGAAATCTTGATATCCATGTTCTACAATGAAATTTCAAAATCATTACTATTTATTTATATAGATATTTATGTTTTCCTAGATCACACATGTGGTCTCTAATACATATGATTAAAAAAATGAGAAAGAGGCTATTCTAGAAATAAAAATTCAGTTAGAGAGAGCCTTAATACGGAAAGACAGTTTATAATTGCTGCTCTAGATTTCAAAAAAGCTTTCGACTCAATAATACTTTCCAAACTATGTAGACTTTAGAGGAGGTAGGTACTTCTGTTTTGATAAGTTTGTTGAAATTAATTTATAAAGATTATTCAATGCAAATTATCCATGCTGGTAAAAAATCTCCTAAAATTGAAATAAAAATTGATTTGAAGCAAGGATGCGTTTTATCATCGCATTTATTTAATTTTATTACCAGTCATATCATTATAAAAATCAGAGATATACATTTGGCTCAGTGGTCTTCTGGAAAATTAAACATAGCTTTTGCCGACGATGGCCTGTGATTCGGTGTTGGTTATTCAATCGGTCATTAATTGTATCATCATAGAGGCAGGAAATTTTGGTATAATATTAAATATAAACACAACGAAGATGGTGACGTGCTATTATACTCCTTCACATGTATTAACTATAGAAGGAGAAATGATTACCGAAGTGACTATTTTAAAATACTTAGGTATATTGCTTAATATGAAAGGTTGTACAAAACAGGATCAACAGGCTAAATTAAATAAATTCAGGGCAAGGTACAGGCCATTGATGAAAATTTGGTTATCGCGACAACTATCTATTCCCTTGAAGATTAGATTATTTAAAGTTCTAATAATGTTTTCCCTCTATTATGCCGTGGAAACTTGGAAGGATACCATTGGATAATAGCCACGCAGACATTTATTAATAAATATATAAGATATATTACCAGGACTTTTTACAACCTAAATACTACTAATTATAAGTTATGGGCTAAATGCAATATTCTTCCTCTTCATAAAACGATCGAATATAGGAAAATTGAGATGGTGGGTCATATATTAAGACATCACTCTAACAACTTAATCTATCAGGCACTTATAAACAAATCCCCGGAAGACACTGCTCTTAAGTTTTTTTTATCTTATAAAGGCAGTTGGTTTGGCAGAATTATAAGGTCCTTGACGGAGCTGGATCTATCTTGAGAATTTTTAAAAAGGGCTTCAACGGACAGGAAAATCTTCAAATATATTCTAAGACTTATTTATGAGCATATGACAAATACCTGTTAAGCGAGGTAAAAAAATAATAAACTATATATATTCATTACCAAGTATTTTAAATTATTAATACAGTGAGCTATTTTCTTGAAAAGGAGGTTCTTTAAAGGGATTTCTATTATGACAAATATCTGAAGCGAGATAAAAATTAATAAACTATATTCATTACCAAGTACTTTCAAGTATAAAGACAGCTATTTTCTTTAATAGGAGATTCCTTAAAGGGAATTTATATTATGATTTATTTTGAATTTATTATTACTAACCTTGCACAACGTATCCTAATCGTTTCTTAATTTGCCAGGATATGTTTATCTATTTGATACTTCTATATTTTAAAATTATAATTTTAATTTAATCAAATGTGAATTTTTAGTAATAAATTAAATTTAAGCAATCGCGATATTCTAATGGTTGGATATCTGTAAATATTTAAACCTCAGGAGATATATTGGTTATCGGTAAAACGATAATGGCCCCTTTAAAGTTCTTTATAAAAATAAATTAAATCTTAAACTAAAATTAGACAGTTGTATTTGGAATACCTTAAGCAGTATTTTTTTATTGTACATCTATTCTATTTCTCCTTATAATATATTCTCTATCTTCCGCTAAATCAAATTATTCACTATAAGGTGGTTAATTCCACTCATAAATTAGTTTCATTTGGGTACAAAGTTTATCGGTATCCTAAGAAAAAAATCGGCATAATTATATGAAGGGATAGGCAATGTTATATATATCATTGGGGATAGGCCTTTCATATAATTCACGTTCGCTCATTTTGGGCAGGTCTATGACCAACGTGCAAGATAAGATAAGATAAAAATGAGAAAAATCTTAATAATAGGATTATCAAATATAGATATCATAACAAGTTGCACTACCTACCCTCAAGAAGATACTGATGAGAAGTAATAATATTCTATATTAATATATATTGTAAATAATTTAAGTATTTATTTAAGAGTAAATTAATTCCAAGTATTATATCATATCATAATTTATGCCTTACATTGACTTTTAATATTAAAAAATTTAATTTTAATAAATTATTTTCTAAAAACAGATGTGAGGGTATATATATTCAAAGAGGAGGTAATGCTTCCAACAATTGTACAATTTTATCTCAATTAGGTAAATCTTGTGAATTCCTGGGATCTTTAGGTCAAGACTGGATAGGAACGTAGATATATTATATGTATTAGTTCATAAATATTTTCAAAAAAATTTAGGTTAATTAATTAAATCTATTTTTTTTTAATAAGGCTGATTGCAAAGGATCTAGATCAATTACATATTGATAGTAAAAATTGTCCTATATATGATCAGACATATAATTCACCTTCATCTGTAGTTATTATTAATACAACTGATGGGACAAGGACAATTAGGCATTATAATCCTGGATTTCCTGAATTAACATGTGCATACTTTGAAAATAAAATAAATAAAAAAACTATTGCAAATTATTCTTGGATACATTTTGAAGTTCATCATATCAAAATATTTATTATATTATTAATTTTTTTTATTATGGAAGTATAACACTGGTTGTACCACTTCACAGTCTAAAAACATGATTTGACCAACAAAATAATTAGACTTTGGTGAAGATTATCTGACCACAGTCTTTAGAAAAATATTAGTTCCAACTCTGTTCCTAAAGAAAAGACTGGTCTAGGACTAGTCTTTTATTTTTTTGTTAATTTAAAAATATTTTCATTTTTACCTTATTTAATTCTTGTTTTATCATTTTATTAAATATAAAAGTATATGTTAACAATGTCAAATAATGCAAATATTTAATATAAAGCTAAAATTCTTTTTTGTAAAACTTTTTGTTTTCATAGTATATCTCAAAATAAAAATGAACTAAAAAGAGGAAAAACAATCACAAAAATTAAAGTAACTACTCTAGGAAAATATTATAAAATAAAATTTACACATAAATTTTTTAAAAAATTAAATAAAAATTGAATAGTAAGGCAAACTTAAATATTGATAAAAAATTGAACTGGACCATGGCCCTGACCAGATAAATTGAAAAACTGAACCATGGTCTTCAGAAAAAGGCTGATCTGTCAATCTGGTTAAGACCAATAGGACCAGACCATTGACTTTCACTAATTACAATTAACTTCTAAATTTAATTGAAATGCAGATGATTACTTTTTTGTAATCTTATTTGGTCTTGGTTGCTTCACTATTTATTTCTTATAAAATATTTCTTATTTAAGGGTAGACGAAAAAATCTGGATGAAATATTTAAAATGATATGTTACACACTTATTAATCAAAAACCCTCTTCAACCATTTTCCCTTTCACACCTTTTATCAGTGTGGAAGTTGAGAAACCTAGTGATTTAACATGGCCACATTTTTCAACGCTTAACATCAATCTATATTTTATAGGCAAAGATTATGCAAAATATAGAGGTTTTTCTAATATGAATGAAACAGTCACTATTTTATACCATGAAATGCTCAATAAAAGTCTAAAAACTATGCTAGACCATGACCCGTAATTATTTTTTTAAATTTATAGCAATGCTCAATTGAATTTGGATTAATAAATCTTTATATTTTTTGTTAAATTATTTTGTGGTGTTGTTAACAATAGTATTTTTTTATAAATATGTAATTAAAAATTTATTCAAATGTTATATTATTTATAAGTATTATAATATCTACTTGGGGAGAATTAGGCAGTTGTGCTTTGTTGTCTACCTCACAATCTGATACATTAAGTTCTCATTATTCCATCATTGAATGCCCTCCTATTCATGCCTTGTCCGTAAACAAACCCCTGGACACCCTAGGTGCTGGAGATGCATTTATAGCAGCGTTCATTCATTCACTACACTCCTTTGAAGAATTACAACAAAATGATGATCCCAAATGGCTTAAGTTCATTCAAGATGCCAATAATTTAAGCGAAAGGATTGCTTATGATAGTAAAACAACTGTTCAAATAAACCATAATACTAAGGTCAAAATAGTCAAAATATGTTTAGATTATGCCAACTATATAGCGGGTTTGAAATGTGCCCATATAGGACTTACCAATTTAAATATTCCTATATCTTTTAAACAAAGTTTTTAGTTAATATATTTCCAGAATAGTTTATTTATAATTGATTAAATATGTAAACGCTTATCATAAGTCTATATTCTTACGTTTATAAAATAAAATGTTATATAAAGAAATATATTTATTATTTGGTTTTTAAAATTTTTTTATTATTGGGTTATTATTATTTTATATTACCTCGCTTCATTGATATATTGCTACTTTATTTTTTTTAGATATTTTAACTTAAAAATAATTATGCCTGAATCCAAGAAACGAATATCGGTTCAGGTTTGGATAAAAATAACGGTTCAGGTTCGTTCATTAAAAATATCGGTTCAGTTTGAACCTCTAAAAACCGGTTTGAACATTGTATTCAAACCTATATTTGAATATTGTATAGGGAAGAATATTTCTTTTATTTCATCATTAAAATTAACAAATAAATATCAATGATTAATTTTAATAAGAACAATATTTAACTTTATTTATTTAAAATTTTTTTAATAAGCCTATTTTCAAGATTCGTCTCACTCAAATTACATCTATAAGGTGATAGTATAAATTTAATTGGGAAAAACATCTTTCCACATTAACTTGGATATCCGCCACTGCCAGTATGATATCAGACAATTTACATAATTCTGTGTATTGATTATTCTGATTTCTTTAATGGTCTAAAATATTCATATTTTATTTTACATAGGTTCTTTAAAAAAATTAACTAAAAGGATTTCTCCGATTTTTATAATAGATTTTGTTTGTTACCATCTTTTTTTAAGAAGACTTTCTACTAAATCCTCTTCAGATGAAGATGCATTAACTGGTGTTGATTCACCTTCACTAGAATCCTCCACTCTTATAACAAAGTTTAATTCCGTGTTATGCCATATTTTAATAATATACTCGCTAGCCTTGGTTTTTTCTTCTTTATTCAGAAGCACTTATCTATATAATAAAAATTAAAAATATCATTAGAATAATCTTATCATTTTTTATGAATAGATGGAAAAATATATAAAATAAAATTATTGATTAAATTTATATAAGACAATATAATATTTTAAGATACTGATAATTCCTCACACATATCTTAATTCATTCAATCTCTAGCATTTCATATGTTGGTAAACATCTGTGACAATCCAATATAATCTTTTTAAGTTTAATGTTTTAGTATGATTGATATCTATTTCGTCCTCAGCTTCTTGCAGGCAGTACGAGCTTTAATAATAATATTAGAAACTGAGAAATTTTTTAGTATGAGAAGCACTATATTTATAAATTATATTGAGAATTTAAGATTGATTGTTAATTCATCTGGTACATTGAAACTAGTAGAAACATTCAAATTTTGTATTTGTTCTTCATCATTTTCAGACATTTGATTGTCATCATCAATCCTACATAAATAATTTTACCATCTTAATAAAATTTGCCACATTGTCAATTATTATAGTGTATATTTGTGATGTTTTGATTTTCATAATCATTTACTTACCGAACCCGAGAAAAAAAACCCTTATTTTTGAAGAAAAAAATCTGAACCCGAATCGAACTTGAACTTTTTAAATTTTCAAAATTCAGAACCGAACCCGGGAAATTTTCAGAGCCAGGGTTCAGTGCATTGTTTAAAATCATAAATTAAGATATTTGTATGATTGTTAATACATTCAAAAAATCATAAATCCACTTTTATCTGGGCTCAATTTAGTTATTAACAAAGAAAATTTATCCCGAACTTACAACAGCACAATCCATTAGAAACAAAATATCAAGAGAGGTAGAAGAAAAACTAATAAGGTTAAAAGTTGATGCACTACTAGACAGGTCAATTTTTGGTGTAAATATTCAATTTATATTAAAGTCCATTATAATTTTGAGCAGGGGCGGACTGGCCATAAGACCAGGTGGGCATTTTGCCCACGAGGCCGCTAGAAAATATCAATTTTTGAGGCCGATCTGAAGAAAATATCAAAAAAGAGGCCGATTAGAAAAAAAATATTATGTTTACATTATTTTCTCTTATCATTTATTTATTTTTAATGATATCTATATTATTTGAATATCACATTCCTTGAGAATTATGCCATTTACTATATTTTAATGCATAAAATATCAATAACATCGCTTGATGCTATATATCATTACCACGTGCTTTTTTTTGATTTTTTTTCAAAGCGAAAACGCTTACGTTTGAGTAGAGTGAAAGTTAACTTTTGATTAATTTATTATATTATATTTTTATACATTGATTTATTGTAGAAATAATATAGTCAACATTTATGATTGTATTTCTTGTTCTTAATTCATTAAAATTAAATAAAACCCAGGTATAATAATCATAATATAATAAATTTTTCATCAATTTGATTTTCTAATGTTAATTTATATGTTACAATAAAACTAATATGCAATAATGTAAAAACTATGTACTGCTCAATCTGCCTGGCATTTGCAGTATGCGAAAACACTTTCACAACAAGCTCAACAAATTTTCGACATATGCATTTAGTAATTAAAATACATGAAATTCAAGAGTTCATATTAGTGAATTCGAGGCCTACCTCAGTGCATCAAGAAACAAGTCATTTGATAATTGAATTAGTGTTTAAATATTAAATGGAAAAAATCGACAAATTTAAAACAATGTCCACATAATAAAACAAATATCGGAGATAATAAAGTTTTTAGGCAGATAAAATTTACCTACAGAGGATCAAATGATACTTAAAAAATTAGCCACTTTAAAAATGAAAATTTGAATCATGGAAATTTCCTGGAAATGATTCGTATTATATCAAAGAAGGATTAAATTTCAGTGATCATTTAGAGAAAACTATTTTAAAGAGCAAACGTAGAAAAAAAGCTTAAACTCTGACAAATCATAATTAAAGAGAAAATGTTCACTCATAACCTTGTTGTCAAAAACAACTGTTAAAAAAGTTATTGAAATTAACAGAAAGGCTTATCACACTTACATAAGTTACAAATTCTTCTGGAAAAGGATTTTATGAAATCTTGAGTAAATGCTTTTAAAACATGGAATTCAAATGAGAAATCTAATAGGTGAATCATTTGATGATTAAAGTGCACTTATCGTTATTGCGAGCAAGCTCTCTTTACCATATATCCATCTAAGGGCTATTTCAAGTGCTCACCACCTTGTCTCACCTATTTTTTGCAGCCTTCTCAATTTACTTTAGCCAGATGAAATATTTTGTTTTACCCAGGCATCCATCCTTTTATATGATTTACCAAAGAAGTTGCTAGTCTATTCAATAATACAAATAAAATTTTGCCAATATTATCGCATGAATCACATATGCAGAGATTTAATATGTGACTCTAATACCAAATATAAAAAACTACCTTGAGCCTCTAGTCTAATAAGAGCATGCAACCCAACAAATTTACCCCGAATATTTGCAGCAATAGATAATAAATTATTTGAGGCAAAAATCTCATAAGAAGCTCATTCATTGATCGATAATTTATGTTGATGTCATTATATCTTCAAAAATTTGAATATTTTATCAGCATGAAAAATGATAGAAGATACTAAGTCTTCTGTATCATCGGTAACTATTACATCGATTCAGAATAAAACAATTAATAAATAGTTTATCGGAACTGTTTTTTTGCGAAAAGTAGCCTATTTTAAATGTGCAATATTTGCATCCAAGGCATCTTGATTTAATAAATAGTAAATGTATTTCTGAAAAGGCCTTGAAAAAGTGGCAGATTTGGAAAATATATTGAGTGTTAAATTACGTAATGAATTGTGTTCATTTGCCAGTGTATTCAAAGATTTAAAAGTAGAATTAAATGAAACGGACTATGATATCGAATGTAGCAGCGAGAAGTCAGGAATATTACAATATGATAATAACTCAGAGTGTGATAATAAATGTAACAAGTGTTTAATATGCGTGTATGAAATTCTTAAAAGATACAATATGCACACAAGTGCATACACTAATATATTTTTGGCATATGAATACATTTTAACTTTGTCATTTAAGCAGGTTAATTGCGAGAGAACATTTAGTAAATTAAAAATTATAAAAAATAGGGAGAGCTAATATAGGCCAAGAAAAATTAGAAGCATTTTTAATGATGCCAGTTGAACGAGAGCTATTAGCGCAGATTAAACTAGAAGATATTGTTTATTTGCGCAAAAGTTCAAAGTTAATGAGAGATTTATTAACGTAAAAATTATATATCTATTTACAGATCGGTGCCTGATTTTATAAGTGCAGCAATTTTGTTTTCTGTGTAAAATTGTATAAATGCGATAATTTTATCTGTAATTTGACAAAGTGCAAATTTTATCAGTGCAGCCTGAAATTGATTATGTTACAAGCAGTGAATCAGCAGATTATGAAAATATGGATATGAGTATATATAAATATGATATCGATGATATACAGAATACTTTTTTATCAATCCTATAAGATTCATATGTACGTTGTGCAGCTTGCACTTCATGCAATAAAATTATCGCCCATTGTGACTACTCTTGCAAATGCTAGGTGCATAAATTTAAAATTAAGACTTCCCACTTAATATAAGTTATTGAAAAATATGAAGCTCTCTAAGCCTGTGTTTGATTGACAGCGATGGCATTCAACCCAGGATGTTAGAAAGGCTGATTTTACTCAAAATAGATTTCTTTTCAGAGCAATCTGATTATTTATTGACTGAAGATTGGAAAGAAATAATAACGATTGTTGGAATTTTAAAACCACTAAAAATCGCAACCAAACGATTCCAATCTGAACAGTTAACACCGATAGATTTTTATGCAGAATGGTTAAGATGCTGCATTGAACTAGAAAAAAATTCAATCAATTGCAATATTCTTGTATTAAGAACAGAGAAGAAAGATTTATAAAGAATGAAATTCTCTTAGCTGCCATATACCTGGACTGACGATACAAGGTTAATTAATAGCTTAGTAAATTAATTATTTTGGATTTATATTAAAATTGTTATTTTTTGGAATTGTCATTTATTTAAATATAAACAGTATAAATCCTTGGTATTACTTATGATGATAAGATTTGTGCGAAAAGGCATCTTGTCAATTTATGGAGTTGGATTAAAAGCATAACAACGCCGATTTTATCTGATGATATTAGTTTCGATGAAGCTATTGAATAAGGTGATAATCTTGAGAAATTGATCTTAAAGAAAGGCAAGAGAAAATACTTAAAAGTGGGCCAAAGATTGCAGAGAAAAGTATTTGCTATAATTACCCATTCTTTCATAACAGATCGGGAGTGAACAACTCTTGGAAGATATTATGCTAATTACGTCTAATTTGTTGTGATATTTTGTTAATTTTATCGAATTCTAGAAGGTGGTTTCTTTTTATGTGACGCTCAAGATTTGCTCCATGATGGCTTTTAGCGTTGTTAAACGGCTCATTTTGAGTCGATTTTTGAAAACGGCTAACTCGATATTTTAGCCTGAAAAATATAGCCTAAGCCTTGAGATTTCTCTAATAGATGTCCTAACCTTGGTTCCTTCTACAAGCAAAATCCTCAGGCTTAAGTTATATTATTCTGGGTGAAATAGTGAGTTAGCCGTTTTTAAAAATCGGCTCAAAAAGAGCCGTTTAACAACACTAATGGCTTTTCATATTTATTTGATTATCAGTAATATTCCATTTTGATGTGTCATTTATAATACTATATTTAAATAATTTATATATTAGATTTAATTTTTCCCATGCATTATAATTTATAAGCTTAATTTAAAATGTTGTAAAATGGCAATATATTTAAAATTATGACTGACACTTATCAATTAAATGTGATTGATAATAATCTTTAAAACAATTCGAATATAATTTAAATTTTTGCAATATACTAGTAATAGCTTGTACATTATTTTGTAAGCATAAAAGAGGCTCGAACCGGTTCAGAGGCATTTCGGTTCAGGTTCGGTTTGGATCCCTGATAATAAACCAAAAAAATTTCTCTAACCTTTATTATTATAAAACAGTATATAGTGAATACAAATTATTAAAATTATATATTATTTATGTAACTCTTTTCAAATCAGTTGCTCTACTATGCTAAAATTTCGTTATTCCTGCCCTGATATTTAAAAGTGTTACATCTACCTTTGCCTTAATACTTGCGTGGCTATATTTTGGGCATTGAATTAATAAGATTCTGGCATATATTTTGAGACCGATTTTCATGTAAACTATGATTTATTCTTCAAAGAATCCTTTGCGCCACATCGTTGCTTTCTAAACTATCGTTTTAGTAAATCTCATATGTTTTCAATAGATATGAGCTGGAGAATCTTAACAGGTTAATATTATTCTTCTTGCTTAGATTTAGCAGTAAGAAACGGGGCTTTATCTTTCTGGAGGGTACTTTGTTTAGATATTAGAGGTCTTATCTCTATCCATTTGAATGAAATAAAACTAAAAAGCTATAAAAAATTTAAAAAATAAGCAGTCGATAGTTAATTTTTTAAAATAGGATATTTAAAATAATAAGAACGAATTAAATCCGCATCTATTATATCAGTACACGAAGTACTGTTACGAATTATTTTCAATAAACAAAATAAACAACACAAATAATTATAGAGTAAATGAATTTTTAAACTAAATTATACCATTTATTCAAATTCTTATAGTATTTATAAGCAATATTAGCTAAAAAAAATTATTTTATTGGCCAAAATGAATTTAAATTAGCTTTAGTAACTCTTCCATATCTTATTCACAAGGATTAATAGCTTACTCTTTCATATGAAAACTGTTTGAGAATTATTAATTTGACAATGAAACGTTATATATTGCTCTAATGTAATAAAGATAAAATAACAAATATTTATGCTTGACATTTTGCATATATAATAATCAGATGGGGATATAGGGACCAATCCCCCAAGAATAATGATAAATCCTGGCTACGCCACTAAAAGTAGTAAAATTTTTAAAATTTGGACCGATTAAATTTTAAACTTGAACCTGGCATAAGATTAATATAATCCAAGCTTAAATAAAAAATATTTTTTAATCATAATTTTAATCAGCTGAAAATCATGTAAACATCTGCTCATATTTTCCATTTCCCTTTGAAATTATTAACAATATAGTCAAAATTATTTAAAATAACTATATTTTAGTGGGCTGGGCCTAAAAGGATAAGAAAAGGTAGGTTTTAAAACATCCTGGGAGTTTGAAATTGGAAATATTTTAAAATCCAGGCTGGACCTAAAATTTTGATAAGGTGTCCGACATTGATTATAAGGGTTAAGATATTGGCAACGGTCGTTGATCCCTTAAAAGTAATAGCTTTCAAATACCAATTTTCTTATTCGTTGATATAGGAAAAAATCCCCTCCCAACTAAAATTGGACTCGTTCCATCTTAGATATAGTGTTTTGGGACGCGTATTGTCCTGCAGAAAGAAAGCCGGGACTGATATTTGACCTTTTAAAACCACAGTTATATAATTAATTTGATTATAAATATTTCATTTTATTCACTCACTGTTTAATTTTTATTTGAGTTTCAAATTGATTTTACGTTCTTAAAAAAATTACAATATAATTTTAAAAAGTCATATTATAAGATTAACAATGTAAATTAACAATAAAATTGTCTTCACACCTCTAAGTTAATTTCTAATTAGGAATGTTTACTTGAGACATTTGAATCGCCATTAATTGATTTCTTGTGATACTAAATATATTTAAAATATAAAAAAATAGAATATAAACTTAATTTAACAGTTACAAAATATAAGATGTTTGTTTAAAAAAAATGAAATATTGCATTTAAATTTAGGGGCTATTAGAAGGGGGGTTGGGGGGGGGGGGTTGGTAATTCGTATGAATACTCTTAATATATAATTAGTACATTTTATATTTTAATCATCGGAGAGAGGTACGTGAAGGAGAGGAATCTAGCTAGAGTGGTCTCTGGGGACATAAGCCTAAGCCTGCTTCCCTAAGTTACCACGCAGGAAAAAATGACTCCAGTGCATTGACTAGGTAGGATAAATATCTACCTCAAATTTAATGTTTTAAGAAGAATTTATTTTTATGTTTTCATATATTTGTCAGATATCTTAAAATTTAATCCAATATTAACAAAGTTATAAGACTGGGTTCAAGCTCATATTTAAAAAATTCTGGGCTGACTAAGAATTATTAAAAATTCAATGATATCTCAAAAAGTATATACCACTCATCTCAACAAATATAATTTAATTTTGCATAAATAAAGGAAATTGGGGATTTTATGAGCCTGAGATTCCTGCGAGCCCTGAGGTTTTCTTAAAGAGTATACTAAACTTAATGTTTAATTTTTCTTCTTACAAAATAATATATTTTATATATATATATGCAGCTATAAATTTTTTTTAAATATTGGATCACATCAAAAATTTATAATGGTAACCGCTATAGAAGTTTTTTTTTAAATAAAGAAAATATTATATGAATAAATATTATTTTATAGGAATAAAAAAGTCAAAACTATCTTTAAGTAAATTCATATTGTAATATGACCAGAAATTAAAAAATTTTTATGCAAAAGGAATCTAATTTTTAGTTTTTACACTATATAGGCACAACATTTCCCGAATTGTAAAAAATTAATATTGCTGAAAGTATAATAAACTTTATTTGCAATTTTTATGAGTGTAACAAAATGAGATGTGTTATCTATCTAAAATTAATAAATATTGTTTTAATTTTATTGGCGTGTTGCTTTTAGGACTCGTGTTATGGTTCCATCAATATTATTATTCTACTGGGGAAAATAAATTAGATCGAAAAAGAAAAATGGTTTATTGTTGAGTTGTGAGATTTGTATAATTCCACGAACTCAACCATGTGTTATATTTAATTTGAGCACGCCTAGAACATTATCTACTTAAGATAAACGTTTCTTTGAGATCAAGTCTAAAATGAAAATATACATGCATAAGATGATAATAGGATAAAAATCCCGAGAGTGTTAGCCCAGGTATAAACAAGTTCAAAATAATAGAATTTTTGCAAACAACAAAAATGTGGGGGTTTAAATCACGTGATTGCCGTCATTTTTTTAGCTTTTTTCGTTGATTTTCTTTTATTAAAATGTTATGATGTGAAAGATATTTCGTTCATATTCACCATATATAAAATTTACAGAAGATCTTAAATATATTATAATATTTGTCACTCCATATTTTTATTTTCAAATGAACATAGATATTTGATTCTATTTGAAGGTCGGCTATAGTCGATCTCTTAATAAATACGGAATCTCAATTAGTAAAACAAAATTTATCTTTCATTATAAGTATTTTCTATAAAAAAAACGGAAAGCGCTATCATCTAACTTATTTCTTATAGTTTTATCACCCTTATTGTAATCTTAACAACCGTGGTGGCACCACTCTAAGCCTGGGCCCCATTAAGGTGAAAGAATTAAATTATTTGTATGTGATCCAGATTTTTATGACTAAATACTACAGTAATAAATTTATGGGGATCAGTATCTCTCAGTTTAATCATTTATTGATGGCAATTTTAAATTTATTTAACCGGAATTTAATTGGGCACTACCTTATGTATTTCAAACAATTTAGTAAAATTTTTTATTTTTATTAATATGAAAAATCTAAAGAAAGGTTTTCAGGAAAACTAACAGAATAGGCACTCTTTTTTTTAATAATAAATCCTTATCACATTTCAGAAATCACTTTAATTTCGTTTTTCAGGTCACGAAATTAAATAAATTGTTAGTAGTAATAAAAATAATAAATAAAATGACGTATTTTTTTTGTATTTATTGAATCATAATTAGAGATTGGAACGGGCCGTGAAATGTCCCATTACTAATCCGGTCACTGAGGGTTACGTCAGATATATTTTATATTTCAAACGTAATTGATGACGAGTTTTTCCAAAAAATGACTGGACATGATAGGGCGCGAATAGAAATCATTCGTGGTAAACGGAAAATTTTTAGAAAAAAGTAGTATATTTGAAAACGAAAATTTCTTTACCCATTGAATTTTATGACACCATTTCTTTCCTTAAAATAAAGTTAATTTCTATTTTAAAATACAAGAAATTTATGAAAAAAAATTGATTAACAAAATTTCATAAAATAGTTCGAACATGTTTTTATTTTTAGAAAAGCTTATTTCATTATTTTCACGAAAGTTTTTGAATTTTGCCAATTTTAAATCTTTTCCTCAGAAAATTAGGTATCAACCCCTGTCATTTGGCCTGCAGTGAACGTTTACTTTACCACCAATAATCGGTTACATTTTGATTTATAAGTGTGACGTAAATTTTTAGTTATGAAAAAAAAATATATATGAAATTTTTTTGCTATATTTATGTAGAATTAGAAAAATAAAGAAAGGCAGAAATTATAATATTTTATGAATGACAATTTTAGGTGAAATGGAATAAAGTCAAAAAAGTGTAATAATATTAATGATCATTTTAAAAATTTAGAAAAAAAAGTTTTAATTTTAAAATAGTCCGAATAAAAAATTAGACCCAAGCCCACCTAAAATTGTATTATTCCAGAAATCCTGGAATAATATTAATTAAAATATTTTGCATAATAGCTGCTTTATTCTATGAGGAAATTTTAAAAAAGTACCCGAGGTCTAAACAGGATGCACCCCAAAAGTAATAGATAGATAGATATATTAAAACTGATGCCTCATAAAAATTTGTAAAAATCACAACCTATTCCATATGCCCTATGCTCTTAAAGAGAAAGTATAAAAGATTTCATGAAGGGGGAAGAAAAATGGCATAATTCAAAAATTCCAATAGAGTATATAGAAATCTTATATCTTTCGCATAGTAAATAGCAATGGCATAGTAAGATTATATATTGCGTAGATTAAAAAATCACTTTTTATCAACAAATTACAAGAAATTTATCCTTTTTTAGTATTAAAGATTTACTTTGATCAAGGACTGGTCAATACTTTACTATAAATTTAGGAGATACTATTATTTACAGTTACAAAAAAAACGAGTAAATTTTTAACTGCACTCATCTGTGTCCTTATATATTTTTTAAATGGAGTATCAAAGCAGGGCAAAATGGGGCATGGATGCGAATCCTTCTTACTAGAGACTAATTTTTTCCAAGCCTGACCGGAAAATTATTCCCAAAAATATTTCTAAACCGTATCCAACCCGACTTAGCTTATAAGATAATTTCCTAACCCAACCCGAAATAAAACTAATTAAAATAACCGGACCCAACCTAAGTAGGTTGATTGCCGAGCTTTAGTCACTACCCCCATAAAAATGACGACAAAATTTATACCGAAGATGCATAAGCATCACCAGTCCATCCCTAAATAAAGAGGATAATTTATTATTCAAATATCAATTTTTTAATATAGAAAGAAATTAAGAAAAAGGTCGCCATAAAAATTTGTGCACCATGGCCACAAAATGTCTAGGCATAGATCTAATCATATGTAAGCATGGACCCGAGTCGTTATGTATAAAGGATCTGCATCGGTTATTGTTCAGTTTAAAATTATAAAGATTCGATTCGGTTAAGGTCTTAAAAAAATTATAAAGGTTTTTTCAAGTTTTATATTATTTATTTATTAAAAAAATTTTTAATAAAATAATTGTAACAAAATATTAGATTAGCCAAAAATTACCATTTTAAAATTAATAAAAACTTTCCATAAAAAAGTAATGTGTGAGTTATCAAAATATTATGGTCTTATAAAACAAAACGATTTTAAACGGTTCAGAACAAAAATAAAGATTGAGTTACCTCCGTTTAACGATTGGGCATAAAGATTCGGCTACGGTTCAAAAAATTATAAAGTCTTTCCACTAAAAAAACGGTTTATTATCTCGGGGTTCTTCTGTGTAGCAATATTTTTTATTAATTGCATTTTTGCCATTCAACAAATGACTTTATAAGTGAGTAGTGGTATCTCTACTTCTTATCTTTCATTTTATTTTAAAAGTCATTCTTTGATTTTTAAGCAGGTTCAAAAAAACGTTTTCCTGAAAGAGAAAATTTTTAAATGTACTTATCCCCGACCTTCCTATGCTTGAAAGACATGAGAGAAATAAAATATTTAAAAAAACCTTGAAGGTATTTAGAATATGCCATGTCAATATCTTGATCACAGCATTTGAGTAAAGCTTTAACTATGCTTCGAAAGGAATCAGGCGATATAGGTCCTATCATTTCGATCAATTTCTCGTCTTCGTTCGTTGATTTAATAACATTACCATTTTTGTTATTATTGCTTAACAAATTTTCAATTTTGTTCTGATTGACATAATAATTTTCATAGTTATTTTCTATGTTATTTTTGATAAATTAATATATACTTATACTAGATCGAAAAGTATTGAAATAGATTTGCACGATTAATTTACTACAATGAAATAAAATGTCTAATCTGCCAAAAAATATATAATAAAACAATTTTTTTTTTGAAAAAGCATCCATTTTTAAAGCTGTAAAATAAATGTCAAATCATTTTTTGTTTCTTCATGAAGTGTGTTACTTTTTCAATTTTAAAGCTTCTTTTGAGGGCATTTTTTTTTAAATTTAAAAGTCGGATATTTCCTGAAATGTATTTCAGCATGTTTAGAATACCTAACTTATGAATTATAGATAATTTGCTGTTAACCTTTAGGCCATTTATAATTTATATAAAAAATAAATTATATTAATTCCAAAAGTTCATGGCGAAATTGGTTGAAATTTATATGGTATGTATTCCAAATATGAGACTAATCAAATTTTTGCGCTCTGATTTAAAGTTGAAAAATTAACACATTGCCGGAAAAAACACTGACGATAACATATATAATGTCAATTAAGAATCGAAAACCCCAACCTGTTTGTCAAAATTTTATTAAAGGGTTTACCGATAGGCCTAACTTTGACAAAAGAGAAAAAATCACAAATTTTTATTTCTCCATGAATATTTTGTTTTAAACTTAATTATTACCCCGTTGGTAAAAAAGTTTATAACTTATTTTTCTAGCAAAATTATTTTAATTAAAGTTTAATTAGTAGGCTTCAATTGATGAGTGCGGACTACATTTTATTTTTGACGGTAAATATTTATTGAGAGGTTATTTATTTTAATAGGCAATTAGAATTAAAACATTATTTTTGGGAGGGGAAGTTCTTGGCTGCGGGGATGTTTAATATTAAACACCTTAAATATATTTGTACCTTTTATTTCTGATGTATTTTGCCCATAGCTCTTACGTGGAATAAAACTAGATATTGGCAAAGATAGGTTCATAGATTTGCATGCTTTGTCCTTGCTTTCAACTATAATCGTTTTATTACGGGTTCCTATTGTTCTATCCCTTAGCGCAATCGCATTATATTCGTCGTTCTCATCTATGATTTTGTCATCTTTTGCAAGAATCGGTGAAGATAGAATCAGCGAATTACTGTCCTCCTCATTATGAGTAAATATCAAATTAGCTTGAGAACGACTGTGAAATAATTTATTGTCATTTTTACTGCATCGAACAATATTTTCGGTAGGATTGTCATTACTTAAACTCAAATATTTCGGGAAATCTAATTGTGTAATAAAATGTCTGTCATATTTTTTATATGATATATCGTACTCATTTATGCGATCAGTCAGAGCCAAACCAACATTAAAATTATTAGAATATAATTCATTGTTATCGTCTAGTTTATTATTTATTCCCTGTTGCATTGATGGCAAAAACGCAAGCGAACTTTCATCACCGTCAATATGATTGATGTTACAAAATGACTCGCATTTCTCATCCCTTTTCCTCGACTCTTCCAATTGCTGTTGCCTCCTGTGAGCCACTTGAGCGGCCATTACCCTCTGTCGTTCAGCCACCAACAAACAATTGTTACACTCGCAGTCCTTCCATTTGCAATACCTTTTGTGACCTTTTAGCAAGGAAATTTGGCCGTGATTTCTGCATCTCGCGCATTTAGGGGCTCTTACTTTCTTTTGCGGAGAGTAATCTTTAACATTTCCGATAGAAATGTTATCGACGTAGCACTTATTATATTTGTTAGTTTTAGAGGTTAGTTTCCGGGTAATAGTTTCATCTTTTGTCGGGTAAAATAAAAAATTTGAAGATTTTATAGTATTAATAAAATTATTTTCTTCTTTCATTTCGGGCACGTTTTGATAATTGTACACGGGAAAATAATTTCTGCTAAAACTTTGATAATCTAAATAATATTTTTTCCAAAAGTTTCTCAGGTAGGTATCGTTGGGGCTCAAGCCGCTATAACGACTACTGATGTTATTGTATTTTGAGTAAGGGAAATATTGGAAATTTTTTTTGTTATCGTGAATTGGAGAAGTCCTCTTTGCACTATTTAACGGGTGTTGCTCATATAATTTTTTACACTGTTCTTTGGTTATTCGAGCTAAATGTATCGGTAAATTAATGTCGCCTTCATTGTTATTTATTGTCTTTTTAATCAATTTATCTCCCCCTATTTCATAATTAAAGTCATATTTTCTTGCCTCAGCCATCATAGAGTTTTTAACATGGTCTTATAAAACGATATTTTAATGGCGCAATAAAAAATAATATATATTAGAAAGTGTTAAATTTTCCACCAGAAATTTCTATAAAAATTGTGTTTTGATAATTAACACATTTATATATTTCATAAAAAATATATGATATAATAGCTAACTAATAGATAAGATATGGAAATAATTTTAAAAATTTTTTTATGATAAATTGTTATTTTTTCATAATAGTAAAAATTATTTATAATAATGGAATTTAGTCATTGTTTTTGAAATTAACTTCTATCGCAATTCTTTCTTTCTTTCATTTTTCTTAAATTTTTATTTTTATGGATTAGCTATTAAGTATTTAATAAATTTAATAATTATTAAATATCAATTTTTTTTTATTATGGAAATGAACCATAAAAATCTTATTTTTATAAATGAAATATATTTTCTAACTTTTAAAATTTTTTTTAATGGTCTTTAAGTCTATTATTATATTAAAACAAAAATCACAATTTTGAATTTCTTATCAAATGTTTTATTTATTTAAAATCTGAGATATCATAATCGAAATCAATGTTATATGCCATGTTACCAAAAAAGAATTTTGTTATAAATGGTTTTAATTGATTATGTTATGGATAGAAAAGAAAAAAAATTCTCATAATTTACCTTGAATGTATAATTAACAAAAATTAATCTACTATGTTTTTTTATGATAGATCAAACAATGATAAATACTTTTTTTATAATAATTTAAATTAAATTTTAAAATACTCACCCCCTCCAAAAATTAAAATGTTCCTTCAAATGCTACCATATAAATTTTAATTTTTAAATGATATTATTTATTATAAACTAATTTAAAAATAAAAAATTATATGTACTTAATTTTATCTTTTTTTAAAAAAAATACAAATAATCAAATCATTCCATTAATCATTATTTTTTTAAATTGTAATTTTTATTCTTCTGGTTCTTAATATTAGTTTTTCTATTTTTATGGTGAAATCCAAATGTGCAACATAATAAACTAACATGCAGGTTTATTCTTTGGTCATTCACTACCGGAGGAAATAAAATTGGAGTCCTGTAAATCTACCCGAAATCGGGTGAGGATTATTTTTATTTAAATCGAGTTGGACTCGGGTTTATGAAATTATTTAAAATAAAACAAATGTTTAATTAATTACTGAAAATAGCAAAAAGTAATCAAAAATGAGTTTTTAGGAATAATTTCATAATCTAGAGGAGATCGGAGATATATTGCGGGTAAAAAGGATAATAAAACAATTTATTAAATCTTTTTATTTCTTCATTCCTGTCTTTATTATCTTAATATTATAATTACACCATGATTTCCCATCTTAACTTGACAATTGACCCGACCATATATATCGTTTTTTTTAAAAAATAATTCTATAATCTGAATTCGTTTGCAAAATAGGATTATTATCTCTAGTTAACACCACCCGACTTCTAAAAGCATAGGATACATGATAGCCTTAACATTATATTTATATCCTTTGTTGACGATTATCTTGATATACCAATAAATATCAAAAATATAATATATAAAAACGTTTTTTTTAAATCTGTCAATCACTTCGAAACTATTTTTGCATTTCAATTTTTAGTATATATAAAAATGCCAAGATTATTTAATATTTAACTCTAGATTTCAAACATTTTAAATAATTTATTTTTATTTTTATTTGAAAGATCGATGATAATGGTGAACTCCTTGATACAGGGTAAAGATGAGAAAACTAGACTAATCCGAAGAACCCTTACGAGGTACCTTAATTTGACGTCCGTTTTAATTTTCCGCTTCATTAACGCGCCTGTTAAGAGGCGGTTTCCTGATATGGAAAGCGTTGTTGAGGCCGGATAAAAGCCCTTCAATATTTAAACTTGGAGATTATCATTTATTTTTTAAACCTAAATATATTTTATTTAAATATATCTATATATATTTTTTACAAAATTACAAGAAAAATTATAAGCATCAAATTTCTTTTTGCATTTTTTTTGTCAAAGAAAGATATATGACATACACCAATTATATAAAATGGCGTAAGCATGGGGGAAGGGGGAGGGGATTTAAAGGTTTAACCCCTCTTCCCATGAAAAAAATGGGGAATTTTTTTAAGCATGTTAATTTTAATTTACTAAATTGATAATATAAATTCTTAAAATTTATAAAAAAATTATATTTATGTTTCATCTTTCAGTTTAATTATTTCAAATTTGGTCAAAAATTATATTTGTATACATATCATCTATCATAGGTTCATTTAGTAATGGGAGCTAGTGATCTGCATAATTTTTCAAGCCCGGCCGGAAATTTTTTTAAAAAGGTTTAGCACGAAACCGAAATTTTTTCTAAAATATTTTACGGCGCGAATTTATTTAAATATAAAAATTAATTTTTAAATTACTCAAAATAAAAGTTATATGTTATATGGTGTCTAGTTTTTATAAATAAAATCAAATATTTTTATTTTACATAAAAAATTCATTTTTATTTTACATAAAAAATTCAGCATAAAATTGATAAATTTAGATATATTTTTTTAAAATTCCTAGGCCCAACCCGCCCCGGCCCAATTTTTTCAAAAATATTATGCCCGACTCAACCCGAACCCAATTTATTTTAGAAAAATAGGCCCGGCACGGGTCGGGCCTTTTGAAGATCTCTTATGGGAACTCCTTATATTCAAAAAACCTTTTTTTAAAAAAAATATTTTTTTGCCTTGTGGAAAATACTTCTTAAATTTTTATAAGTCAAGGTGCCCAATGTCTGAGGACAGATTAAGCTGCGTCCAAATTTTCTATAGCTATTTAAGCTAATTCACTACCCCGGATCTAAGCGTCGATGAATAAAATGACGAATAAAAGATCAACTATTCTAAAATATTTGACAGGTCGCCTAGATTGGGAATAGAGGTGGGCGCGGAAGGTGTGACTGGGCGTGACGGGCCTTCCCAAAATTTTCCCCGGGCGTGATCGGGCGTGAACATAAATTTCCCGTGAATCACGGAAATCTTAATTTTTAAAATTGTTTTTTATAAATATAAATTTGCAATTTTATAATTATAAATTGCAATTTTATAATTAAATTTGCAATTTTATAATTACATTATATATTTTCTTATTTTATTAGTTCTTTTTTAAAAAAGAATAAAAACTAATAATCTTCCGCATTTTATAAACAACATCCGGTATCATTTTGTTAGTTCTATTTTCTTTTTATGTTTTGGTGTTTTTTATCGCGAAACCTTATGCTAAATTTTGCTTAAACTTTTTACAGAAAAGTCAGTTATATTTTATTTGTAAAGATCTTCAATCTTTAAATGCAACAGAAAGTGAAGGATTTTACAAGCTAGGCCAAGAGATAATTGTTGGTGTTACATATGGATAACAAAATATAAAAGTTGTGAACCGGAAAACTCTCATGAATACTATAGGTCCAAAAATATACCATGAAATAAAATTTAAGATTAAAAGCATGATCATTGTCCATAATCACTGATATTTAGACGGATGACTATAAAAATCTAAGTTTTTTAACCATTATAGGACATTTTATCATTAAGGATTTTAATTGAAAACATTTGTTTTGGCCACAAGAGCAATGAATGAAAAAAACGTCAAAATTAAAAGTGTAGTCAATTCAATTTTAGGAGAATATACAGAAGTAGAAAATTACTTAAATAAATGTATAGTTGTGAGTGATAACGGAGCAAATCTTATAAATGCATTCAAAGATGACGAAACGCTAGCATGTACATGCCATATACTAAATAATATTATGCATTATATTTTTGACAATTGTTTAACTGAAATAACCTTAAATATAAATGGTGTAAAAAAAATAGTACAATATTTCAAACACAGCTAATAGCAAACTAAGCCACACCCTTAAACAATATGTAATAGCGAGAATAACCAGATGGAACTCTGTATATATCATGATACAGAATTTCTTAAAATCATTTCTGAAATACAGGTGTACTTGTTTAGCAAGCAAGAATTAAATAGATTAGCCACAATTGATATCAGCATCATACGCGAGTTAGATAAATTTTTATAAATATTTAAAGAATGCTCGGATAATCTGAGAGCAGATTATCGTCCCACAATAAATAAAGTTTGTCTATGGAAACAAAAATTAATAAAATTTTGTTAACCTTCTGAACGTGATACAATAATAATCAGAACCTTAAAATACAGAACAAGATTTCATTTAAAAGATTATTATGCAGCCACTATAGTAGGCTTAATTCTAGATCCGAATTTCAAAAGACTTAAGTTTTTAATAAAAGAAGAAAATGATATATATAAAACAATCTTAAAAATGCTAAATGATATAAAATTAGATGATATGCATAAGTCGATGCCAACTACCATTTATAACTTTCCTAACTTATCCTAATCATAAAAAAAACCGTATATACTAAATGATCAATACCAACTATCACTTTCCTAATTCATCCTACACTCATAAAAGACCGTATATTTCTAGATGATTCTGATGAAGCATCAACGTCACCCATTAAAGCTGTGAGGATGAATTTATAAGATTCATATAAGATAAATAACAAGACAATATTTTGAAGTTTTGGAAGCAGGAATATTCATTTCCATTTTTGAGAAAATTATCGAGTAAAATTTTGTCAGCTGCAAGTTCGGCTTCTAGTGAAAGGTTCCAATCTCTTACTAGAGGAAAGGCGTGCACAATTGAAATAAAAAAAGATGGACATTCTTCTTTTTCCAAATAAATTTCGATTTATAGATTGTATTTATTTTTTGTTATTAATATGGATTATGAAATTAGAGAAATAAATAGAATGAATTTAAAAAAGGGTATAATTATAGCAATAGTTTTGAAAAATTTAAAAACACCGTGAATTTTCGGGCGTGAATCAAAATATTGCTTGTCGTGAGCGGGCGGGTAGGGTCGAAAATTTTTTAGTGTTTAGCGTGAATGGGCGTGATATTTTTTTATTACCACCGTAAATTAGGCCCGCGCCCACCTCTAATTGGGAATATAAAAATTTTGTTTTTTTTTAATTGTATGAGTAATAAAATAATATACTTCTTTTCGAAAAAAGTGGTCCCTCTAGCACGATAAGGGGGGGGGAATCAAATGCGTCATGAAATATCAAGGGGGAATACGACAAGATGGTAGTCTCTTAGCTTAGTCGTATTCATTTTCTAAATGAATTATTTTATAATTTAGACCCAGGGCTGAGAACCTGAATCCTCGAGATTTTAATGAACCCGAACTCAAACCCTTATTTAAAATTTAGAGATTAAGACTTGTTTTTTTTCATTCTCTCAAGGATGGTATTTTGGAAGATATCATTTCGCTACAATAAAATTATTAAAATTCAAATATATTAATATTTAATAATAAAATAAATTTTCAAAAAAACTGACGTTTCTTTATATTTTAACTAAATTTTATGCCCTCATTTTTCTGGACTCCAGAATCTGAACCCCAATCTGTTTCATGCATTTTCACTGGACCCGACCTTGAACACAGCCCTGTTTTAGACATTGGGGAAGGGGGAGGTGGGGGAAGGGGTTCATCGTCATTAGTGTTAAGGAGATCTAGAGGACTCTGATTAAAAGCTTCCAATTTTTTACATCTTACAAGATTTTATTTTTTAATGGATAATTTTAATAATAATACAACTACTCTATAACGACTTCTATTTATATTTTTGGAAAAATGAAACAATAAAAAAAATTTTTTTACAAAGATATTTTATTCTACTATTTAAAATGGAATGTTTAATAACTTTTATAATATTTTAAGAAGAAGAAAAGTAAATTTTGATAAATTTTAAAAATTTAAACTAACATAATAAAACAAATAAAAATGATTTTTTTTTTAAACGAAAAGTTAAAAACAAATATTTTATTTTTAACATGGTGGTAAATAATAAAAAAAAAATTATAATTCAATTATTTTTTTTCTATAAGAGTATAATTAAATTTTATCTTTCTTTTCACTCTTTCTCTTTGTAAGAAATGTTAAAAAGAAATACGAGTTAAAAAAACAAAAACGTTACCTTGATTTACTTTCAGAGACTTGCAGACCCGGCCTAAGCCCAATCTGGCCTGAGTACACGGGCCAGGACGTATTTTAATTTTTTTTAAATATGGTCGGGCAATGTATAAAAAAGGCATAAAAATTTTTTAAATAAAAATACCCGGGCGGGCTGGACTTTATATTATAAAACCAAATATTTTAAATGACCATTATTAACTCCATGCCCGGCCTGAAAATATAAAAGCCGGGCCGAAAAAAATTTTTGAATAAGAAATCCGGACCGTGCAGATGGTACATCTGCAGGTTTTTTTTCAATAAAATAGCTTTATGATTTTATGAATAAGCCACCTCTATATTTTTTTTCTTTTACAACGACAGTGAACAATTTAATGAAGATAATCTCATGCAATGTCTCAAATTATCGTTTGATAATCCAACTCAGATTTGATAAAGTCCGGAAAAAGTCAAAAAAGGATTGAATCGGAATGACTGAAAACCAAGTATGATGTATTGAAGATTTTAGAATACGTCAGAATAATTAGAGCTAAAGTGTGCGGAAAGTTGAGAAGAGTAGAATGGAAGGGTAAAGGTAATGAATATAGGATGGAGCAACAAAGCCGTAATTAGATATTTTTTTTTTGGGGGGGGGACTATATTTTTGGATATTTTGATTAGAAATTGCATATCAGTCGGAAATGAAGTATTTCTATTATTTTTGATCATTTTTAGGGTGAATAAGCAGATTAGAATAGCCTACCCCCCCCCCTTCGTTGCTAAGCCCTATAGAGCAAAACGCAAGAATAGGAGTGGCCGTTTTATGATAATCTATATAAAAGCTTGAATGACTGAGAAAACGAAAATTGTATTATGATTGCGAAATCTCAAGAAATAAAATCTATGGCTTCGGGGAAAAGAATAAGAAGAATGGATACCAATTGGTATTTTCAAAATAGGAAATATATTAGAGCAATGGGCTTTTTACTCTGAAATATTTCTAAATGAAAAATGATGGAGGTGGACCTATGGTATTTTGGTAAAGAGCCTTTCATCTAATCATCTTTCTAGGTGAAGGAAGGGGGGGGGGGGTAATATACGATAATTGAAATAAATCCCAATGCTCAAAGATAAAGACAATGTGGATGACTGTATAATAATTTCAAAGATTGAGAGGATATTATGAAAAATACATAAAAGGAATATTAAATTTAAAGGGGAAGGTCTATGAAATAAATTCATTATTTGGAGTATGATGTTGAAAAAAAAATAGAAGGCTCAAAGGGTATAATTATCCGAGACAGATGGGGGAAGGGGTAGATGTCTAAAATATTGAGGTATAAAGTTAAAGTAAGTTACGCTAGATGTATGCAATAAGTGGGTTTTAACTCGTACCCATTCTCTTTGAGGGGGATGATCTTAATTTGAAACTACTTATAAAAAATATTATTAATCATTTTCTGGATAAAGTTTCAGCAACTTCTACCCTTTTTTTTAAATTTTTGCTAAGCCTGGTTTACGGGAGGGGTGAGGGCTGTGAAACCATTATATTTAAAAAAATAATCTGAAAGATTTATTATTCAAAACTTTTGTACTTTTATTTATTGACATTCACAATGTATCATCTAGAAAATCAATGCTAGATTTAATAAAAGTGAATATAAAAATTTTTCTTAAAACAAATTGATTGGAATTATTTTGAGAAACTGTAAACTACGTAATGAATAATTGTGATATAAAAATTTTTTGATAGTTTTATATCGTGCCTCCTTCCATCTTTTTTTTAATATGTAATACCATATACAATGCTTGGAAATATGATTAAAAACTGAGTTTGGAGGAAATAATTAACTTACTAGGAGTTGTGAAGAATTTTAATATTATAATGATGATGTAAAACTCACTATGTACACTATAATTGCAAAAGTACGAATCGAATAATTGTATTATTGTTCATATGAATCAAATAATTTCATATTCGTATTAATAAAATAATAAATCATTATTAGATTTGATTCGTCGAATATTCGATTCAAAAAATAAATTCTTTATAAATAAATTTCAAAAATTAGAAAAATGGATTACCATTTAAAACTTTGTTATTCGTCTTAAAATATGTCAAATCGGATAAAATAATCGAATAACGAATAATTTGTTTTAGGTATAATGTGCAAATGTGTATATATATTAGAGACTGAGCCCCATAATCATAAATTCACAATAAAGAAATTAATAATTCTAGAAATAAACAATCAGGAGTTAATATGGGCCCATCAAAAACAAATCGAATAGTAACGTATACGATGGTAAATTATCCGTTTCGATAAATTAATCATAATTTGTTTTAATTCATAGCTTAATCGGAATATTATATGTTTTTTAATAAAATTTAATCATTTGTCATTTCTAATATATACTTATTGATATATCATTAACAAAGTATATATCAACTGCTAGGATTTTCTTAATTAGAATTAATTTGCTGTCAAAAAATTGCATGTCTTATAAAGAATAAATAATGAGAAAAATTCTTGGCCTTAAAAATTGGCTTAGCATTTGGATTAATAGGCATTTTAATTTTGTTTGATCGCATATTACTAATGGCAAATTTCGTTATTTATATGAAAAATATTAAACGAATCGAATCGAATACGAATAATGCACTATTCGATTAATACTAGTTTTTGAATTAAAGCAATGAATGGGAATAGTAATAACAATAAATATATTTTATTTAAAAAAGAAGTTTATTGCTTTGTGAGGGGACATAGATAGTGTAATCATTAATGTTATAAAATAAAAAAATATATAAATATACAAATTAAAATGACAAGAGGGGTAACCATGTTCCATTACAAATTCGTATATTTAAAATTTTTGCATATTTTCCATCCTTGAAGGTTTCGATAAACAGCTTAAACACGTTGATTATAAAAATATTTTAGATAATATTACTTCAGGTATACAATAAACATGGCTAATTCAAAAATTGAAACCTGGTAATTATTTGGCAAAATTTGAAATATACTATCAAAATAAAATTATTATAAATGCGATGTGAATAGATTGATATTTTGTATATGCCTACGCTTTATAGAATATTTCCAGAGATACGATATCAAGTATATAATATGTTGGTTGTTTGTAAGAGTTTTATGAATGTTTTGAAAACAATCGCAGAGGATTTACTGAATAACAATTTATAATCCACACGGTCATACTATCCATTATATTATTGTCAATATACTCATAGGACTGAGCGTTGTGTTGATAATGCTCCCTTCTTTAACTATTATCCGCTATTTATTGAAGATTCTGGAGTTTTCGACATATCACTATTATTACTCTGAAATGTTTCTGATAGGCTAGTGTTCTTAGAACGGCGCTTATTATTGTGTTTACATTTTGTCTTGTAACCCTTTTTGATCCTAGCATTATTGTCCAAATTGTTAAAGGAAGAAAAATTATCACCGTAGTTCTTCTTAATTATACCAGACAAAATGCCCATTTTAGCTCTTTCGTAAGCTCGTATACTGAGAGATTTCTTGTGTGGAATAGATCCACAATGTTTATCATCGGAATTTCTGTCCTTAAACTTGAACTTAACACTACCCTTCTTTTTGTCTGTGCTATTACTAACCTCCAATATATGGTTGTTATTAGGGCTGGACGAGGAAGTGGCATGAATGTTGGAGTTAGATGTGGTTGTGTTATTGGTTGTGGTAGTTGTCGTGGTATTAGCGTCTTCGTTAATGGCGGTTGATGATAGCTCGTCAAAAGTTGAGGAAAGCGGAATTTTTAAGGAGTTGGTCTTCGATTGAGAAGCAGATGGTAATACCAACTTGTAAAGCGAAGAAAACTTTTCTGGTTTGTGAGGGAGAGCCTTTGTAGTTGATACCTGTTTCGATTGTTGGTCATTATCCCCTAGTCCTTCTAGTATATCTTCGTTTTCTTCATTGATTTTGTTGAAGCAGAGAGGTGGCGATGATTTATTACGGTTGAAATGGGCCAAAGAAGAGGTTGCAGTATCATGATAAGATAATAAAGCCTTCAATTTAAATAAAAAATGATGCATAGTATATATATATAATTTTGGTGTATATTCTTTTAGGTCATAAAGATTTATGAAATTTGGCTATTAAAAGAAATATATTCTTTAAATTCCTTTCAAATATATACAATTTGATAATCAAAGTATAACCAATTCATATATTATATAAGAATAGAATAATATTACATCTTGTTGTGGGTTAGAAGCTAATATCGATTTGTTTTTTGCGTATTTTGAGCCAGTAAATGAAGATTTAATATAATTTTCACCAGGTTTATTTTCGTTATTATGCGTATTTAATTGCGTCGAGGGATTGTGATGATGGAAGGCTTGCAATGAAAACCGCCTAGAATGAGCGGCCTTACGCCCACCTCGTCTTTTGGATATGTGAGGATTGTCCTTGCGTAAATTTTTGTTTTTAAGCATTTGGAGTTGCATGTAGACACGCTTTAATTCACTCTTTTTTTTTAAATTAGAAAATAAAGGTTTGAGATGATTAATTGATTATTCCGCTAATAATTTTGATAAAGTAATAATAAAATTTAGCTAGACAATGGCATCAGTAGGGGAGAGGAGCATGCTCAAAACCCCTAAATTATGTTACTTATTTTAAGTTTAGTATGTTATAGGGTAATAGAGGAATTGAAAAAAATATATATAAAATAAACTCTTATTTCTTCAGGATCCATATCTGTTAAACTGATATCATTAAAATCCAAATCTCCATTTGATGTTAAATTATCTCTCAATTTAATTCCTTCAGGTGTTATGTGGTCTAACGCTTCTGCACCTGAGATCCCCCTTGATCTACGGTCTCCGTGACTTTTTAGATTCATAAGCCTCCAAATCTTATATTTTTTTTAAAAACCAAGAAAATTAATAGGATATGGTAATTTTAGTATATCAAATTATAATAAATATATTTATGCAACAAATGAAGGAAGTTGGGCAAATCTTTATCTTTATATTTTTGAATATAATATAGTTTTTTTTTTCATTTAAAACCCCTGTAAAATCAAGAATATTTGGGAGAGATTTATATTTGATAAAAATTTTGTTTTATAATTAAATAATAAAAACTTTGGCGGACTATGTCTACAATTGATAAATAAACAAAGGGGCCAAAATTTTCAATTAAAGATTTAAAATATTATGGTATAACTATTTAACCAGGGTAAATAAATGCGCCAACGTTATACATATTATCTGGAAATACAAATATGTCAAAAAAAATTAATAAAAAGAAAAATGAGCTATATAAATGCTTCGAAATTACAAAATATTATAATATTTTATTGAGCGTGTTTTTTTTTACATTTCCAAAAATATTTTGCAACAAATATATTCGAGATGTATAATATCAATTCTATAAATTTCAGACAATTTAACCCAGAACTTTTGAGTTATTTTTTATATACTGACGATAAAAAAATTGATTAAGGTGTATTTTTCATTGCCTAATTAGGGATAGAGATCTGAAAAATATAAATTTAACATGGCCCAGTGGTAAATATTTCTAGACCCAGACCCTGCGGGTGGCCCGAATTTTTAAAAAGGGCTTAGAGGGAAGAAATCTTAAGGTTCAAAATGTTTATTTTTCTATTTCAACGTTAGGTATTAAATATGAAAATATTCAGAAATAAGTTGATAATTTTTATCTATTTTATTATATTTCTTATAAAATATTATAATGAAATTAATAATGAATAGTATTCCCCCTCCCATGCGATTTTTTATAATTAATTCTATTTTAGTACATTAAATCAGGCAAAAAAAGGAAGAATAATATTTTGTTGATGGTGTTGGCCGGGCTGATAGGCTGGATCTGTAGGACTTTAATTATGGACATTGCTAGTAACATTGACGACATATTATTTATTTTCGAAGAATGGATTTTATAAATCCAATTATAAATAAAGTCTTCCGACAAAACTATAAAAAGCACAAGGGGGGGGGGGAACTACGGGTCAAACTTGTCATAACTTTATATATTATAATGCAAAATAAAATAATAATATTTACTTTTGGGAAAAATATCAATAGAAGAACAATTGTGACGGTACATTGGATTCGAAAAAAGAACATGAGGAAAATATAATCGGAATGTGTGTTGAGAACTGTTAAATGTCTAAAAAATTTCCAAAAATATAAGTTTATACTAATAGTAAAATATATATCAAATATTATTGTAAACTTCAAAAGATTCATGATGACTGATACGAAGGCTTCAATACACAAAGACGTTTTGAGAGCCCATACTTCGCTTAAATGTGATCTAACGCTTCTTATTTTCCAGCTGTAATATAATCCAAAGATAAGAAATAGGAACTCTCCTATAAACAATATTAAAAATAAATATTATTTTATAAAAAGATATTAAATATTAGAAAATAGGCTAACTAAAATGATGTGATTATAGTTGTCACAAGGTTGTCAATTTTATAAGTTTAAAAAATAATTTTTTAAATTAATTACTTTACCTATATTAAACATACCATTATCAATTTTCACTGACCTATTTCAATAACGTAATCCCACCATAGAGATTTACAGACGTAATATATCAAATTGTTCTTCGTTATGCCAACTTCTAACATACTGCCTCCTTCTTCTGAAATTCGATCCAAATTTACGAATGTCCAGGCGGCCATATATCCTATAATAACTATGATAATTCCCATAAGATACTTCAAGAGATCCTTGTCCCTTATATGAATGCGATGAGCTTTGCGAGATTGAAAGTCTACGTATAATCTAAATACGATATACAGTATTAGATTATTAATATACCCCAGAATTTTTGAATATATATTATAGAGATTCAAACCAGGATAGTCGCTAGGGAACACAAGCATCCTAAAAACTTTGGATAACCTCCTGGTAATTTTTCAATTTTTTCGATCTCCTAAAAACTTTGGATAACCTCCTGATAATTTTTCAATTTTCGATAAAAATTTCTACTTTGGGCCTCCTCACATTGGAAAGTAAACGACGCCAACTAAGCCAAATTCAAAATATTAAACCTTTAGGTCCCGGAATAAAATAATAACGATCACCAACATTTAATTACCAACTTTATTATATATAGCTGAAATATATTTTTGCAGGGATGTGTTATATTCATTTTGTTACTTTTATAAATCGGATATTTTTTAATTATATTTTATTTTACCCCCCCCCCCTTTTTTTACTCTAAAAACAATATAGAAAGCATAGGCGCCCAGAGACTTTTTCGAGGTGGTTGGAGATGGGGGGGGGGATGTATATTTTTTGAACAAGGCTATCATAAATGCATTGTTTAAGTTTATTACTAAAACATATTCTGTGTTGATAATATAATATGAAAATAAGTAAAACTCTTAAGTTGAAAGCCTAGATATTTTTATTATGTCGTAATTAAAACCAAATATTTTATGAACTTTTAATAATTGGAAAGATGAATTAGTATAATTATTAAAATGAAATTGCAATGATATTAGAAAATCGCGAGGCGTTTTTCAGGGGAGGGGGCATATGCTCTTCTGGTCAATGACCGCCCATGATACAATATATAATTATATCTTAGTTTAACGCCTTATTTTTTAATGTACATAAAAAGGAAAATCACGAAAACAATAAAATATAATTAATTTATGAAGAGCCATTTAGAAAAATATGAAAAGAAATAGAGAGAGAAAGCATTACTTTGCATTTGCTGCACCAGATAGAAGTTTAAAAAATCAAAATTAATGTGACGTTTATTTATACAGGGAAGAGTGCTCACTAGATAAAAGTTAATTTAAACACTGAGCACACTTGAAACTTTTTTAAAAATAACTTTCAGCACCACTAAATAAAATGAGCGAGAGACGTAACTATATTCATCTAAGAAAGGACCTATTGAATTGGCAGGGGATACAAGGGTAATGAATTAAATTAAAATGTTTTTTTTAAAAAAAAATCGTAATTTGTAAAAATTCATGAAAAAATAGTCGAGTGACTAGAAATGCAGTGTAAGACGTGCACATTCATTTACAATATGTTTGAAGTTGATTTTTTTTTAAAACTGTTGAAGAGCGATAATGTAAAATAAAATATTTAATTATATAAAATAAACTTGTAAAGTTTTAAAATGATAGCACCATATAACAAGCCGAAACCTACTTCTCGAAACCAAGGTCCTATGAAGCACAAAATTGTAGTTGGTTTGAAATAATCAATTATAATCTAAAAATCAATTTCATATAAATGTATGTTTAAAGGCATAATTTATTAACTGTGGAATACAGTATAAAGGCTCCTAGCAATATGATCTCCAACAAAGTCCACATTGCGAAACTAATAATCTAAATATTCATTTAAAGTGAATATAATTTAATTTAAGAAAGAAAGAAAGGATATACCTTTATTTTACGGGTCCAAAATATCAGAATTATCATAGCCAAAACCAAAGTCATGCAAAAGCTTTGTATAGCTAAGGGGGGCCCTCTCAAACCAATCCTGTATTTGGCAAAGCAAGCTATCCCAGGGCATCTAAGGCATTTCATATCACCGCAGGAGAAGCACTTGTAAATGGATTTTATTTCTTGTCGTGATGAATTATTTGTCAGTGATTGAGAAGGAAACATTCCTCCTAATTCCAAATTTTGGGTGATATGTGTTAAATTTACCATTATACTGGTATCTCTAACAGGGTCATACAGTTGAACGGGCGACAAATGAGTTTGCCCGAATTCTATGTCTCTATATAAATATTTGAGTAGATTTGTAATATTAAATAGATAACGGTAATATTTGTCGGAGGGTAACGAGGACAGACTAAGGGCTGGCTTGCTCTGGTTATTAATGAAAGTGTTAATGTTTTGTAAAATCGTTTCAAAGTCCCTTATAAAACTTTTTTCTATTACGATACCATTGAAATCCCTCTCGTAGTACGATTTAGGGATGAGGGAGTAATATTCCTTCGTGTAATCAATCATTTTAGCTTTGCGAATTGTTGATTTGATATCTTTGAAGTTATTGATTTGTGGAAACGGCGATGTTTCATGGCTATCATTAAATGACAAGTTTTCGTAACCCTTTAATGCCTCAAATTCAGAAGAATAATTGTCAGCGATAAATTCTAGTACCCCTTTTCTAATCTCTGGATATGAATCAGCATTCTCCTCGATCGATTGTAATATCTTAGGGGGTTTTCTAAGACTGGACCGGCCGTAATTTAGTAATCTGTTGAATTTATGCCTGAATGCTTGTTTTTCATTCATATTGTTGAATCTATCTATATCTCTCCCATACGAAAAATCTTTAGCTGAATGTAAATTGAAAGCGTTTTTACATTTGCATTCGTAGTTACCGTATGTAAAGCCCTTCTTAATAATTGGAACGCACTATATTTTTGATTGGTGTATATATATATATTTAAAATAAATTATTATTTATATAATAATAACTTTTATGCAGGGACCAGGAAAAAAAGAATATTTATAATTTTGATGACTTAAACATAATAATATCCTTAAAATCAGTAACAAATTGTTATGAGAATCAAACTGGTTAAAGAAAGAAAAACAAATATCCATTATAAATATTATGTTTATAAATATGTAAATTAAATTAAATTGGTCATTTTTTGGATTCAGTGAAATTTCCCGGAATAATTGTTCCCATTCCTACAGTTTCCAATTTATATTATATTTATTTTATTATACTACATTATATTATATTATATTATATTATAATTATATTATATTATATTATATTATATTATATTATATTATATTATATTATATTATATTATATTATATTATATTATATTATATTATATTATATTATACTACATTATATTATATTATATTATATTATATTATATTATATTATATTATATATTATATTATATTATATTATATTATATTATATTATATTATATTATATTATATTATATTATATTATATTATATTATATTATATATTATATTATATTATATTTATATTATATAATCAATTAAGTATAAATTCAAACCTGGGTCGAACTATCACATAGATGGGTTTTCGCAAATAAGCCAGTTCCATTATCACATTGATTAGCATCGAGATACCTTAAGTCCATCATTACAGCAATCACACCTCTTAAATTGAAATGTTTAAATAATACTTTTATAATTATAATTTTCAAATCAGGAAAAATTGTGTCCAATATCAAAAAAAATCTAGTGCTAAAGGAATGGCATTTATTACTTTTTTCAAAAGGTAAAAACTAATGCCTTTATTTTTTTCGAGTAACGTTAATGCAAAACGTTACTCGTTAACTTTAAATGTTTTCCTAGAAAGTATAGAAAAAAGCATTTTATTTTTTTTAAATTTTATAAATAATTTAAACCGAGTTTTTAATTCAGATCAACCATCAAAGTCCTCATTTCTATTTTATTTATTACATTTTTGTTGTAGAATTTTATACAGTCGAGATTGTTAATCTAATTAATATTGAATAAATTGAGGTATGTTGATTTACATTTTCTACCAATATAATTTATTTATAAAGAATATGTCAACAGTACTTATTCTTCTTTGCCCTGGCCTCAATATGAAACATAATTTACACTAATAAATAAAATTAAGGGCACTAGGTCTACACTTTGTAAGTGTAGATTGTGCCAATTCAAATATTTCAACCTCGATGTCCAGCAGGTCAAATCTAAAACGATATTTAGGTAAAAATATTAATCCAGGTTAAATTCTGATAAAAATATTTAAAAAATTGATGAGGATCTGAATAAACATTCTGTGAAAATGATCTAATAAGAGTTTTTGAACATATAGATCATCCTTTAAATATTTTTAATAAATTTCCTCAATTTTTTATATTAAATATAATGCAACCTTCCCATCATCCTCTGTGCCAGTTGAACGTGTGTTTAGCACTAAGCGCTCTTTTTAATCTGATCAAAATTTTGAAAATTATTGTTGTTAAAAATAAAAAAAAATGTTACAAAAAGATCATATCTTATAATATATCATTTTTAAATAATTTTATTTTTATTATCTATGGGATAAAAATAAATAAAAAGAAAATTTGTTTATAATATTTAGAGAATTTTTTATGTAAGTTCCTTTTTTACGGTATCCCGTCTTTACAGAGAATCTTTTATAGAGAATGCAAATATAGAGAAACTTTTATAGAGAAAACAATTGTAGAGAATGTCGTTTATAAAGAATATCGTTTATAGAGAATGATTTTATAGAGAATTTATTTTATAGAGAAACTTTTAAAGAGAAAACAATTATAGAGAATGTCGTTTATAGAGAATCTCATTTATAGAAAATGATTTTGTAGAGAATCTCGTTTATAGAGAATGATTTTATAGAGAATTTATTTTATAGAGAAACTTTTAAAGAGAAAACAATTATAGAGAATGTCGTTTATAGAGAATCTCATTTATAGAGAATGATTTTGTAGAGAATCTCGTTTATAGAGAATGATTTTATAGAGAATTTTATAGAGAAACTTTTAAAGAGAAAACAATTATATAGAATGTCGTTTATAGAGAATGATTTTATAGAGAATATTTTACAGAGAATTGTTTTATAGAGAATATTTTACAAAGAATTGTTTGAGAGAGAATTATTTTATAGAGAAGGATTTTATAGAGAATAATTTTATAGAATTTTATAGAGAATGATTTTATAGAAAATGAATTAAGTATTATTTTAGAAATAAATTTTCTCAAAAAAACAAGCCAGATGCCGTCATATAAATTCTCGGAACCCTTGGATAAAAAAAGGGAAAAAATAATCTTAAAAAAAATTATTCACGTTCCTGATTTGTATTGCTTATGAATAATTATGATAATATTTTTAAGTTTCCTGTTGTTATTTTTTTTAAAAATACGCTGAACAATTAGAAGTAGTAATGTTAAAATTATGAAAATATTTCCTTCTTTATCAGTTTCTATTAGTGCTTTGCTTTAACTAGTAGAGTAGCCATTTTAAAAAAAAACTATTAGCAACAAAGCCAGCCTTACCCCAATTGTTTTAGAAAATTTTATCAATATTTAGTTGCTTTGTGCATTATTTTAATCTGCTTGGTTAGGCCCCGATTTTTTAAAAATATATTATCTATTTTTAATTTGCCTAGATAATAATGGTGATTTAAAATGTTTGGTTTTAAAATAAATGGCCCGGCTTGAGTTTTTTAAAAAAAGCTTTTTTTGACCCGGCATGTGTATTTAAAAAAATTAAAATACGGCCCGAGTTTAAGGTCGGGCGTGTAGGTTTCTGATTTATAGTGCGCTTTTATAATTTCCCTAATAAATCTGATTTTACCAATTCCAAAGAGAATCTACCCTGGGAATTTCATACGATTGCGCCAAAATATTTTTGTATTTAATAATTTTATTTTGTTCTATTTTTTCATTTTAAATCATAAATTGAGCGCGTTTTATTAAATTTTAAATCTGATTTTGCCGAAAATGCATTAGAATATGTGTAGAATAGCCACCCTATAAATTTCAGAAGATCTTATATTGAACCTCTGAAGAAATTTTAATTTACATTAATCTGAAATTTATAAGTAGTGTTAGTAGCCTTAAAATCAGCTAAACATAATTTGGCTTAACCGAAAAATCGCCTAAAACTAATTAGACAAAATGTAGGGACTGGGAGCTAGGCTAATCGCCCATCAGCGTTATGCAACACTAAGCCTAGCCTTTATTAAAATTATTTTATATATTTATTATGTAACGATATATGACGGGCGATTAATCGAGCTCCTTAGCCGATGCCTAATTTTTGAATAATTAGTTTTCGCCTATTTTTATGCTAAGCCTAATTATGCTTAGCCGATTTTTTAACCTAAAAACTTGGCTAACCGTTTTAGAATTGCCTAAGATTAACCGATTTCGCAACATTTAGGGTGGGTATTCTACACTTATTCAGGTGCATTTCTGGCAAAATCAGATTTTTAAATTTAATAAAAGGCACTCAGTTAATGATTTTAAATGCAAATAATAACAAAAAATAAAACAATACCCATCAAACTATCGCCTTACCAATATTAAGTTTAGTTAAAAGATCATTAGAGCACTGTCTAATATTCACAGGGAGGCAGGGAAGACCAGGGGGTGGTTGGATCAATTTCTGTCAAAATAGTCATAGGTCCGAAAATAATTGTATCTGAATTTACAAAATACAAAATGATAGTTCAAACCCTTACCTAAAAATTATACATCGATTAAATTTAAAATAATACACTTTTTTCTCTAAATTGATTTTAGTAAAATAAAAATTTCTTATTACAAGCCTAAACTCCTTAGAAGTGTAGAGAAAGGTGAATCAAAAAGTTTAAAATGTTTTTTATAGGTTTTTTGAACTTGTTAAACATTCCGAAGATCAGACTTTTAATATTTATAAGAAATTTTTTATTTACATATAGGGATTATATTTATTGATACCAATTTGTTTAAATATGGTTGGTTCACAGACAAGCTTGTATTTCATCATATGATTATAAAAGAAGCTTTGTATCATGATATACACTGATTTCCATCGCATTGTAATGTCTTTCTTTAGAAAATATCGAAGCTTGATATTTGCAGCAGATTGCACAATATTTTACTAACTCTTTTACACTTAGAAGTTATTTCAAATACCTAATTACCAAAAGATTTTTCATCATATATTATAATACTACCCCCTTCTTCCCCCACTCTCCTCATTTCCTATACCACATCAAAATTAGAACAACGGAATTCCAAATACAAACTACCCATTTTAATTTCAATGCCAATCATGAGTTATAACCCCTTCCCCTGTGGTAAAAGGTCCTGTTTAACATTGTTTGAATGGTTAAGCGTCTTTTTATTATTGGTAGTCGGTCTATGGATCTGGTTATAAGCAAATATAATTATCATTAATATTTAAATTTTTTCGTATCATTATGGCTAATTATTTATTCAAACTTTTCTGTTGGGAGGAGGGGTGGGTGTTTCTTAATAAAAAAATTTCATGATTAAAACAATATTTTTATTTCCAGCATAACATAAGGATTTTCATTATCTACGCTTCCTCTGAGACAGTTATCTTACTTTTCTCTTATATATTTTTTATAGAGCCTTGCTTTCTACTGTAAAAAGTGGAATCATAAATGATAAGTTCGCTACAGCTTGTTTAATTAATTTTAATATCCGTCAATGCTTGCTTTTAAAACTTTTATTTTAAATCTTTCTAAACCTCTTTTAGTCTTGAAGAATACACATTTAAAAAAATATAAAGGCATAGAAAATGTAAAAAAGAGATATTTTCCACCTTTCGATTTTTTAGGGTTGTATCTACTCCTTGAAGTACAACTCACAATAAATATTTTATTCCATTAAATTTTCTCATCTTCAGCGATGATAGTAACGTCCAATCACTATTATCGCCACTCTAATAAAATTTATGACATTCATCAGATTAATAAAATATAGCAACTGAACTGAAATGGAAATATACTATAATTTGTGTTAAAAATAGCTAAGTTATTTTTTAATAATATATGAGGCATGTTCAATTCATTCAATTTTAGCTCTACTTATATTTATAATATTTCTAATCCATTTTATATAATTTTGTCTTTGATCACATAATTAGAAAAAAGACTCGTCAGGAAGCAAGAACTTAGCAAGAATCAATTTAAGGAAATCAATAATCTATTTTTCCCCAATTCCTAAGTCACAATAGTGGCAATTTCATCATCAAAGATTACACGAATTAAGTACTGAGATGGATAGCAATTCAATTCGACAATCTACATATGATGCCGAACATTGTTTTATGTCTTGTTGTGATAAGCTTTGACCTTGTCTTTTTGATTAAACAATAAGAGAACTTTATATAAATTTATTATCAAAAAATGCTTATCAAGTCCATACTAAATCCCTCACTAATTAAAGCATGCTTTGTCAAAGAATAATATAAATCCGAAGTCTAATTATCTGTTTGGCTCGTTTTAATTAAATAAAAAAATTTTTCTTAGTGCCTTGCAAATTTTATTTATTTCGGCCAAAGCTCCATCCAAAATCTTTATTTTTAGGAGCCTAGCCATAATTTTAAATTTTAGGCCTTAGCCTGTCCTGTCCCAAATTTAATTGAA